CGCCGCAACGGGAAGACTGTGGTGTAGCGTGTATAGTCGCCAACCACAGCAGGAAGTAGCGCTCTTGGTCCGTTCCACTGACGGGGCCCGGCCCCACACGTGCAGGTGGAGAGTCTGCAGAGGAGCAGTGGTCGGAGGAAACTAGGAGGAGTGAGGAGCGTCGCGCTACCGCCCCTCGACGCAAGGAAGGCACGGCGGCGCAAGCGAGTGCAGGAGGGGGGGCAGGGTCGCAGGGAGGCCAGAGACCAGGAGCCGGGAGTGCATGCCGCGCAGATGCAGCTGCAACGGGTGGCCAAGACGGTGGTGCCAAAGCTGCGTAGGGTGGGTGAGGAGGCGACACGAACAGGACGCAGCGAGCTGATCGGGCGCAGCCACCTGACCAGACGCAGCTACCTGTGCAGACGCTGTGGTGAGTGTGTACAGGTTCGACCCCGGCTGTCGTGTGAACGTAGCCACGTGTCGCCCTGTCTTGGCGCATGTGCAGATTGCCACGCGCTGACCTCCTGAAGGACGGCGTTGCTCACCAAGTTCGTCGAGAACGAGGGGGAGGTGGAGACCGGACAGAGAGCCAGAGGGGACAGTTGGGCACGGGAGGACAGTGGAGTGGCGTACAACCACAGGCCCCCAGAGGGGTCCGCCAGTGAGAGTGGGACTGGGGTAGTGAGTGGGGTGACAGTGGTGCTGTCGCGAAAGAAGCAACGTGACTCACCAGAGTCAAGTGTGAAAGTGTGCAAGACCTCAGCAGTAGCAGCAGACTCACTAGCACCTGGGGCAGCAGCGACACTAGCACCTAGGGCAGCAAGAGACGCACTAGCACCTGGGGGAGCAGCATCACCACCTGCATCGCATGGCACACACGAGTAACACGCACCCTCAACACTATAATCAGAAACATACATAGCATAGAGAGCAGCATTGATCTTGGCAAAGTCAAGAGAAAACACATCTACCCCTTCCCTATCAGCTGCAGCCAGTTCGGGACCTGCTGGTCCTCGGAATACTCAGTCACCCAGGCGTCCTCGAGACGACCGAAGCACTTGTACTCGGTATGCGGCTTCCCGCAGACTGTGCCCTTCAGAAGCCCGTGCGCCGGACATAAGGGCAGCGACCAGAGCCCCCACGCTGGAGAACCCACTCACGGAGCTGCTGGCCAGTGGGGTTGTCTGGAGGCGGGGAGCGCGCAGCTGCTGACCACTCCCGTAGCCACGGGAGGGTCCACGAGCGCCACCACCCCTGCCAGACCCACCCGACCTCCTCCACCGCCCCCCGCCCCCACCCACCGCCTCCCCACCACCACCGCCTCCTCCACCCTGTCCGCCTCCTCCACTGCCGCCACCCCCAGAGCCACCCCGGAGCCCCCGCCGCCGCCTCCACCACCCCCGCCACCCCTCCTCGCGCTGCCACCACCACCACCCCTGCCCCTCTGCCCTTGCTGTTGTTGCGCCATCCACTGGGAGCAGACGCGCGCCAACGTCCTCAGCACCAAGGAGATCGATTGCAGCAGCGGTAGCAACTGAGGGGAGGAGAGGGGAGGGAGTACACCCTTCAAAGAAGGGGGAGCGGGGGGTGCCACGAGAGGCAGCGACAACGACAGTGCTCTTCTCAATCTCGAGAAGGGCCTTCTCAAGCGAGTCAAGTGTGAGCTCAGTGGGGTCCATGGCTAGGAACTGGTCCCTGATAGTGCGAAAGGAGTCAGGGAGGCGAGTGATAAGAAAGTAGAGGGTGAAGTACTGCGGGGGGGGGGGGGGGGGGGGTTCTTAGCGAGAAAGTCCGGCTTGAGAGCGGCACGGAAGCGATCCTCACTAGAGCGGAGGTGGGTAAAGAGGTCAGAGACAGTGCGGAACTCAGCTACATCGGGATGCAGGTACGGCAGCATGAGACGACCTACAGCAGCAGTAGCTGGGGAGGAGTAGCGAGAAACTACAGCGTCATAGAGATCCTTGGCCGTTTTCTGCCGGCTAAAGTGTGCGCGCTCAGTGACTGGCAGGTGGTTGCGGACATCAAGGAGGGCAGCTGCATTACGCATGAGCCACTCAGACAGATCCTCTACAGCGTCGGCGGCAGGGGGTGGGAGCTTTCCCTCAGTGTGCAAAAACAGGGAACACCATCCTTAGATTCGCTCCATAGGAACAGCTGGAGATCGTCGAGCCAGACATCAAAGGTAATCGCGCGGCCCTCAGCATCGAGCGTAAGAACTGACAGGTTAGACATAGCAGCAGTAGCACTAGCTGTAGCAGCAGTGGTTGCAGCAGCAGCAGTAGTGACAGCTCGGGTTGGGCGGCGCGGCTCGGACAGGGTGGCGCGGCTCGGACAGGGCGGCGCGGCTCGGGCTCAGTGGGGGAGCAGCAGCGGCAAGCAGCAGCAGCCGGCGCTCAGTAGCAGCAGCACCAGCAAGGAGGAGCAGCTGCAACAAGTAGCAGCAGCAGCAGCAAGGAGGAGTAGCTGCAGCAAATAGCAGTAGCAGCAGCAAGGAGGGGCAGCTGCAGCAAGTAGCACTAGCTGTGGCAGCAGTAGCTTTAGTCAGTAGCAGCTATGATAGCTTGGGCTGGGCGGCGCGTAGTAGCAGTAGGCGCGCGTGGGATGTGGACGTGCAAACCAGGGGCGCGCAACAGGTGCGTGCGGGGCAGCACTACGAGGAGCGCGCAGCAGGTGCGTGCTAGGGGCTGGCGGGCAGCGTGAGTGGCGCGCGCAGCAGCAGTAAAGAGGGGGGACCGGGCGTAGGGGCTAATGGGTCGCGCGAGAGGCGCACGGGGCAGCTAGGGCAAGGTCAGGGGGGTTGCACGTGACTAAGAAGAAAAATCGCGACTATGGCAGAAAAAGGAACCGTATCGCCTAGGGCACGTTTTCGCATTTCGCGTTTCTCCTAGGGGCGCGACTCGGACAGCAGATCGAAATAGTAGTGGTGGGCCCTTTTAGAAATTCGGTCCTAAGGAGCATTGTGCTCTTAATACCATGTTGGAACAACTAGCTAGATGAGGAATTAATGGATTAGGTAAGAGGGGGGGGGGTACAAGGATGTCGAGAAAGTTGGGTTGTACCCTTTAAGGTGTGACCCCTACACAACCTAAAGTAACATGAACAAACAATATGTTTTGACAGTAATTACTATTCGTAACAGTGGCTATATCACCCCGTGTGCCCGAGGAGGAGTGACATTGTGGGACCTTGCTATATACTAAAACATCATTTGCTGAGGCTCCCTCTCTCAAGATTCCGGCTACCGTATATGACCCTGGATAGCACAGTGACAGTAGTCAAATTGATCCTAGCTTGGTCAATTCAGTTTTGTGGCAAAAGATATGAATTACGTGTTGGGTTCACGATGAATCTCGTATACCGAGCCCACCATGCATCGCAGTCTGATGTCTCTTCCCTTACGTCAGAATAGTAGCTAGAGGTTAGGGTTTGTGAAGAGAGAGTTTGGCCAAGAGAAGGGCTTTGCATTGCATTGCACTATAGAATGCAGTACAAGTTGTAGGAATGGGGGAGGTGGTGAAGGGAGGTAGACCACCTAAGACAAAATAGGTGATACTACACTAACTAAACATGCAATGCAATTATATAAGAATTACAAATTCTGACACTTACATATATTGCACTTTTAGTTCTGAATCCAACATCACTGCCCTTGTCTGGTCCATTCCCCATGACCTCACTTGGATGAGTACACCATTTAGCCTAGATGTTTTATTTGTGAATGCCTTGTTATTCTGTTTGGAACTAGCAACCAATGTTGAGTATAGCACAAACCAGTAGTATCATCTGCATTTTTGGCAATTGTCAGCAGCCAATCACCACCGCCAAGTACCACGCAGACATCCAGCCATCCCACTCATGGTGCCACATGTCACCATGGGTCGTCGCGTGGGGTGTCTATGGTTGTTGGGAACATGCTACTTTGGAAAGCATGGTTTGGTTCGGTCGTTCTTTATTAAAGATAGTTTTACATGGGTGAGGAGGTATTCAAAATCGCGACACAAAAAAGTGAATGTGAGGCAGATGACAATATGGCATGAGGAGGTGAGAAGACACATGAAAAGCATCAGATGCCTGTGAAGCAGGCAGGATGGATGGGGCAGCGCTGAGAACATTTCTGGTCTAGTGCCGCGAGAAGTGGAGGCTGACCACCCTACCCAACCTACCCCTGTAAAACGCTGTCAAACGTGGAGAAACTGATTAAACCACACTCAAACGTACTTTCAGGACATGTCCTCGGGCACTTTTTTCCCAAGCTTTACAGCGACGCACGACACAGGCCAACGCAACGCACCCATACCATTTGCCTTGCTCTTCCTCTGGCACACCAGAACTGGGTTGATTCCGATTTCGGACCTGTTGCCTTGCCTGTCTCCCTGATAAGCTTCTAACTAACAGGTTCCGTATAGTCACCTGCTAGTACCTTGACTCTCGAGTAGGGTTAGCAAACAGCAACCGAAAATAGGCACAATTATGCATCCGTTGCGGCTGCCTCATTGACCTTATAGGACCTTGTCTATTGTATCAAAATGAGCTTATCTTAGGTCGTTAATGTTATTGGTACAGGCATGCATTTCAATGAGTACCCGTCGTCCACTTCTGCAACTTTGTTTTGTAACCCTAAAACGTACATAACATAGATTTGAACGAAATCTTCGTGGCATTCCAGTCGCACCGAAACCATTATGTCGATAACACGCCTAAACCGACGAAACCGGTGTCGAGCGCTGTTGTTTTCGTCGGTGCGTGATACCATATTTGTGACATTGTGAATCATCTAATGATCATAACGTGGATGTTGGTGCCATTCGGCGTTCACTTTTCGGGCTTTCGTTTTTTTTTGCATCATTGTAGGTAAATCTCCTTCCTGACACTAATTTCTGTGGCTTTTCAGGGAGAATGAGAAGCACACCAGTCACAAGTTGAAGACCCCGTGTTGGTTAACCCCGAGCATTTGTTGAATTTGAAAAGATAACAAAACTTGAAGATGAGACGAGAACCGGGTGACGGTGACGACAAGCCCAAGGCGAAGTCGAAACCCAAGGAGAAATCATCCCTCAAGTCCCAGTTGTCCGGAAATTTCCTCCGGAGCATTACGGAGCTCGTGATCCGGCACAAGGGGGATGAACCCAGCCAAGCCTCCACTTCAGGCTCGGCAGCAGGTTCGGAAGAGCAGGTCGGAGGCGAGAGCGGGGAGGGAGAAGCAAAAGAGCAGCAGCAGGAGCAGCCGCAGGAGAAGCCGCAGAGGGAGATGACCGAGGAGGAGCAGAAGCGCGAGAGGCGGAAGCAGGCAGCTGAACGGATTATGAACAGACTAAGTAAAGAACCACCTCCAGCACAGGGAATTCCAGGTCCCTTAGCGAACCCGGCTGCTCTGGGTAGGAGAATGTCATTGCCTTCGAAACCAGCGCATAGGGTCCGGAATGGAGCCGTTGCTGCTGGTTCTGTTGCTGGTTCTGCTGCTGGTTCTGTTGGTAGTGTTGCTGCTGGTTCTGTTCCTGGTGTTGCTGCTGGTTCTGTTGCTGGTTCAGCTGCTGGTGGGGGCCGGAGGCACCCCCCACATGCTAGGCGAGCTCCAAGCGAGCGTGGGAAGAGAGGAGGTGTTGAGAGCGGTGCAGATGGCGGGAAAGGTGTTGGTGGTGGTGGGGATGGTACCAGTGCCGGTGGAAAGTGTGTTGAAAGTGTAGAAGGTCCGTCTGCTGGCTCGGATGCCGCTGCTGCTACCGGTGGTTCTGAGAATGTGAGTGGCGTTGCTGATTGTGCTGCGGATGTCTGTGTGGGAGGAAATGCGATAGGCAGCAGCAGCAGCAATGCAGCTCAACACGATCAGCACCCAGAGCAGGCTCAGGAGCAGCAGCAGCAGGCTCAGGCCCAGCAACTTGATCCCGCCTCCTCCGACGCAGCTCCAGCCGCTCACCCGCGCACGGAGCCCCCGTCCCCGTCCCCCGCGTCCTCCGCTTTCACCCCCGTCTTTGCCCGCTGCCCTGCCAAGATCTGGAGCAACCCGGACGAGGAGGACAGCGCTGGGGAGCAGAGCGACGGCGGAGGGGGAGAAGGTGAGGGGAGCGTCGGGGGAACCACAGGCGGAGGAGGAAGCGGAGGAGGAGGAGGAGGAGGAGGAGGAGGCGGAGGCAGTGGGAATGGGGAGGAGGGAATCAGGGGTACGGGTGATACGTTGACGGATGGCGAGGGGGGAGCGGGAGAGGAGGAGGAGGAGGAGGACGAGCAGCCGACAGGGTTCCCGAAGCTGCTTCCGGGGAAGGCGGACGTGCTGGTTCTGACAGACGAGGGGGATGCGCTGCATGGGGAGATAGACACTGGCGAGCACCAAGGCACGAACCCGCTGGATATGACCAAGTTTAAGCGGCTTCTGTCGCAGGTGTATGGGCTGGATGAGGCGGATTTTCGGCCAAAGAACTGGGGGAAGGTGCTGGAAAATGAGGGGGGTTTGGGGGTAGTGGGGAGGATGAGGATGAGGATGATGAGGATTTGAATAGGAGGGATCCGAGGTTGGAGGATCCGCAGTTGCAGGAGATTTTGACTCAAGAGCTGATGAAGTTTCTGCGGAGGAATATGCATGGAGGGAAGGAGGAGCAGGAGGAGGAGGACGGGGAGGAGGAGGAGGAGGAGGAGGATTTGAGTCCAAAAGGGGATGATAGTGAGAGCAGCGGGTTTCACAAGGGACGGAGGCGAGAGCGGGACAGCAGTGATAGTGAGGATGACGATGATGAGGATGATGATGATGAGACGGTTGATAACGGTTGGGGGGATGATGCATTGGGACTGGCTTCACCAGCGAGGGATGATGATGATGACGATGATGGGTTTGATGATGATCGATCGAATAGTCGTCATTCAAGAACGAGGCATGGGTCTGATAGTGAGCAGGAAGGGGAAGAGGAGGAGGATGAAGAAGAAGGAGGAGGAGGAGGAGGGAGGGGCCAGATGAGGCGAGATGGGGTTTCCCGCAGGGATTTGAGGAGTGGTGAGAGGCGAAGAGAGGGGAGAGGGGGAGAGCCGAGGAAGAGGGAGCAGAGGAGGAGTGAGCGGAGGAGGAGTAGGAGTGTTTCTGATAGTAGGAGCAGGAGCAGGGGGTCATCGGAGTCTGATCATGGGGGTGGAGGGAGAGGGAGGAGAGGGGGGAGGCGAAGAGGTAGAGCGGACGACTCTTGGAAAGAAAAGAATGGAGATGAGGATGAGGAAGAGGCTGGGGAGGAGGAAGAGGAGGAAGAGTTGAGGGGAAACCGGAGCATGCGTGGGAGGAAGGGGGATAGAATAGGGGGAATAGGGGAGGGGTCGGATGAGGATGAGAGGGGCAGGTGGGGCAGGAGGAGACGGGGAGCTGACCTGGGTGATGAGAGCGGGAGGGAGGATTATAGCGAGGACGAGGATGCTTATAGCGAGGACGGAAGGGAAGAGCTTAGCGAGGATGGGAGGCGGGAAAGTGATTACGAGGGAAGGAGAAACGATGGGGTGAGAAGGCCGAGGAAGTTGGAGGGTGTTGGGGAAAGAGATGAGGGGGCAAGCAGGCATAGCAGGAGGCACAGGCATGGGAGCAGGAGTGGTAGTGATCGTGATGGAGAGCGTTACAGTGACATGGACAGTGATGGGCATGTGAGTAGTGACCATGAGGAAGACCATGGTAGAGCGAGGGAGAGGGAGAAGGGTAGGGATAGGGGGGAGAAGAAGGTTAGAGATAGGGGACGGGGTAGGGGTGGGGATGGGGTTAAGAGCGGAGGTGTGTCCAGAGATAGGGGCAGAGGGGGCGGGGAGAAGAGGAGTGATAAGGAGGAGCGTAGGGGGAGGAAAGGGAGGAGGAGGGTTGAAGAGGAAGAAGAAGACAGCACCGATGGTACCCATAGCAGCAGTGCCAGCGATGGGAGCGATCAGGCTCGGAGGAGAGAGGATCGGGGTCACAGGAGACAGGACAGGGAGAGGGCTGGAAGAGACGGGAGCAAGGGCAGAAGGGAAAGACAGCACGATCGAGATAGTGCGGTGAAACAGCACAAGGGACGGGGAGAGGAGGGCAAGAAAGAGCGGGGAAAGAAAGGTGAGGTAAAGAAAGAGGGAGACAAGCGGGGAGAGGGTAAGAGGGAGGAGGGCCAGAGGGAGGAGGTGAAGGAAGGAAGGAGAAGCAGGGCGAGGGGCGAGGAGGAATTGGAGAGTGGTGCAGACAAGGAAAAGGAGCTCAAGAAAAGGCATGAGAAGGTTGATTCCAAGGGAGTAGACTCCAGGAAACCTAAAAAAGATGGTGACTCGAAGGACGAATCCAAGTCGAAACAGGAGATCAAATCTAGCAAGTCAAAGCAGGAGAGCAAGTTCCTATCCTCTCTGGACATCCGGGAGGAGATTCGGAAGCTCTCGGGTGACGATGCTCTGCGCATTCTGCTCAGCGCCCGCAACTCCTTCAAGCGCGAGCAGCAGCAGCAGCAGCAGCAGCAGCTGAGGCAGAAAACAGGCAGTTGGGGGGCGGGGAAGGAACTGCTGCTGCTGGTGATGGTGGTGGTGATGTAGGAATAGGGATGGAAGGGGAGAGGCTGCTAGAGGCGAAGCTGCTGCGTTGCCTGACTAAGGTGCACCAGCAGGTGGCTGTTGGTGTTCCTGAGACGATTGAGGGAGGGGGATGAGGAGGAGGAGAGTGAGGAGGATGGAGAGGTGAGTAGGCAGAAGGACGGAGCGAGAAACTTGGTGCCTGGGCTTGTAGATGAAGGGGTAGAAGAGGAGGAGGTGAGTGAGGAGGATGGTGGTGAGGAAAAAGGTGAGGGAAGGAAGCATGAAGAGCTGGGGTCTGAGGAGATAGATGAGGAAGGAGAGGAAAAAGAGGAAGATGGAGCGGAGGACAAGGAGGATATGGGCGATGGGGTTGATATGGGAGAGTCGGAGTCTGAGAGTGGGGTAAGTGAAAAGGATGAGATATCCTGCATTGCATCTGACGTGGCGAGATACATGGAGAGAAGTAGCCACTTGGGAAGCAAAGCTGGTCAGCCAATTCAACCTCGCCACTCAGATAGTGGTGGTGGTGGTGTTGCTGCTACTGAAAGTGTTGGCGAAGGAATTATGTCAGGAACGGGAGCGGAGGAAGAGGGGGAGGAAGGACCTGTATGACGTGGGTGGAGAGGAAGAAGGGCAAGATGAGGGAATAGAGGCGCACGAGGGGGAAGAGTCGGAATTTTCCTCAGCTGAGAGCGAGAGTGCGGGTGAGGAAGGAGAGGAGATGCAAGCAGAGGGTGGTGGCAGTGGTCGTGTTTGGGTGGAGGGATACAAGTATTGGTGATGATGATGATGACGATGGGGCATATGGAGACGAAGAAGGCGAGGACGGGGAGCCGAGGCCGCACAGAGAACGGAGAGGCAGAACCCACGGCCATAGCAGGTCGCAGATTGCAGGTGCTGCTGCTGCTGCTGCTGGTGCTGCTGCTGGTGGTGCTGCTGCTGCTGGTGGTGGTGGTGGTGGTGGTGCTGCTGCTGCTGCAGTGGATTCTGCTGCTGCTGTGTCTCCTCACCGTCATCCCCCTGCCAGGGCGAGGCGGCATAAGAGCAAGAAGGGAAGCGGCAGAAACAGCATGCCTTTGCCTCCGCCAACCATGCCCATGCCATCCTCCCCCCATGCCTCCTACCATGCCTCAAGCACCATTAGCAGCAACCGGAGCTGCAGGAGCAGGGGCAGGAGTAGGGCATATGCCCGGAAGCATGCTGTCGCCTGCAGTTGCAGGGGTGCAGTGGGGTTCTGAGGCGTCGCATAGCGGCACTCCCATTATCTCCAGGCATGCACCAACTCCCACGTGGGGTAGTAGTGCTTCCCCTGCCGCAGCAGGCATGGGCGGTGGGTGGCATGGGGGGTGGGAACCAGCAGATTTTGCGGCAGAGATCCTCAAGCCATGCAGACATGCTGAGGGGAGGGCATGCCAATATGCCTTCCCCTGCATCAAGAGCAGGATCAGCTGCACCTCCGGCATGTCTTTCACCGCTAGGAGCAGCAGGCATGGCAGCAGGAGCAGGCATGGCAGGACCAGCAGGTGTGTCAGCAGCAGGAGCAGCAGCAGCAGGGGCACAGGGTTTGGGGTTCAAGCGTCTACCTTGGGATCTCCACTCCCCATGCCCGCCTCTCACTCCAGGCTGCAGAAAACCTCCTCAGATGCGCCCAGGAGGCTGCAGGAGCTGCTGCAGTTCAAAATGGTGCAGAGCGGTGCAGCAGGCGGGGGCAGGGGAGCCGGGTCTGGTGTGGCAGCCAGTATGGTGCAGGGAAGTGTGGACTTTACCCGGGGAACAATGGTGGGAGCGGGTGTGTCGGGAGGGGGTGCGCCTAGTTTTTGAGACCTCTTTGAGCCTGGTTCAGGGTGTGGTGCAGGGAAGTGTGGTGCCGGGAAGTGTGGACTTTTCCTGGGGAACGACGGGGGGAGGAGGTGTGCCGGTAGGGGGTGGTATGGCAGGAGGAGTGGTGGGAGCGGGTGGTGGGATGGCAAGTGGTGGGGGAAGAGGAGGTGGTGTGGGAGGTGGGATTGGAAGGGTGGGAGTAGGTGGATCTCCCAAGAAAGGGATGAAGGTGGGGGGGCAAGGTGGAGAGATGTGCGGGGACAACAGGCACATGGTTCCTGAAGGGGCGGATGAGGCTTGTTACCAAGACGATGGTGCGTATGGGGTTGGGTATGATGGTGGTTATGGTAGAACTGGTTACGGTGGCGGTTACGTTGACGCGTATCATGCTGGTTACGAAGATGCTGGTTACAATGACGGTGGTTACGACGCCGGTTACAATGCTGGTCGTTACAATGATGCTGGTTACCAAGATGATGGTTACGAAGAGGGTTACAGTGGTGGCGGTTTGGAGGGTGAAGAAGCTATGGGGATTCAGAGATCCTTCACAGCAGATGGGCGAAATGCCAAGCTGCACTCGCAGCTGCACGCACATCCTGAGGAGGGCACACCTGTGACAGTGCAGCGGGCATATACAGTAGACGGCCGCTCGTCGAGGCTTGTAGCGGAGCAGACTGTAATGAGGAAATCTGTCCTGGGTCCAAGGGAGGGTGTCTCAGGTGGCATGGGTACAGTGGGTACAATGGGTGCAATGGGTACAGTGGAGGAAGGTTCCAGAAGCATGGGGAGGAAGAAGAAGCCAAAGCGCAGTGCGGGAAAATCAGTAGAGAAGATGGTCCGAATGAGAATGAGATTCGGGGCTTGGGAGGAGGAGAGGATGGAGGGGGGAGCAGTGGGGGGGAGGAGAAGGAGGAGGGGGTATGGCAGTGGATGAGGATATGTATGGTGATATGGGGGAGGAGGTGGTAGATGATTTATATGGTCCGGCTGCGAGTGATGATGCCATTGGGGCACATGGGGGGGAGCAGGAGGGAGTTTTGGCGGAGGTAGAGGGTGACGAAGAGGACTTGTACGGTTCAAGAGACGAGGAGGAGGACGAGGAGGAGGGAGAGGAGAGGCAGAACGAGAGAGGGGCAGTTCATTCCGACAGCCGCAGGGGGTTTTCCAGCAGGAGGGGTTCAGGATTACAAGGGAGGAACAGCCGGGTTGATAAGAGACAAGCAGAAGCGCCGTGCCTCTGTTGCGGGCTCCCTTGCTGCTGCTGCTGGCGTCGCGGCTGCCGCTGCTGGTGCTGGTGCTGCTGCCAGTGTGGCTGCTGCTGCTGCTGCAAGCTGTAGCACCCAGGGTCTCTGTCTCGGGCGCACAGCCAACCACCCGAGGCTTTCCATGCAGCCATGCTCTCCCCCTCCAATTCCATTGCCTCTGCTCCCTGCTCCTCCCCGCCCTCCTCTGTCTCGCGGTTCAAGCCCAAGGCGACCAAGAGAAGGGCAAGCAGGGGACAGAGTTCATTGGGGGACTGCCTGGGGCCAGGGGCTAGGGCTGGCATGAGCAGCGGGCTGAGGGAAAGCATGAGCACAGGCTTTAAGGATAGTGCAAGCATGGGCTTTAACAGCAGTGCAGGTGCGGGTTTTAAGGACAGCATGAGCATGGGGTATGGCGAAGGGGGAAGTCCTGGCTGTTATGATAGCATGAGCTCGGGGCTTTAAGGACAGCATGAGCATGGGATTTACTGACAGTATGAGCACGGGGTACAGTGAAAGCACAGGATTTAAGGACAGCATGAGCGCGGGGTATAACGAGCAGGCAGAAAGATGGCCCGGGGCGGCTGCGGGCGGGGAGGGTATATACCCTGGAAAAGCAGGAGGCAGGAGCACCAGGCGCAGTGCAAGTGGGAGGAAACGTAAGCTCCTTTGCTGCTTCACCTGCAGCTGTGGGGGTGGGAAGTTCTGGAGCTGGCCGGATCGTAAGTGATAGTGTAGGGGTGCGGGATGCCAGCTCTGGAGCTGGAATTGGTGGGAAACGTGGTGGTAAGAAAAAGGTAGTTCAGTATGAGGTGGAGGAGGATTTGTTTCCTGTGGAGCCGGAGGACAACGGTAGTGATAACAGTTATGTTTATGATGAGTATGGTGGTCACGGTACCAGTACGAGCGGGGATAGTGGCGGCCCTTATGTTGGTTTTAGGTAGCCTGTTGGGGGGTATGTGTGTCATCCGACATGGTGTTAAGTTATGGCCAATGTTATTATTCACGTGGCATTTCTTTCGTTGTAAGTCTTACTCAGCGGTGCCGTTGAGAAGAATGGCATTGCATTTTGCTTGTGACAACCAGCCGACCTGTGAAGCTCTGAGGGTGATGTATGGAAAGTAAGGTGCTTTTTAGATAATAACTTTGTGATCTTCCTCCCAGCCTACTAGAATCGGTGTTAGGAATTGTGAATGCTTGTGATATTTGCTTGGGGGAACTTCCCCCTTTTTATGGACCTTTGTGATGACTTGCCCCTGCTACAAAAACGAGAGCATTTTTGCTCTGATTGCGCTGCTTTGTGTTGTGTCTGACGTGACGTATGCTGGATCTGTCGTGTCAGGGGCCTATCCACCTTGGTGCTTGTGTGGTTCGCAGGGGATTGCGAGAATACAATAGGCGCAGAAAGCACTTCGTCCAGCGCAGCGTAAGCGCCATGTGACTAGGGGGCAAATCTCTTGGTGCGGGGACCACCACACATCATCCATAAACATTCTTCTGAAGAATACTCGGGGTCCTCCTTTCTCCGATTCGCGTGAAACTCACGCACTCACCTCGTGACGTGGCACCTTCAAGTCACACCGAAAGAATCCAGGAACGCACTCACCAAGTGTACAAGTGCAACTGGGGGTAGCTTACGGTGAACAAGGGAAACTTGAGAATTTGACCCAATATTCGTCCTCCCTTTCGGGCTAGATTCGGACGGTCAGAATGCAGCGTCCATTTTACGGAACTGCGGGAAATGAGCGGCTGGCGGCCAGTGCTCTTTGGGCGGTCCAAGAATCTGCCCTTTCGCAGACGGAGCATTTTGGGCCCTTGGGCACATGCGATGAACATTTGCGGTTGAAAGGCTGGCAGCGCCTCTCGCTTTGATCTAGGCTCGGCGCGACGAGGTGGCCCGACCAAGTTCCTGGCACTCATTGCTTCACAGAACTCCCTGTGGTCCATTTCCACTGATACCTAAGTGAACCGAAATGAACCGTTCTTTACCATGAGAATGATCTTCATCCTTGCTGAAATCTCTTTTCTGCTCCAGACACCCGAAATTGTCGGAACCGTTGATGACTGATTACCTTCACAACCTCTGCTAGCTCGCTGTGTAAAAGTCTCGTGTAGTCGACTTCCAGGGCAAATAGATGCTCGTTTCCCTACGAGTGTGTGCTTTTGATCAGCAACTGACAAGCCTGAGTGAAGTGAACTGCACTGGAGTTTCCCGTCTGGCAATTTCCCGTCAGTACCAGCGATTTAGGTGCACGGAGTTACAGTTGACTAGCATGAGTTGGATACTAGACCAACATCATCAGCTAGGCACATGTCCTAGCATTTGGTAGCAGTGCTCAAGGATAAACTAGCGGATTTGATTTTCCGGTTGTAGAGAATTCGTTTTTCGAAGTTGGTGTCTCAGTGGTTTCTCGGTGCAAGCTTCCCTCGAGTGTTTGGAGGCTGGTTTGACAACAGATTGGTATCCTCAGAGACGTCGTGATGACGACAGCAGCAGCCAAGTCACCTGTTAGAAAGCTGTCGCACACGCTGTGCTCCAGTGTTTTAGCCGATGTATGTCCTTGACCCTCTTGTTGGAACAATCTTTGTACTGTCATTTCTCCTTGTTTGTGCTACAACGTTCATTTTTTGCAAATTCTTACTATTCGTGCATGCGATGCTTGCAGATACACAAATGCGCGTCAAAAAAGCAAACAGGAGTCAGCCTGAAATACATGATGGCGCACGGCTCATATCCCACGGAGCGGAATCTGATCACAGCCGCTCAGTTCCTTCACCACGAGCTTCCCGTTCGACTGGCTCATCGCGTCACGGAACTCGAAAATCTTCCCTACGGCTTGTCGGATAAAGCTCCCATTCTGAAGGTATGGGGTTCCGAAAATGCGTCCTGGACGTGTTGGAGGAAGTGTCGAGACGGCTTGTAAACGCTGCTTTTTTCTTCGTGAACTCGTTAAATAAAATCCACTTGTTCCCTTTCTCACTCCATGGCGCTGTTTGTCATCTTCCCTCGCTCCCTGTTCACCCTTTGCCTTGGTAATTTCCGTCGCCCGCTCTCGCCCTTCCAGGTGCGAGACTGGTACGTGGACTCGTTCAAGGACATCTCCCAGTTTCCGGCCATTGAGAACGCCAGAGAAGAGATGCGCTTCACAGAGCTCCTAGATCAGGTGAGCGAAAAAAGCCGCCGTCGAGCTGTTGATATATTGCACACGAGCACGACAGGCAGCGTGCGAGGATGAGAGGGAGGCGGAGCTGCTGGAGCAGGGGAGGACTAGGCGAGGGGTACCTTGGGATGATCAAGCAGACGAGCAGGTGGTGGTTGCAGGGCACGGGCTAGCAGAGCATGGATAGCAGAGGTGAACATTGTATGTAGCGCCGTTGACTTGCATTACCTTCTGTGCTTGATTCTCATAGACTTCCATTGACTTGCGTTGACCAGGTGCGGATGCGGCACAACAACGTGATGCCGACGGTGGCGATGGGAGTGAGCGAGCTGAAGAGGGACATGGTGGCGGGCAGCACGAGGCAGGGGCTCGACAGCATGCCCGAAATCCACCAGTTCCTGGTCAGTCAGTCGCCTGCTGCTGCAGCCGCCGCCGCTGCTGCTGCTGCTGCTGCCTCTGCTGCTCGTGATGGTGATGGAGCTCTGTTGCTGCTGCAGCTGCTATTTGTCCTTGTCATAGCATCTTTTTCTGTGGCTTTCCCATTGTCCTGTGATGTTTGCTGTCAGTTGATCCACTGGCACGGTGCAAATCTGTCTGGTGCTTCCTAACCTGCTTGTGCTTCCTAACCTGCTTGTGCCTTTCATCAATCTGCCCATCTGTGCCGTGTGTGCTCAGGATCGCTTCTACATGTCGCGGATAGGCATTCGTATGCTCATTGGCCAACACGTCGCGCTTCATAAACCGTCGCCGCCGCCTCACTATATAGGGTATGCCGCCCTATGATATTTTTTCCGGGTTCTTCTTCCTCCTGCATACTTTCTCGTCCCTGTCCCGGGCTATCAGCAGTGTAGTGGCATGCAGTATCAGAGCCCCTCGCCCCCTCTTCCCCTCAACCCTCGTCTCCTCTCCCACAACCACCACCACCCCACCGTCCCCACACCCATTTCCCCCACATCCCCCATTTTGCCCAACCTTTCGCGTCCCAGACTGATCAGCACCAAGGTATATATCCCTGCTCTTCCCCCTTTCCCACACACCATCTCCCTTTTTCTCTCATTGAAGCCCTAGCCGTTCCTCCTTACCCTCCTCCCCCCACTTCTCCCCTTTGCTTTCCCTTCCAGTCTGATCTGCACCAAGGTGTCGCCAGTGGAGGTGGCACGGAACGCAGTGGACGATGCGCGGTCAGCATGCATGCGCACATACGGCTCTGCCCCTGACGTGCACATCTATGGCGACCCTGACCTCAGATTCGCGTACGTACTTGCACATGCACACGTGCACACATATCCACCTGCACACGTGGACACATATCCACCTGCACACGTGGACACATATCCACCTGCACACGTGCACACATATCCACCTGCACACGTGCACACATATCCACCTGCACACGTGCACACATATCCACCTGCACACGTGCACACATATCCACCTGCACACGTGCACACATATCCACCTGCACACGTGCACACATGCGCACACCTGTCAACCCTCACTCACTCATGCCCACGGCCAGCATGCATGCGCACATACGGCTCTGCACCCGACGTGCACATCTGTGGCGACCCTGACCTCGGATTCTCTGCAGTCCCCTTGCCCTGCTGTGCCGTGCTGTAACATGCCATGGCATGCCGTGTCATGCCGTGCCGTGCTGTACATACGGCTCTGCCCCCGACGTGCACATGTATGGCCACCCTCACCTCAGATTCGCATCCGTTACTCTGCTTGTAAGTGCCTTGCCCGTGCGGTGATGTTACGTGACGGCCCATCTGCGCCAGGCCCTGTTTCAGCTCGTGGCCAAAGATATCACATAGGTAACTGTTACCAATTCCCACCAATCTCCCTGCCACCTCTCTCCCTGTCACTCCACAGGTACGTGCCGGCCCATCTGCACCAGATGCTGTTTGAGCTGGTGAAGAACTCGCTGCGTGCCATGCAGGAGTTCATGCTCTCAATCCCCCATCCCATATCCTCCCACCCCACCCATCCGCACCCCTTTGCATTGCAGGTACGTGCCAGCCCATCTGCACCAGATGCTGTTTGAGCTGGTGAAGAACTCGCTGCGCGCCGTGCAGGAGTTCATGCTCTCAATCCCCCATCCCATTTCCTCCCACCCCACCCATCCGCACCCCTTTGCACTGCAGGTACGTGCCAGCCCATCTGCACCAGATGCTGTTTGAGCTGGTGAAGAACTCGCTGCGTGCCGTGCAGGAGAGATTCGCTGATGCTGACCATGACCCGCCGCCCATCCGCCTGATTGTGGCTGATGGCATGGAGGATGTCACCATCAAGGTGCGTGTTTACTTGAATAAGTGGTAATACCAAGGCGCGTGGAGGGTTTGCAGTACCAAGGTGGAAGGAGGAGAGAGGATTAAGGTGCATTGTGACCATGACCCGCCGCCCATCCGCCTGATTGTGGCTGATGGCATGGAGGATGTCACCATCAAGGTGCGTGTTTACTTGAATAAGTGGTAATACCAAGGCGCGTGGAGGGTTTGCAGTACCAAGGTGGAAGGAGGAGAGAGGATTAAGGTGCATTGTGACCATGACCCGCCGCCCATACCGCCTGATTGTGGCTGATGGCATGGAGGATGTCACCATCAAGGTGCGTGTTTACTTGAATAAGTGGTAATACCAAGGCGCGTGGAGGGTTTGCAGTACCAAGGTGGAAGGAGGAGAGAGGATTAAGGTGCATTGTGACCATGACCCGCCGCCCATCCGCCTGATTGTGGCTGATGGCATGGAGGATGTCATCAAGGTGCGTGGAGGATGGCATAACTGATGTGGGTGGAGAATGTGAGGTTTGATGTGCGTGTGTTGGTGGTGGTGGAGGTGTGGGTTTGTGAATGTTAATTGTGCGTACCATAACCCCTCCACTCCCCTCCCCTCTCTCTTCCTCTTCCTACCAGTACAGATCTCGGCTGAGGGTGGGGGCATCCCACGCAGTTGCCTGCCCAAGATCTGGACGTACCTCTACACCACGGCCCACTCGCCCCTTACCACCCCTTGACACCACTTGCCACCCCTCCCCATCTTGCAGATCTCGGATGAGGGTGGGGGAATTCCGCGCAGTGGGCTACCAAAGATCTGGACATACCTTTACACCACGGCCCACTCGCCCATCGCTGCTGCCAACCAGCTGCACGAGATGCCCACCGTCATGTACGCCACCCCTTGCCACCCCTTTCCACCCCTTGCCTCTCCTTGTCACCTCTTACCACCCTTTGCCAAATCTTGCCATTCCTCGCCACCCCCTTGCCACCACTTGCCACCGCTGTTTGAAACTCTTCCTCATTCCACTTGAACTCATTACGGTTGCCCCCTTGTGCGCCCCTTGTATTGTACCCATCGTTAATATGTGGAGCAGGGCGGGGTATGGGTACGGGCTGCCCATCAGTCGGCTGTATGCGCGCTACTTTGGAGGCGACCTGCAGGTGGTGTCCATGGAGGGCTATGGCACTGACGTGTATCTGCACCTCAACCGCCTTCGGAACGTGCAGGAGCCTCTGCCTTAGTGACGCCACTGCCTTAGTGACGCCACTGCCTTAGTGACGCCACTGCCTTAGTCATGCCACTGCCTTAGTGCTGCCACTTCATGCGCCTCCACGTCTCTCCAAGGTAGTTCAAGCCTTTCCATGAACATCGCCGCTCACATGTATCACCACCGCCGCCCACCTGACCGCGCCGCCCACCTGGACCGCCACCTCCGGCCACATGGACCCCCACCACTGCCCACCTTGACCGCCATCACTGCCCACCTTGACCGCCATCACTGCCCACCTGGACCGCCATCATTGCCCACCTGGAATGCCATCATTGCCCACCTGGAATGCCATCATTGCCCACCTGGACTGCCATCATTGCCCACCTGGACCGCCATCACTGCCATCTCCTCGATGCCATCATCCCCACCCACCACACCGCCCTACCTTGAAACAGCAGCATAGCCACCGTAACCTTCGCACCCCTCTCTCCATGGAGCAGCCATTGTTAATTATAAATAAGGCTGCACAACTAGCGCCACCCACCCACCCAACCCAACCCCTGTCCCTTTCAATTTTGATGCTGTGGGGTTATGCTACATACCATATGCAATGCATTCTCCACTCCACCATTGCCTTCATGGTTCCGGCATAGGCCACCTCCCCTCATCCTTGTAAGATTTTCCTAGCTTGATGGTAGTTGCCTTAATGCTTGGATCTACCATCTCTTCATTTCTCAAACCTACTTCCCCTACTGGTTCGGTTGGCTAGCTAGCTGCTTGTTACCCTGCCTACAATGCAGCTCCTTATGCAAGCTAGTAGCAACATTTCTTGTACAAATGGAAACCAGTTCAGGTTGTTTGCACATAATCCTACAAAGTACGCGTTGTCGGCTTGATTGTTACACCTTGGAGAAAAAGGAGGGTCCGTCTACTGGTGTTGCATGAAGCATGCTTACCCAGGTGTTGCATGAAGCATACCTACCCAGGTGTTGCATGAAGCGTACCTACCCAGGTGTTGCATGACGCATACCTACCCAAGATATCCGTATATGAATGTTTGGATGACTTCAGTAGCTTCAAGCTTTCAATTTCAAAAACCAGGATAAGCAAGCAAGCACTCCCCTCCCACTCCTCTGATGGTTTGAACAGCCTAGAAGCCACTGTGAGCAGTTGGGCCTCATCAATCGGGGTAATCATCAGCCCATCTATGGCCTTCCCACCTCCCGCCACCACGCCACCCGCCACCCAAGCATACGTGCAGGTTAATGCTGCTCGGACGGCAAAACCTAGTACCGCCAGCAGCTGGGCTTCCTCAATGGGAGTGGTCAGGTCATCAGCCCATCCATGCCCACCTCCCACCACCCTAAGCATGCACCACCATGCCGTGACCTTAATGCTCCTGCTCTGCTGGCTTGAACAGCGTAGAAGCCACCGTCAGCAGCTGGGCCTCATCAATGGGAGTGGTCAAGAGCCCATCCATGCCCACATCGCGCCACCGCGCCACCATCTCAGGGTGCATGTCCGACACCAGCCCCAGAATCGGCACGCGGATTCTCTGCAGGCAAACCTTGTCAATCAACCAAGTCAATCAACCACCTGTCAGCATCTTGAATTGTGTGCCTCTGTGAGTCCTGTCTAGTGCTGCTCTGATGGCTTGAACAGCCTGGAAGCCACTGTCAGCAGCTGGGCTTCATCAATGGGAGTAGTGAGCAACCCATCCATGCCCACATCGCGCCACCGCGCCACCATCTCAGGGTGCATGTCTGACACCAACCCCAGGATCGGCACGCGGATTCTCTGCGCTGACGTGGCGCCCCACCGTTGGACCTCCGCCTTGTTGTGCTCCGCCTCCCGGCGCCGCACCTCCTCCGTGAATTCAAAGCTGCGGGGGAACGGGGGGGGGAGGGGAGATTGGGGGGGAATTGGTTTTTGGGAGTGTTCAATGATTCGGGTTAGGACCCACTGTTGGACCTCTGCCCTGTTGTGCTCGCCCTCCGGCGCCGCACCTCCTCCGTGAACTCAAAGCTGCGGGGGTTGAGGGAAGGTTTGTTGTTTGGGAGGGTTCATGGATGTAAAGGTGAAAGAGAGATCTGGGTGTGTGTGCCGCCTTGTTGTGCTCAGCCTCCCGACGCCACACCACCTCGGTGGATTCAAACCTGGAAGGGGGAGAAGGGGTGGGAGCGGGAGGGTGGGTGAGAGTGTTGAGGAATGCGGAGGTGAAGGAGAGGTGTGAATGCGTGTGTGGACTTGTGTGTGCACGTGTTGCTTCGCCTTGTTGTGCTTGGCCCGTTGATACCTCAGTGAATGGACGTCACACTCCACCCCACCCGAACCCAACCCACTCCACTCCACCCTAGCCGACTGCACCCCACCCCACCCCACACCACCAGTCAGCAACACTCACCCAGGCATGTCAGCGAGTCGGATATTAACGAGGATGAGCTGGAAGGAGTGTGGCAGCGGTGTGAGCCGCGAGAGGGCCTCCACTGAGCTGTCAACGGCCACCACCACGTCAGCAAAGTGCGAAACCAGCTCAGCAGCCGCCTTGCGCGTGATGTAATGGTGGTCTACCACCAACACCCGCTTCCCCTTGAGGCACAGCCGCAGCAGCAGCTGCCTGCGCCTGGTGGCCAGTGCTGTTGTCTCTCGTGGGTTCAGCCCGAGTGCCTTTGTGAAAGGTTAGGAGAGAGGGAAAGAAGTAGAGGTGAACGCAGGAAGGAAAATTCGGAGGGGCAGGGGATTAGAAAAGGTTGTAGGGAAGAGGGCGAAATGAGGGGAGTGATGTAGTGGTGGTCTACCACCAGGACTCGCTTGCCCTTGAGGCACAACCACAACCGCCGCTGCAGCAGCAGCTGTAGGGCGGGAGGAAGAAAGGAGAGGGGCGAAATGAGGGGAGTGATGTAGTGGTGGTCGACCACCAGGACTCGCTTGCCCTAGAGGCACAGCCGCAGCAGCAGCTGCCTTCGCCTGGTGGCCAGCGCTGTTGTCTCCCAGGGGTTCAGCTCGAGCGCCTACGGGGGAGAGGGAGGGAGGAGATGGTAGGAGAGAGGAGGGAGAGGATAGGTAGGAGGAGAAAGATGGAGGATGAGGGGTAGGTGGGAGACAGGAAATGCAGGAGCAGCCATGCACCATGCGCCATGTACCATGCGTCATGTACCATGTGCCATGTACCATGTGTCATTTACCGTGTGTCATGTACCATGTGTCATGTACCGTGTGTCATGTACCATGTGTCATGTACCGTGTGCCATGTACCATGTGTCATGTACCGTGTGTCATGTACCGTGTGTCATGTACCGCGTGTCATGTACCATGTGTCATGTACCGTGTGCCATGCGCCATGTACCATGTGTCATGTACCGTGTGCCATGTACCATGTGTCATGTACCGTGTGCCATGTACCGTGTGTCATGTACCGTGTGCCATGTACCATGTGTCATGTACCGTGTGTCATGTACCGTGTGCCATGTACCGTGTGTCATGTACCGTGTGTCATGTACCGTGTGTCATGTACCGTGTGTCATGTACCATGTGTCATGTACCGTGTGTCATGTACCGTGTGTCATGTACCATGTGTCATGTACCATGTGTCATGTACCGTGTGTCATGTACCATGTGTCATGTACCATGTGTCATGTACCGTGTGTCATGTACTGTGTGTCATGTACCATGTACCATGTGTCATGTACCGTGTGCCATGTACCATGTGTCATTTACCGTGTGTCATGTACCATGTGTCATGTACCGTGTGCCATGTACCATGTGTCATGTACCGTGTGTCATGTACCGTGTGTCATGTACCGTGTGCCATGTACCATGTGTCATTTACCGTGTGTCATGTACCATGTGTCATGTACCGTGTGCCATGTACCATGTGTCATTTACCGTGTGTCATGTACCATGTGTCATGTACCGTGTGCCATGCGCCATGTACCATGTGTCATGTACCGTGTGCCATGTACCATGTGTCATGTACCATGTGTCATGTACCGTGTGCCATGTACCATGTGTCATGTACCATGTGCCATGTACCATGTGTCATTTACCGTGTGTCATGTACCATGTGTCATGTACCGTGTGTCATGTACCATGTGTCATGTACCGTGTGTCATGTACCATGTGTCATGTACCGTGTGCCATGTACCATGTGTCATGTACCGTGTGTCATGTACCATGTGTCATGTACCGTGTGCCATGCGCCATGTACCATGTGTCATGTACCGTGTGCCATGTACCATGTGTCATGTACCATGTGTCATGTACCGTGTGCCATGTACCATGTGTCATGTACCATGTGTCATGTACCGTGTGCCATGTACCATGTGCCATGTACCATGTACCATGTGACAGTGCCATATGCATACCTGCAGGAGGAGCCATGGCCATAGTGGTGGCTATAAGCGGATTGAGAATGATTCATGCATGAAATGTCGGGACGGGCAGACTTTCTCCCCTTAGCACCAGCCATACCTGCAGGAGCGCGGTGGCCATGGTGGCAGTTCGCAGGGGCTTGAGCATGATGCATGAAAATCCGTGCCTCGCTGCCTCTGCCTCCAAGTCGTCGTTTGTCGTCTGGTTCAGCACGGTGCAGAGCGGTGAAAGGGACGGGGAAGAGGGGAGAGGAGGACGATATGTAAACAAATACGAGGATGAATGAGTTACTGGGAATGAGGGCAAATGGGTGATTTGTTGAGTTCATGGATACAGTGAAGAATGGGCTCCACATGGATGGATGGATGGGTAAAAGGGAGCACCCGAGTGAGCAGCAGTAGCTTGGGCATGATGCAAGTGACACACTTCCCCTTTCCCCCTTTCCCCCTTCGCGTGACATTGTAACGAGCTGACTACTGAGTCGACTCAGAAGTGAGCAGCAGTAGCTTGGGCACGATGGGTGACACATTCCCCCTTTCCCCCTTCGCACCTTCCCTCCTTCCCCTTCCCCTTACACCCCTCCCCCCCCCCCCTTACCTGAGTAGCAGCAGCTTGGGCACGATAGGAGTGGCCTCCCACGCCTCCCTCAACTCCTTGAGTTGCTGCACCATGCGCCCCAGCTCTATCCCCGTGCCCGGCCCATTGAGCTCAGATTTCTTGGTAGCAAGTGATTGAACCCCCCTCCTCCCTCCCCCTTACCTGAGTGAGCAGCAGCAGCAGCTTGGGCACGATAGGAGTGGTCTCCCACGCCTCTCTCAGCTCCTTCAGTTGCTGCACCATGCGCCCCAGCTCTATCCCCGTGCCCGGCCTGTCCCCGACTCGAGCGCTACGAAAACACCATCCTTTTTTAACCTCTCTCGTCTCTTACCTGAGTGAGCAGCAGCAGTTTAGGCACAATAGGAGTTGCCTCCCACGCCTCTCTCAGCTCCTTCAGTTGCTGCACCATGCGCCCCAGCTCTATCCCCGTGCCCGGCCCGTCCGCATCTGCATCCACCACCACCATGTCCCACCGGCTCTTGCGATTCACCAGGCCCTGGCCTGTGACGAGTGGAATGAAGGGACGGGGAGGGATACGTGAGTGAGTGTCTGTGATTCGTCTGCGTCTGCATCTGCATCCACCACCACCATGTCCCACCGGCTCTTGCTGTTCACCAGGCCTTGGCCTGCGCGTTTGAGGACGAATGGGGATTAAGGAAGGGTGTGTGAGTGAGTGAGTGAGTGCTGCTTGGCCCGTCCGCATCTGCATCCACCACCTACATGTCCCACCGGCTCTTTCTGTTCACTAGGCCCTGGCCTGTGTGTGTGCATGGGGGGCATGGAGGGATGGTGAGTGGGTGAAGTGAGCAGGTAAGGGTGCTTGAGTGACTAGGTGGCAGCAGCAGCTAGGTTTCACGCTTAAACAATCCACCCGTCAGTCACCCACCTGGGAGGTGCCGGGAGTGTCTGAGCGCCAGGGCAGCAGCAGCAGGGACGCTTCAAGATCCACTTGAAGGCCCATGCGAGCCAGGTACATGGCAGTGCCAGGGCAGCCACAGGGATGATTCACAGTCACCCACCTGGTAGATGCCGGGAGTGCCTGAGTGCCAGGGCAGCAGCAGGGACGCTTCAAGATTCACTTGAATGCCCATGCGAGCCAGGTACATGGCAGTGCCAGGGCGGCAGTAGGGATGACTCACAGTCACCCACCTGGTAGATGCCGGGGAAGTGCCTGAGTGCCAGCGCAGCAGCAGGGACGCTATCAGAGAGGTCAACTCGTAGCCCCATGCGGGCCAGGTACGTGGCAGTCACCTGCTGCCTCACCGGACGCCCATCCACCACCAGACACCGCATGCCTCGCAGCTTCTCGCCCCTGGCTAGTCGCCCCCTATCGCCCCACTTGCTGCTCGTTACCTATCACCCTGCAGGCTATGTCTAGTATCTATCTACTACCAGTACCAGTCACCCACCTGGTAGGTGCCTGGAGTTTCGCAGGGCCAGGGCAGCAGCAGGGACGCTGTCAGAGAGGTCAACTCGGAGGCACATGCGGGCCAGGTACGTGGCAGTCACCTGCTGCCTCACATGCTGGTCCAAACCAAACCAAATGCTGCTCGCACCCTATTGCCCTGCCCTGTGTCTATGGATCACCCACCTGGTAGGTGCCTGGAGTTTCGCAGGGCCAGGGCAGCAGCAGGGACGCTGTCAGAGAGGTCAACTCGGAGGCCCATGCGGGCCAGGTACGTGGCAGTCACCTGCTGCCTCACATGCTGGTCCAAACCAAACCAAATGCTGCTCGCACCCTATTGCCCTGCCCTGTGTCTATGGATCACCCACCTGGGAGGTGCCTTGAGTGTCCCAGTGCCAGCGCAGCAGCAGGGACGCTATCAGAGAGGTCAACTCGGAGGCCCATGCGGGCCAGGTACGTGGCAGTCACCTGCTGCCTCACATGCTGGTCCAAACCAAACCAAATGCTGCTCGCACCCTATTGCCCTGCCCTGTGTCTATGGATCACCCACCTGGGAGGTGCCTTGAGTGTCGCAGTGCCAGCGCAGCAGCAGGGACGCTATCAGAGAGGTCAACTCGGAGGCCCATGCGGGCCAGGTACGTGGCAGTCACCTGCTGCCTCACATGCTGGTCCAAACCAAACCAAATGCTGCTCGCACCCTATTGCCCTGCCCTGTGTCTATGGATCACCCACCTGGGAGGTGCCTTGAGTGTCGCAGTGCCAGCGCAGCAGCAGGGACGCTGTCAGAGAGGTCAACTCGGAGGCCCATGCGGGCCAGGTCCGTGGCAGTCACCTGCTGCCTCACATGCTGGTCCAAACCAAACCAAATGCTGCTCGGACCCTATTGCCCTGCCCTGTGTCTATGGATCACCCACCTGGGAGGTGCCTTGAGTGTCGCAGTGCCAGCGCAGCAGCAGGGACGCTGTCAGAGAGGTCAACTCGGAGGCCCATGCGGGCCAGGTACGTGGCAGTCACCTGCTGCCTCACATGCTGGTCCAAACCAAACCAAATGCTGCTCGCACCCTATTGCCCTGCCCTGTGTCTATGGATCACCCACCTGGGAGGTGCCTTGAGTGTCGCAGTGCCAGCGCAGCAGCAGGGACGCTGTCAGAGAGGTCAACTCGGAGGCCCATGCGGGCCAGGTCCGTGGCAGTCACCTGCTGCCTCACATGCTGGTCCAAACCAAACCAAATGCTGCTCGCACCCTATTGCCCTGCCCTGTGTCTATGGATCACCCACCTGGGAGGTGCCTTGAGTGTCGCAGTGCCAGCGCAGCAGCAGGGACGCTGTCAGAGAGGTCAACTCGGAGGCCCATGCGGGCCAGGTCCGTGGCAGTCACCTGCTGCCTCACATGCTGGTCCAAACCAAACCAAATGCTGCTCGCACCCTATTGCCCTGCCCTGTGTCTATGGATCACCCACCTGGGAGGTGCCTTGAGTGTCCCAGTGCCAGCGCAGCAGCAGGGACGCTGTCAGAGAGGTCAACTCGGAGGCCCATGCGGGCCAGGTACGTGGCAGTCACCTGCTGCCTCACATGCTGGTCCAAACCAAACTCGCACCCTATTGCCCTGCCCTGTGTCTATGGATCACCCACCTGGGAGGTGCCTTGAGTGTCGCAGTGCCAGCGCAGCAGCAGGGACGCTGTCAGAGAGGTCAACTCGGAGGCCCATGCGGGCCAGGTCCATGGCAGTAACCTGCTGCCTCACATGCTGGTCCAAACCAAACCAAATGCTGCTCGCACCCTATTGCCCTGCCCTGTGTCTATGGATCACCCACCTGGGAGGTGCCTTGAGTGTCGCAGTGCCAGCGCAGCAGCAGGGACGCTGTCAGAGAGGTCAACTCGGAGGCCCATGCGGGCCAGGTACGTGGCAGTCACCTGCTGCCTCACAGGCCGCCCATCCACCACCAGACACCGCATGCCCCGCAGCTTCGCCCTCAGCCCCGCACACTCCGCGTGCTGATCGTCCCCTATCGCCCCGTACCCTATGTGAAACACCCGCGGCACTGCCCCCCCTGCCGCTGCTGCCGCTCCTCCTCCTCCTCCTCCTCCTCCTGCTACTGCTCCGACCCCTCCAGCTGAGCCTCCGCTGCTGCCGCCAGTGCCAGGGGAGGGGGCACCTGGGGGAGGCTGGTCCAGGAGTACGTCGAAGGTGACGGTGGTGCCGGTGCTGACGCGCGTGGATAGCGACATTTGTCCTGACATGGAGTTCACGAGCCTGAGGGGATAAATGGAGAGGGCGGGGAGGAGCGGGAACAGGAGGGGGCGAGAGAAGGGGGGAGATGGGGGAGGGGGAGAGGGAAAGGGAGGGGGGGTGACTGTGTCCTGGCTTCATGTGGACCGGCTCGAACGGCCGAAGCAGCACGGCAGTGTACATACAAAAAAGGCAAACAGACAGAAAGAGAGATAGACAGGCAGACTACCGCTCACCTCTCAGCGAAGCACAGCAGCAGCGGCACGCCCGCGTACTTCTGCTGCAGCTTCATGAGAACCGCCTCAAACGGCCGCTCCCTCGCTGCCAGCACCTCCCCCGGCAGCCTCGCCCCCGTGTCCTCCAAAGAAAACACCAGCCGGATGCCCCTCCCCTTCCATGCTTCACTCACCTCCCGGTGAAGCCCAGCGGCAGGGGCAGCAGCAGCAGCGGCAGCAGCAGCAGTGTATGTACAGACGGACAGACAGACGCGTTACTCACCTCTCAGCAAAGCAGAGCAGCAGCGGCACGCCCGCGTACTTCTGCTGCAGCTTCATGTGAACCGCCTCAAACGGCCGCTCCCTCGCTGCCAGCACCTCCCCCGGTAGCCCCGCCCCCGTGTCCTCCAGACTAAACACCAGCCGGATGCCCCTCCTCCTCCTGTCCGCCGCTGCCCTTGCCCCGGTTCCAGATGCACCCCCAGCAGTAGCAGCAGCAGCAGAACCACCACCGCCGCTGCCGCTGCCAGAAGCAGCTACAGCCGCAGGAGCAGAAGCAGTCCCAGCAGCAGTCCCAGCAGCGCCACCAGCAGCGCCACCAGAGGGTGATTTTTTTAGTCGGTTCTCCTGCTGCTTCAGCATCTCACAGACGGCAGGCCAGCTGTTGCTGCCGTCCACTGCTGGTAACCCGCTCAGAGTCAGGTACTCGCCCTTCATGAGAGACGTTTTGCCCCGTGCTGCCCTCTCCTTCTCCTCCTCTCCTCCATCCCCCCCTTCCCCTGCTGCTGCTCCTCCTCCTGCTGCTCCTGATCCTGCCACTGGTGCTGCTGCTGCTGCTGCTGCTGCTGCTGGTTTGTGGGGAGCGTCGAAGGCAACACGCACACAGAGGAAGATGTGGCCCCGATCGGTGAGGCGGACAGCAACAGTGAAGAGGTTGAGAAGAATCTGCATTTGAAGGAGAGGAGTGAGAGGAATGGGGGGTTTGGAAATCGGGAGAGAGAGGCAATGAGACACAGAGGAAGATGTGGCCCCGATTGATCAGGCGGAGAGCAACAGTGAAGAGATTGAGAAGAAACTGCATGTGGAGGAGAGGAGAAAGAGGAGTGGGTGGGGGGGAGGGAGGGAGGGGGGGGGGTTGGGTTGGTGTTTACACATGATGGGGTTAGGAAGTGACAATACACATGCACAAGAGAATGTGTTTTGAGTCGACTCAAAACACACCTGGATACACATGCACAAGCGAATGTGGCCTGAGTCTGAATGGGTCACATTCGCTTCCCCCACACCACAACAGCTGCTGGCACATTGTCCACTCGCTTGACCAGCACGGCTATCTCCACTCGCTTGACCAGCACGGCTATCTCCACTCGCTTGACCAGCACGGCTATCTCCACTCGCTTGACCAGCACGGCTATCTCCACTCGCTTGACCAGCACGGCTATCTCCACTCGCTTGACCAGCACGGCTATCTCCACTCGCTTGACCAGCACGGCTATCTCCACTCGCTTGACCAGCACGGCTATCTCCACTCGCTTGACCAGCACGGCTATCTCCACTCCCTTCTCACACGCACTTGTCAGAGCCTCGGGCTCACCACACACACCTGTCTGAGTCGTAGTGGATCGCCCACAACAGCTGCGGGCACCGAGTCCATGACCAGCGCGCAGCTATCTCCACTCCCTTCTCACACGCCTCCCCACATGTGAGCGCTTTAGCGAAACTTCCTCCCCACCCACTCCCCGTTGGTGCATTTCAACGCGCGTACCTGTCTGAGTCGGAGTGGATCGCCCACAACCGCTGCAGGCACCGAGTCCATGACCAGCGCGGCTATCTCCACTCCCTTCTCACACGCCTCCCCGCCTGTCAGAGCCAACACCTCGTCCACTAGCGGACGAAACTCAAACAGTGCCGACTCCAGCCTGGGCGGCACCGGCACTGTAGCCACAGGCCTCAACGCCCCTCCTGCATCCAGGCTGTCAGCTGTAGCAGAACTAGCAGCCGCTGCCCCTGCTGCTGTAACGGCTGTAGCAGCAGCTGCGGATGCAGCTCCACCAGCGCCTATAGCAGCTGTAGCAGAGGCGGCGGCGGCGGCGGCAGCTGCTGCTGCAGCCGCCCGGCCGTCCGCGCGCCAGGTGTCAACGACGTTGTTCGCCACGTGGATGAGGTGGCGCGTGGTGGCGGTGACAGAATGCAAGATATCCTGCTGCATTGCGTCCAGGGGCGAGGAGGACAGCAGCTGCAGCACCCCCAGCACCCCTCTCAACGGAACCCGCACCTCATTCACCAAAATCGCTAACAGCGAGTTTGTCCCAACACTCTCACTGATCGCAGCAAGGCTCTCTGCTAAACCGACATCGCCAACTGCCACGACTCCCCCCCCTGCACCACCTGCGAACCCCTCCCAGTCCTCCCTCTCACCGTCCTCCGATCCCTCCTCTTCCTCCTCCTCCCCCTCGCTCTCTTCCCCTTCACCCAGTCCCCCGTCCCCTCCAGCCCCCGCGCTTGCTCCGTCCGCCTCTAGCCTATTAACCTTCTCTCTTAAGACTACTAATGTCTTAATGACAGCAGACACCTGCCGCAGAAGCAGGAGGGCGAACCCTAGGACGACGAGTGTGGCGGCAACAGGGGACCAGGGCTGAAGCGCGAGAGTGGCGGCTGCTGCCACGGCTGGGTGCCACGTGGCGAGAGGAGGGAGAGGCGGAGCAGGACATGTGGCGTTTCCTGATTGGACTGACCCGGGCTGTGAGGCTGGAACCCCTTCCCCTCCTGCTGTTTCATTAACAGCGGAGTTAGAGGAGAGGCAGGAGGAGGATGAGGGGTGGGAGAGACTGGGAACGGGTGACGTGGCAGTCTGCATTACGTGGTAGGCAATAAACGCAGCGATCAAGTAGCCCAGCCATAGGCCAATCCACGATAGCCACGTCAGCCGAGGTCTTCTCGATTGATTATTCTCCTTTTCCGTTCCGTTCGTCCTCCTTGCTCCCAGCAGACCATCTGTCTCCTTCCCCCGTAACCCTCCCGCTCTTTTCGCTCCCGTCTTATCTGAAACCCTATTATTTTCCTCCTCATCCCCGTCCGCATCGCTGACGTCACTCTCCGTTCTCGCGTCTCTCTCGCTCACCTCGTCACTCTTCTCCCCATCCTCCTCCTCTGCTTCAGTTTCACTTCCTTCGTCCCCCGATTCCTCCGCGTCGCTGTCCCTGTCAGACCCCTCGTCGGAACCCTCACTCCTCTCACTTGCGCTTTCATCCCCGCTTCCCTGGCCGCTCGCACTCCCGCTTTCGCTCGCGCTCTCGCTCTCGTTCTCGCTCTCCTCCTTTCTCGGTTCGGCCTTTTTGCGAGGAGGAGCCATCGCTCCTGTTCCCGCTATCAGCTCGTGCACCCGCAATTTGAACTATCGATCAGCGTCCAACGGCGCTAACAATGGGATCGAGGATTGCTGACCAGGGCAATGTGCCGTCCGCGTGAGCAATTTTGAGCAAGTGCATTCAGGAGCCAGGCCAGAACCTCTCTAGGTCAGCCCTCAATCCAACACTCACAAGTCGGAGCTGGGTAAGATAATCAAGTCCTCCGAAGGCTCAAAACTGGATGAATATGCTTTGGGATTTCCGAGCCGATCTGGTCAGTTCAATTAGGGGGGTGGAAGGAATTGGCTTGGCTCTGCTCCCTCACCACCTCCACCAACCTCGGTCTTGGGGATCCCTCGTGAGACATCGCAATTGGCGAAGAATTCACGAGCACTCGAGCGAAACCTTGCTTGCAGGTGGGGCGATTACTTCCCTCAAATTTCTGCAAAAGTTTCAGATGAACTACATTTCTGGATTTGCGGGCACCTTGAGAATAATTTGTTAGCGAGCGAACACCCTGAACAGCCCAGCCAGCATATTCTGATGCCCGGCGGAGAAGCATCACACAAGTACAGTAAACGAACCTTCAACTGTACAGCCAATTCTCCTGAAACAGAACCCAGGGGCCAAAGGTTCTCATCTGCCCCATCTGCCCCATCTGCAGGTTACCATGCCAGGCGACCGAGGGTGTGAATCGTGTATTTCGCACACCAGCTGCTGGTGACGCCCGGTCTCTACAGTTCTTTGAGATGGGAAACTGGAGTGGAGAAGCCTGAACCAGACAGCAGCTGGACAGAAGCTTGAAATGAGATGAGAAGCTGTACTCTAGCTTGAAATGAGAAGCTGTACTCAAGCTTGGAATGAGAAGCTGTACTCCCTCCACCAACCAACTCCATAATACCTCGTGCTTACTTGGATTGGATTGGAACCCAGCTCCATACTGTCTTTTCAGTTTCAGTTCTAGAACCTCTCTCGTTAGTGGCGTGCTATTCTAGTTCTGCTTCTGATAACCCGGGCTGGGTTGACGACGTGGTGGCTCGCAAGGAGTGTTCGGCTTACCTCAGAGCGCAATGGACAGATTACTTTTGCATATGACAGCAGCTAAGCAGCACCTTCCATTTAGGCGGTAAATTCTGCGGTGCACAAACACGTGTCTTGTTTTAGTGGCAATATACGATTGCCTGGCTGGGCCATACATGGTGTCAGTGGGCCCTGCCTGGAGCTCAATTTGATCCGTGGTATCAGTGGCTTGTTATTCGAATCGCTGTCAGCTGTGTGCTGACGATAAATATATCCGTGATCCCGAGCCGTTGTAGGTAACCTCTTAGAGAATTTTCGGAATTCGTTAGCCGAACAGTGATCAATGCGTCAGCCGAGATTGCTGCAATGTGACGTCTAAAACTCTTGGAATGCCCAGCGTATCATTATGGCTCAAATATGCTTTGTTAGCCCGTTAGATGATCCACGGATACCTCCGTACTAGTAGTGGCGGACTTCCGACTCGACTCCAGGCAACACTTGCCACGGCGCCATCTGTTTATTGAAGCGCTGAAGATTAGACCAATTTTCTGAAGGTAGAGAAGTTCTTCGACTCGACGAAGAATTCGTCTTTTTGTATCGGGTCCATCTGTAGTGGAGCATCATGGTCGGCCATTCAACACCCGGGGGATTCCTAAGATTCCTAAGATTTGGCCGATCGGGGTCGCTCAAGGCGTTGTCAGCGGCGTCGAGCAGCAAGCATCCTCCAAGGTAGTAGACCATATATGGTTCAGAGAAATCTCCTGTGCTCTTAAAAGCTCCCACCGTTTCCGTTTTCCACTAATCTGCTAAATCTGCGGGTCAGAAATATCGTATCTTACTTCCAATCCCGCGTTCGTTTTTGGTGAGGCTCATCCATCAACGTGACAATAGTAATTCATTGGGTTTACTGCCTCGGACCTATTTCTAATTGCGAATTTTCTTTTTGACTGGCTCTGTTTTCGAATTCTGTTTCGCAGAGAATCTCTCAGCCTGCGGGTTCTGTTCATGCGGTTGATATACGCGTTAGTGGTGGTCGTCATCGCCATGTGCGGCAGCGTTTCGTTTGAGGAGGTGGCTCGGAGAATAGCGAATTCGCAGACCAGCAACGTCCCGAAACGAGCTCAAGTCCTCATCAACCTCCTCGGGACAGGCCAATTAGGTGAGCGTGCAACAGAATCTCAGCAAATGAGCCGTTACAGCGAGAGATGACTCTTAAGTTGACTTGGGTTAGCAGCTCCCATCTTGGGGACAGAATGGCTGTTAACGAACTCACTCTTGAGTCGCTTAAGAACTATTCATTCGGACGGCACATTAAGCGGAGGCGGAGGTGGTGAGTACAGCAAGCACGCACGACTGACTGGGGCTGTCCGGACAAAGGGAAACGTGAGACGGTGGATGGACGCCTCGGCCGGGTAAATCTGCTTGTTCGTTCGGTTGTTTTTTGCTCCTTTTTTTGTACTTTTACAGACCTTGTCAGCTCGGTTTTGTCCCCCATAAACATTTTTTGGCCCACACGCTATGGTTGGGTGTACCAGGCAACAGGCGGGCAAGGGGTTGGGGAGGGGTTTGGGGGAAAGGGCTGGGTGATAGGGCAAGCGGATGGGGAAAGTATGCCTGAGTATATGGAGTGGTTTGTATTGTGTGGCATGGTGTGGTGTGACGTGGTTAATGAATAGAATGACATGGCACGGACTGTGTTAGGGATTTCGGCTGTTTCCCTTCTGGAGTGCCTACAACGGTTCGTGTCTTTTTTCATACCCTTTCCCACACAATGCCTCCAAAAGGCTTGAATGGACAAGAACGGAAGGTCTGTGGCACAATGAAGGTTTCGAATCCCGTAAGTAACGTGTCACACTACACTACTGTACATTCAGGTATGTAGGCAGGTAGGTAGGCATAATGGGCATGCCAAGCCAAGCCCGTTCTTCTTCTCTTTTCTGTCTCCCGTCACCTCCTTCCAATCTCTCTCTTCCCATTTCTTCTCCAAGCCAACGTGCACCATTATCCAATGAACTAATGATGCTTATTGCCTGGCATGGCATGGTATGTCTATGTGGTATGGTGCATGCATGTTGCCTGGAGTGCATGGGGGAAGAGGAAGGGGGTTGGGTTGGGAAGGGGTGGGAAGCAGTGGGGAGGGGTGGAGTGGAAGGGAGTGGGGCGAGATGGGGTGGGAAGGAGTGGGAAGGGGTGGGGTGGATTGGTGGAAATTGGGGGGCGTATGGGTGGTGGTGTGCAGGGCGGCCGCTGTTTTACCGCGAATCCAAACGGGACGAGATTCGCCGGACGTTTCACGAGCCCGTGCCACCCAAGCCAAGGACGGTGCAGGGTGTAGTAGAGGGGGTGGTGTTATCAGCAGCGAATGGTATCTCTTCCCTCTGGAAACGACGCACTCCTGATAAGAAGTGCCTCATTCTCGCTGCTCCAGGTACTCATATCGTCGCAAAAACTCTTCATCAATAGCAGTAGCAGCTGCTGGTGTCCTTAACATCAACATCACCACCAGATGCACAATCTTATTTGCTAAGTAATTTTCGAATGCTCCTCTCCCTCTCCCACTGCTATCCGCCACCCTTGCAGACACACAGCTGCCCATGCAGCAGCAGCAGCAACAGCAGCAACTGGTGTCGTCATCAGCAGACGTGCTCAAGGAGTGGCGGGCCGAGGAGGTGAAAGAGGCCATCCCCATCGTGTTTGTCACCAGTCACGTGCCTAACGAGCCTCACCACCCGGCTCTTGTGGTCATTGAACAGGTACGAGAAAGCTGAAGGGAGGGAAAGGGAGTGAGGGATGCACGGATCGCTGAAGTTTGATTCAAGGAGTGGCGGGCCAAGGAGGACCATGAGAGGCCATCCCCATCGTTTGTGTCACCAGCAACGTGCCCAACGAGCCTCACCACCTGGCTCTTGTTGTGATTGAACAGGTATGGGAGGTGGAAAGAGGGCGAGCGAGTGAAAGGGTGGCTGGAATGTGAATGGAGGGCGGACCAAGGGGGTGCAGGGGTGGCTGGAGAGTGAATGAGGAGAGGGTGTGAGGTGAAGTGAAGGTGTGGCTTGAGTGTGAATGGATTGGCGACCCAAGGAGGTCCAGGAGGTCACTCCATTCACCCTCAAGCCACACCTTCCTGTTCTCATTTTCTATTTTCCACTCCCCACTCCCCCCTCCCACTCTCAGGCACGAAGCCTGAACGATCTCGTATACATGGTGGGGCCCAATCCCAACCTATAGCACCGGTCTTCCTCCTCATCCTCTGCTCACCTTCCCCTCCTGCTCCCCTTCCCCTCCTGCTCACCTTCCCCTCCTGCTCCCCTTCCCCTCCTGCTCACCTTCCCCTCCTGCTCCCCTTCCCCTCCTGCTCCCCTTCCCCTCCTGCTCCCCTTCCCCTCCTGCTCACCTTCCCCTCCTGCTCCCCTTCCCCTCCTGCTCCCCTTCCCCTCCTGCTCCCCTTCCCCTCCTGCTCCCCTTCCCCTCCTGCTCACCTTCCCCTCCTGCTCACCTTCCCCTCTTGCTCACCTTCCCCTCCTGCTCACCTTCCCCTCCTGCTCCCCTTCCCCTCCTGCTCACCTTCCCCTCCTGCTCCCCTTCCCCTCCTGCTCCCCTTCCCCTCCTGCTCCCCTTCCCCTCCTGCTCCCCTTCCCCTCCTGCTCCCCTTCCCCTCCTGCTCCCCTTCCCCTCCTGCTCCCCTTTCCCTCCTGCTCCCCTTCCCCTCCTGCTCCCCTTCCCCTCCTGCTCCCCTTCCCCTCCTGCTCCCCTTCCCCTCCTGCTCCCCTTCCCCTCCTGCTCCCCTTCCCCGGCCCCACTTCCCCTTCCCAGGCGCGGAGTACGACCTGGTGGTGTACGTGGTGGGGCCCAACCCCAACCTCAAGCACCTGCTTCCCTCCCCTGCCTTTCCTCACCTTTTGAGGCGCCTCAAAATTGCGGGTAGAGAGACGAATTTTGAGGCGCCTCAAAATTGCGGGTAGAGAGACGACTTTTGAGGCGCCTCAAAATTGCGGGTAGAGAGACGACTTTTGAGGCGCCTCAAAATTGCGGGTAGAGAGACGACTTTTGAGGCGCCTCAAAATTGCGGGTAGAGAGACGACTTTTGAGGCGCCTCAAAAGCCCAACCTCAAGCACCTGCTTCCCTCCCCTGCCTTTCTTCTCCTTCCTGCCTGTTCTCCATGCCTGCTCCTCCCCCTCACTTCGCTTTTCACCCCCCCAGGCGCGGAGTCTGAACGACCTGGTGTACGTGGTGGGGCCCAATCCGAACCTGAAGCACCTGTCAGCACTGGGAGTGACCATCGAGGGGCGCAACGAGTACAACGACACGTGCGCCTGGCTGGCTGTGAGTTGCTGGCTTTCTAAGGGTGGATCTTTGGGGTTTCTCGTGGGAGTGACCATTGAGGGACACAACGAGTATGACGACATGTGCGCCTGGCTCGCTGTGAGTTGCTGGCCTTTAGAAGCGAATCATTGCGGTGATGACTCGTGTGGGTGGCTACTGCGGGGGACTCATGGGGGTGACCATTGAGGGGCGCAACGAGTATAACGACGCGTGCGCCTGGCTCGCTGTGAGTTGATTGATGGCTGCAAGAGTTTGTGGTTTGTAATAGGGTTCTGTGCACCTCTCCGACCCACCCCTCCTCAAACCTCTCCCCACTTCCTCCCCAAATCCCCTTTCCCCCATACCAGCGCAAACTGGGGGTGATGCGAATAGAGGTAGCGCGGCCTTAGATCCTCACAGCTGGGTTTTGAGAATTCTCTGGTTTTTTAGAATTCTCAAAAACTGGGGGTGACGCGAATAGAGGTGGCGCGGCCTTGGATCCTCGCAGCCTTCATGGAGCACCACAGCCCACCATTTCCCCCCACTCCAATTTCCTCCCTCCCTCCTCTCCCGTCCCACCTCAACTCATCTGCCCCTTTTTTCGTCCACCCAACCAACTCCCCCCTTTCTCCTGTAACTCAATTTCCCCCCTTCCCCCCCCCCCACCCCCTCCTTCCTCCCTCGTCCCCTGCACTCCTCATCATACCAGCGCAAGATGGGAGTAACGCGAATAGAGGTGGCGCGGCCATGGATCCTCGCTGCGTTCATGGAGCGCCACAACTTCTCTCGAGTGCTCTCCCTCTCCATAGACGTCATGCTCTATGTCAACGTCTCCCAGGTTCGCTTTATGCGGTTTTGAATGTCCCAGCCTTCAGTATATGCCAATGTGTCCCCAGTATGCTCTTTGTGGATGTGAGGTTTGATGCTCTATGCCACTGTGCCACAGGTGGGAGGTGGCGCTTGGTTGCTCTATGCGCACCTTTCTTTGCTTCGAAGGTGCCGATAGGCGAATGTGTTGCTTCATGCAGCCAGCCAGCCGCTAGTGCAATGCCGGCGTGGCATCGCTACTACAGATTTGCAATGCAAGTGCAGCAACTCCTCGTGAGGCGCCTCAAATAGATGATTTTTGAGGCGCCTTAAGAATGCCGGCGTGGCATCGCTACTACACATTTGCAAGTGCAGCAACTCCTTGTGAGGCGCCTCAAAAAGTTGAGGCGCCTTAAGAATGCCGGCGTGTCATCGCTTCAGTTCTGCGAGCGAGCGCAACGCCTCCACTGCAATGGCTTTCTTGCATCTCGTTCCCCTGCTTCACCTCCCTCGCAGATGGTCGCATGGATGTATCCATCATCCAAGATGGTGCTGCCCGTGCGATGGCCCTCCATGCAGCCGCCCCCTCTCCCCTCGCAGTACACCTCAACTGCAGTCTCCAACCATGCAGGTATGCTGCAGTACACCTTACCTGCAGTCTCGCAGTACACGCAGATCTGCTCTTGGCACTGATTGGCACGGTGTGACTCCACTCCACAACGTCTCTCAATCACATCTCCCTCCCTCTCTCCCTAATCCCCTCGCTCTCCTCCCCTCGCTCTCCTCCCCGCTTCCCTCGTTCCCACTATCAGCCCTGTGACACATCGACGCGTTCAAAGACTTCTTAGCCCTGTACAAGCAGATCTGGTCCATGGCGCTGTTCGGGGTGTGCCCAGACTTTTCCCAACCACATTTCCCTCCCAGCTCCTCCACTTCCATCCCCCCTTCCATCTCTCCACCCTCTGTCTGTACTACCAGCCCTGTGGCACATCGACGCGTTGAAATACTTCTTAGCCCTGTACAAGCAGACCTGGTCCATGGCGCTGGTGAGGGGAATTGGCCCGATCACTGACCCTTACCACCCGTCTCTGCTCCCTTTCCCCCATCCTCTTCCCCATCAGCCCTGTGGCACATTGATGCTCTGAAGGACTTCCTAGCCTTGTACAAGCAGATCTGGTCCATGGCGCTGTTCGGGGGGCGTCCAGGTTCGGCGCACCTGATGCGCAAGAAGGAGTACAGCGAGATGACCATGCTGGGGTGGTACACGTGGAGCGAGTGCTGGACCAACGACAAGCTCGACCCGCCCTGCATGGCCGAACCTGTCACTGGCGTCAGGTGAGGCGACAGGTGTCAGGCAGGACATCAGGTGAGGCGACAGGTGTCAGGCAGGACATCAGGTGAGGCGCCAGGTGCCAGGCAGGACGTCAGGTGAGGCGCCAGGTGTCAGGCAGGACATCAGGTGAGGCGCCACGCCCTCCAGTTTCCCCTACTCTTTCCCTCCTCTCGTTGCCTTATCCTGCTACTTTCCCGTATCCCTTTCCCTTCTCCGACTCACCCGAATCTCTCCCCAACCCAACCCACCAAACCCCTCCTAATTTTGAGGCGCCTCAAAAATAAAATTCTGCTACTTTCCCATATCCCTTTCCCGTATCCCTTTTCCGTATCCCTTTCCCTTCCCTGGCCCGCCCCAATCTCTCCCCAACCCAACCCACCAACCCCTTCCTACCAGTGCCAAGCTGGCCTACAGGCTAAGGCGCACGCGCTTCCGCCCCAAGTTCCTTGTCGAGTCCCTCTGCCAGCCGAGGGCGTACCACAACTCCTTGTGGTCCGACGAGGGCCTCTGCGTGTGGGACAACAACTTCTCCGTTGCCACGCCCTCCCACTTCCTCCTCCTTTCTCCCCCGTCCTTCCTCCCATAATCCATTCCCTTCCCCCCCTCTCCCCCTCTCTCACCCCAACCTTCCGAACAGTGCCAAGCTGGCCTACCGGCTGCGCCGCACGCGCTTCCGCCCCAAGTTTCTGGTGGAATCCCTCTGCCAGCCGAGGGCGTGCCACAACTCCTCGTGGTCCGACGAGGGGCTGTGCGTGTGGGACAACAACTTCTCCGTTGCCACGCCCTCGCACTTTTTCCGATTCGCCCCCACGCGCGGCGACAAGTGCCCCAGCAGCAAGCTGTATGAGCACTTCCACGCGTGGATGGGGCAGGTGCCTCGCAAGAATGTTCAATTCCTGGCTGTGAACTTCCAGGTGCGATGGGGTTTGGGACAGGGTTGGGTACGTGCATGGGCCATGGGGTTGAATAAATGCGGGATCGGGGGTTGGGGTTAAGATTTGGGGATGGTTTTGTAAGAAGCACCACGGTATCTGAAACCGGCACTTTTCTATCCCTTGTAACGTCTCTCTGCAATGCAACCCCTCCCCTGTCTCACACCTGCAGGGCAGTCGGAGGGACTACTTGAAGCTCGAAGATCCCGACCCTGCGAAAACATGGGGCAGCGCTGTCTTCTGATATGTGCACGGCATGTGATGTGACCTATGTGTGTTTGACTTCACAGTGGCGAATCAGAGCGCACAGGTTGATGTATGCACAAAATCTAGTAGGTATTACTGTTGTTGGATTGGGCAAAATCCAGGAAATGAGCCATGGTTGATTGCAGAGTGAGTTAGGCATGGCTTATACCATATCATCACTGGGAGATGGATCACATTTCACTGTGCGCCTGCCAGCCGGACTGTCCATGTGTGCCTGCTGCTGTGCTGCCTACTTCTATCCAATGCATTTCAGGTCTTGTAGTGCTAGGCTAGGCCTAATCTCTACATGAGTATCTACCTACTTGTCCACACCAGTATCATCAACATTTACCTACATAAGTTCAGCAACAAGGCTAAATCCACAGTTCAAAACGGGGTGAAGGCAACTTCTTGTTGCTGCTCCCATAGCATAGCACCTCTGCTTCTGTGGGCTTCCCACTGCTGCTCATTCTGATATTCACTCATTGCCCCCTCCAATTACAACATCATTTGGAACATGTACCATTATGTTCCTGCCTAGTGCCCACCTTATGACATGCTGCTATGCAATATTACGCTACGAACAAAGCTGTCCTCCTCCTGCCCCTATGCCATGCTGCCATTCACCGTCACTCTACGCTGCCTTAGCCCCTGCTATGTACAGGCTCAGTAACCCTGCCCTTAGTCCTTGACCTTCCAGTTCTCCCCCCCTCTCCCCTCGCCCTGCGCCTCCCCTCCCCCCCCCTCTCCTCCACTGGCATCCTGGTAACAGTTACATTTATCTCTGTGTTTCACCTCCAAATCAAATAGTGTCACTTGCACATGGAACTGTTCCCTATCCTTAGAGGAAGTATTGACTTCTAGGCCTCCTCATCTTCTGTCGTCATCCTCCTCCCCTCCTCTCATCTCCCTTCCTCTTCCCTTCCTTTCTCCCCTCTCTTATTCCCTTCTCGCTCCTCCTGCTTTCTGAAATCCAACAAGGGGTCTTCCCCTTTGATATACCATCCCAGTCCGTACAAGCACACCCCCGCTGTAATCACTCCCCCCCACGCGTTCGCGTACTGTACACTGTACATCCGAAGCGCGTACTTCCACTGCTCGCGCAACGACGCCACGTCAGCAGCTGATGGGGTAGGGAGCGGCGGGGAAGCGGAACGGCCTTGGCGGAAAGAGAGGAAGGGTTTGGCGCGCGGGGGGGTTGCGGAAGCGGAAGCGGAAGAAGAAGGGCCGGGTTTTTGGTTTGCATTTTGACTGCCCGTCTCAGATTTGTTTGGAGGAGCAGAGCTTTCTGGCGACGTGGAATCGCGGGGGGTTGAAGCATCGGATGAGGCGCGATCCGAGATCGACATGACAAGTGAACGGGGTTGAGAGATTTGAACTTTTCCGGAATGACGCAGAGTTGACTAGTGATGCGTAGAGTGCACCGTCTGATGCGGCATCGTTTGCCATACCTTGTCAACAAACCCCTTCAAGCATCCTCGTGATTAGCACAGGTTGCTAAAAAGTGAGATGAAAAGTTTGAACTTCAGTCTCGCGCGGAGTGTACTGACATTTCCCTCAGTCCCGCCAAATTTGATGGGCCAATCAAATTCTAGCATGCGGCTTGCCACAATAAACGTTTCGAATTGAAAGTTGCCAAATGCTGGGTTAACATTCGCCAGAAATATCATGGATCTCCTGATAGCGTGGCATTCCAGCTTTCCAACACAGCCAGATGCTTGCTTCCAAATCCCTGGTACATTTTCAAAGGCGAGATCGCAAAAAGCGTTGAGATGCATGTTTTTATCCAGATTTTGAGTTCTTCCCCCCAATTCACATGCCCTGCTTCACACTGGAAGCATGCAGCGGTGCGATGTTGCAACGGAGATTCACGAACCACTGGCGAACAATCGTACTGTACTTTCGTCAATCATGCCAGGTGCACTCTTCCTGCATCCCCTCCAATTGCAGCTTTGCGTAACCGAGAGCTCTTGCGTCCCGCGGTTGCTGCGAAAAGGAATTTCGTTCCACAGCCAAGCAAGGTCAGTTGCAGTTGACAGGTTCTCGCACACCTCACTTCTCCCCACAGCTCGAGGCGGTTCACCATACAGTTTGCGACACCTCACTTCTCGCTTGAGACTGAGCTGTGGGGTACTGTACTGGACTTGCAAGAAGCTAGGGGAGGGAAATGAATGTGCTGTGTTCGTGTATCTGGCCAGGCATCCGAACGGAATTGGCTGCTCACCGTGAGCCAGCAGCTGCTCCCCGCAGAACACTCCTCTCTGACTGCCAGCCTCGCATTGCTCCACCGAGTATTTACCACACCAAGCATTCGTCATTCTTCATCAGCTTTCGAAAACGCATTCGGCATTCAACTAGTGCGCCCTCTCTCACTCTGTTCACTCGACAGCTTTCAACGCCCACCAGATTCCGGCCACAGCACCCACCAATTCACTCGTTTCCTTGGGCCAGGCTCGGTTGGTCGTCATCGTCGGCACTCGGTTTCACTGGGTATTTGAAGTTCCAAATCTGCACAGCTTGTGCAACTCCAGCGACGAGTCTTTCTGCGCATTCCCTTGTGCATTTCGCTCTTAATTTCCAACCGACTTGCAGCGCTACTCCACCAGATCAACCATGGACACTCTTCGCCTTGCTTCCGTCTCCGACTGCTCGTTCCAGTCCTCCTTCCTCGCGCCTTCCTCCCAGGTCCTGAAATCTCGCACGGGGGCTTCCACTGTCGCCGTCTCTCACGGTGTCTCGCGTCCGTCGCCTACAGTCGCCTCTCAGTTCAGCGACTCGCAGAGGCGTCGCTACATTTCCCCGACCCGCCGCCCCGCTCCCGGCGCCGCCGCAGCCGCGCCGTCGTCCGGCACGCTCTATCCTACGCTCGTTGGCCCCGCCAGCTACGAGACCGACGATGAGGGCGCCGGGACGCCAACTTGCCCGTTCGAGGCGGACGCCGCCAGCCGCGTCATCACGGTGAGCGCATGGGAGGAGTTCGATTCCCTCCTGGCGGCGGCATCCGCGCGCGGCCAGCTCGTCGTGGTGGAAACCACCTTGTCTTCGCTCCCCAACACCGCGAAGAACTACCCCAAGCTTCAGCAGATCGCGCGCGTCTCACCCGGTCGCACGCTATTTCTGCGACTCATGGCTGATCGCAGCGACGTGCTGCGTGACCTGGCGAAGTCGCTAGGCGTGAAGCAGATTCCGTCGTACTCGATTTTCAGGGACGGGCAGATGGTGCACGAGGAGCCTGGCATGGATGTGGATAGGCTGCTGCTGCAACTGCAGTATTACAGCAGCAGCGGGAGCAACCTCGGGATGAACGCCGCGGATAGATCCGAGGGCGGTAGCGTGTACAGCGGAAGCACGGACACGGAGCAGGACGGGAAAGTGCTTGAGCTGAACGGTCGCGAGGATTTCTATGAGCTGCTGCGCCGGCACGAGAACGACGATCGGTTGGTTGTGCTGAAAGCGACGCTGACGTTCTGTGGCCCGTGCGTGCGGATTCATCCGACGGTGGTGAAGCTCGCGCAGCGCATGTCGGACACTGCGGTCTTTGCGCGTGTGTTTGGTGACAATAACGAGTCGACGGTGACGCTTATGCGGGAGCTGAATATTGTCGAGGCGCCCACATTCTTGTTCTACAGGAGGGGGGAGCTGCTGGGGCGGTATGTGGGTTCCGGCAGGGGGGCTTTGGTGGGTGAGGTTCTCAAGCATCAGGGAATCAATGTTAGCTAAATGTCAGCACTATTGTTCGCGCTCACTGAGCGCCTCATGACTCCGTGTATACATGTTGCCTTTTGTACAGGCCATTGTGTGCTTTGTTAGCTTTGTATCTGCTTATAACTGTTTGCATTGTTCAAATCTTTTTTAAATGCAAGAGCTTTCTGTATCAAGGCTCCGACTATCGGAGCCGAGGCAATCGTTTGCCACATATGAGCAAATGGCGAAATGGCATATCCAGTTTGCGTCAGCGCTGTCTCAGCCAACCCCACCCCTCCAAAGAGTTCGGAGTCCGCCAATCAGACGTACCTCCCTCTTCAGCCAAATCTACCTGAATCAGGCATGACAACTCATACCACCACTAGGAAATTCCTTTCCAACTTGTGGTGTCAACCTCAGGCGAGCTGCACATTGTGCATCGAAGCACACGAGGCCGCAAATTCCTACTTACGAAGCTGAAGTTCTCTTGCGAAATAGGCGGTAACTTGCAAATACCCCTTGTCACTAAGCAAATTTCCAGGCTTCGCGAAAGCCACTGTGCTGCCCATCCCTGACCACACAACCAGTTTCTAGGCGACAAATTCCAAAATCTCACAAAACTCATATTTGGACCTTGAGAAACACGGAGGGTCTTCATCACTCTGTCCATTCGATTGCTTTGGCTTTTTTTTATGTTCCCTGTCAGTTCTAGCTGAAGCGCCTTTCACGCGTTTGCCTTGCTTGCCAGTTTCTGCCTTCTGCGTTTCTGAAGCTGGTGCAGGCTAAGCTTACCTAGCTTTAAGCTTGTCCGTCCGCGCATGGCTTTCGCTGGGTGGCTGCGCCGAGGCAGCAGCCACCGAAGGGCCGTAAGCGCGCTGAACTCCCCGCTTCCGCTTCAGCTACTTCGACAGCTCGCTCCTGCCGCCATTGCCGCGAGCTACCTGGCGGAAGGCTTAGCGCAAGGTTCGCCTGCTGCGGAGAGTTTCCACAGCAGGGCTACAGGCGTGTGCGGAAGCGGAGGGTCCGCGGTGCAGTCTTCCGCCAGCCCGCCAGGCGGATGGCGGCATCTGGGGAATCAGGGGGGCAGCGGGGAGGAGGATTCGGACAATGACCATAGCGTGGACGTCACGCCGTGGGTCCGCAGTGTCGCCAGGTCGGTAGTTGCTGTTGTGACATTTTGACATTGAATTCGACTCTATATATTCCGAGACATTTCGACATTGGAGTCGACTTCAAAGATTCGGACAATGACCATAGCGTGGACGTCACGCCATGAATCCGCAGCGTCGCCAGGTTGGTCACTAAAAATGTGGCTATTAGTCGATTCAAACTATTCGGACAATGAGCATAGCCTGGTATCACCCGACGGGACCGCAGTGAGTTATTAGTAATACTGTTGTAGGATATAGCCTAGGATCGCTTCAGGCCTGCAACGTAGGGTTGGGTCATGTCTGCGGAATAGTCAAGCGTGAATGGCATTGTGAACGTGAATCGCCTGTTTCGCGTCTGTTGTATGCCTTCTTATCTGAAAAGTCAATGTCTCCTCTCGTCTTAATTCCTCGTCCGTGGCCCCTCGTTTGTCTGTATCACATTCAGTGGGGTGGTTTTTCTCCTTCAAAAAGAGAAAGAGAGCTTCACGGAATGATAATATATTATATCTTTTCACATCGACGTCTGTCTCCTCACGCCCATGCTAGGGCGCCAGTGATCCCTAATTTCAATCCTGGATTAATCTAATCTTATAATGCTATACCAATAGTAATGGTGTGGCTCTTTTGCCCAACCCGCAGGGTCCACTCAGAAGCGTCCAATGTGCTAGTTTTTTTCCTATCCTTGTTATTCATCCGTGCCTGTTGTCTGCAGCAGAGTGGATCTCCTTCGCAACCCCAAGTACAACAAGGGCCCGGCCTTCACAGAGGAAGAGTCTGTCCGTTGACTTTTGAGTCAACTCAAAAGTCAACCCCAAGTACAACAAGGGGCCGGCCTTCACAGAGGAAGAGTCTGTCCGTTGCGCCACGCTCATGCCATAAGCTCCCTCACAACACCAACCTCTTATCTTTCATCTGTCCCTGTCGTGACACCTGGCTGCAGCGGGGTGGATCTCCTGCGCAACCCCTTTTGAGGCGCCTCAAAAGTACAACAAGGGGCTGGCCTTCACAGAGGAGGAACCTCGTTCATTTCGCCACACTCACTCAGTGCGTGAACCGCCTCTCCTATCTGTCCCTGTCTCTTGCCTGCAGCGGGGTGGATCTCCTGCGCAACCCCAAGTACAACAAGGGGCTGGCCTTCACAGAGGAGGAGCGCAACCGCCTTTACCTCAACGGGCTGCTGCCTGCTGGCTATATGAGCCAGGACCATCAGGTGGGTTTGACTGACTGCTAGCAGGCCGAATGAACAACACTGACTGCTAGCCGGCCATATGAACAACACTGACTTCGAGCAGGCTGTATGAACCACACTGACTACTAGCAGGCTGTATGAACCACACTGACTGCTAGCAGGCTGTATGAACCACACTGACTGCTAGCAGGCTACATGAGCCAGGACCACCAGGTGCGACTGACATTTCGTGAGGACATATTGGCAGCTAGGTGTATCACCACGTGGGACTAGCTAGCAGGCTTTACGAGCCACACTGCCTGCTAGCAGTTTAGTTGAGGCAGGACCTCCCTCCCTCCTTGCCTCCCTCCCTCCTTGCCTCCCTCCCTCCTTGCCTCCCTCCCTCCTTGCCTCCCTCCCTCCCACCAGGTCGACCGCGTGTTGGCGAATTTGAAGGAGGCGCAGTCAGACCTGCAGCGCTACGTGCACCTCATGGCGCTGCAGGAACGTCAAACACGGCCACCCTTCGCTTAACAACCCCCGTCTCTCTCTCCCTACATCATTCTCGCCGTCCGTCCAGGTCGACCGAGCCCTGGCGAATCTGAAGGAAGCGCAGTCAGGTCACCTGCAGCGCTCCGTGCACCTGCTGGCGCTGCAGGAGCATTGAACACCCCTATCCATCCCTCCCATTCCGGCTCTCCCACCAGGTTGACAGGGTGTTGGCGAATCTGAAAGAGGCACAGTCGGACCTGCAGCGCTATGTGCACCTCATGGCGCTGCAGGAGCGCAACGAGCGGCTCTTCTATCGCGTGCTGGTGGACCACGTTGAGCAGCTCATGCCCATCGTGTGAGTGTAGGCGGAGGGAGAAAGTAGCCAGTGAAAGTGTGGGGAAGAGATAGAGAGGGAAAGAATGCTGATGGTGAGTTTGAGCACGAGCAGCTCTTGTACCGCGTGCTGGTGGACCACGTGACCACGTTGAGCAGCTCATGCCCATCGTGTGAGTGTAGGCGGAGGGAGAGAGCGACCTGTGAGCAGGTGTGGTTGTAGGTAGTGGCGTGGTGGTGATGAGTGTGAAGACTGCTCTCCTAGGGCTCTTCGCGTGCTGGTGGACCATGTGACCACGTGGAGCAGCTCATGCCCATCGTGTGAGTACTGGAGGGAGGGGAAGAGAGAGGGAACATATGCTGATGGTGAGCGTGAATAAAGTGCAACGGGCGGCTCTTGTACCGCGTGCTGTTTGGACCACGTGACCACGTGGAGCAGCTCATGCCCATCGTGTGAGTACTGGAGGGAGGGGAAGAGAGAGGGAAAATATGCTGATGGCGAGCGTGAATAAAGTGCAACGGGCGGCTCTTGTACCGCGTGCTGTTTGGACCACGTGACCACGTGGAGCAGCTCATGCCCATCATGTGAGTTAACGCAACGGGAGAGGGAGATAGATGGATTGGGCTCGCCCATGTTCTTTCTATTATACCACACTCATAATAGATGGGGGCCTGGTGTGTGTGTGTGTGTGAGCGCTTTGGGCTGTTATTCTGGCGGCCAGGGTGGCTTGGGATGCAACGTCACCCCATTCTTCCCTATACCACTCCCCACCCCACCACTCCCCACCCCACCACTCCCCACTCCACACTCCCCCATCCCCTTTCCCGTGCAGCTACACCCCCACAGTGGGCCTGGCGTGTGAGCGCTTTGGGCTGCTGTTCCGGCGGCCGCGGGGGCTGTTTGTGTCGCAGCGGGACCGCGGGCGGGTGATGGAGCTGCTCAAGAACTGGCCGGAAAGACGCGTGCGGGCGATTGTGGTCACTGATGGGGAGAGAGTGCTTGGGCTTGGGGACCTGGGAGTGCAGGTGAGCTGTTGTGGGACCTGGGCGTGTGGGTGTGGCAAAGGCTGTTTGTGTCGCAGCGGGACCGTGGATGAGTGATGGAGCTGCTGCTCAAGAACAGGCCCAAGAGACGCGTGCGGGCGATTGTGGTCACCGATGGGGAGAGAGTGCTTGGGCTTGGGGACCTTGGTGTGCAGGTGAGTTGATGTGATTGTCTGGGAGTGCAGTGCGGTTGAGATGTGATGTGAGGGCGGGCGAGTGATGGATCTGCTCAAGAACTGGCCTGAGAGACGCGTGCGGGCGATTGTTGTCACCGATGGGGAGAGTGCTTGGGCTTGGGGACCTGGGCGTGCAGGTGCGTTGCTTGGATTGTCTGGGCGTGCGGGTGTGGGAAAAGCTGTTATATGTTGCAGAGGGACCGCGGGCGAGTCATGGAGCTGCTGCTTAAGAACTGGCCCGAGAGGTGCGTGCGGGCGATTGTTGTTACAGGGAGAGAGTGCTTGGGGCTTGAAGACCTGGGCGTGCAGGTGAGCTGTTGTATTTGTCTGGGCGTGCAGTGCGGTGTGGGTGTGGCAAAGGCTGTTTGTGTCACAGAGAGACCGAGGTCGAGTGATGGAGCTGCTCAAGAACTGACCTGAGAGGCGAGTGCGTGCTATAGTCGCTACAGTGATGGGGAGAGGGTGCTTGGGCGGGGAGAGGGTGCTTGGACGTGGCGCTAGTTGCCATTGTGTCCATACATAGCTGCAACTGTGTGTCAACACCTGTGAAAATAGTTGTTGCTGAGTGCTTCTCTTGGAAACAGTTGTTTGCCCAGGGCGCCCATATCAAGGGCTTACGGTAAACTTCACAAATCACTTTCTGGTTTTTTTTTTTTTTTTTTTTTGTCGTTACGACCTCCCCTTCCCCTCTGCGCTCCTTCCCTTGCCGTGGGCAAGTTGACACTCTATACAGCTTGCGGAGGCAGACCAGCCAGCTCTGCCTACTCCCCCTGTCCCTGTCCTCTCATTTCCCTCACCCCCTACTCGCTCCCCCAACCCTCTCCCTCCCCGGCGTCAGGGCATGGCAATAGCCGTGGGCAAGTTAACACTCTATACGGCTTGCGGAGGCATTCACCCAGCAGAGGTATGCAGGAAGGAAGAGGGTGAAAGGGAGGATTCAGGTTTCTCCTCTCTTCTCTTCTCCTCTCCTCTCTTTTCCGCTCCTCCGCTCCGTCTTTCTCCTCAGCCCCTGTTTTCATTGCTCCTCTCCTCTCACCTCTCACCTCTCACCTCTCACCGCTCTCCTCTCACCTCTCACCGCTCACCTCTCACCTCTCACCGCTCACCTCTCACCTCTCACGTCTCACCTTCCTTGTGTGTGCAATGCATCCATCCCTCCCATCCCTCCCATCCCTCCCATCCATCCATCCCTCCCATCCCTCCCATCCCTCCCATCCCTCCCATCCCTCCCATCCCTCCCATCCATCCATCCCTCCCATCCCTCCCATCCCTCCCTTGCCTCCCACCCAACACACATGGCAGTGTCTGCCGGTGACCATCGACGTGGGCACCAACAACCAGGCTCTGCTCAAGGACCCTTTCTATCCTGGCCTCAGGCAACCGCGTGCCACAGGAGAGGTACGTTCCCAGGTGCACAGAGAGATAACCTCTCATGTGGATAGATAAACCTGCTCGGTGTCATGCCTACCCAGCAGTCCTCTCTGATCGGCTGAATGACCCTTTCTATCCTGGGCTCAGGCAACCGCGTGCCACAGGAGAGGTACGTTCCCACGTGCACAGAGAGATAACCTCTCATGTGGATAGATAAACCTGCTCGGTGTCATGCCTACCCAGCAGTGCTCTCTGATCGGCTGAATGACCCTTTCTATCCTGGGCTCAGGCAACCGCGTGCCACAGGAGAGGTACGTTCCCACGTGCATAGATAAACTTCCTCAGTTTAATGGCGTCTCTATCCTCCCCCCCCCCTCTCCTTCCTCCCTCCCTTTCTCTCCCCTCTTCCTCCCCTCCCTTTGAAACGTACCCTCACCTCTGTTTTCCTCTTCATAACACCATCAGGAGTACAAGCAGCGGTGTAAGCAGCGGTGTGTCGCAGGCATCTGTGTATACGATTTTTTTTCTCCCTGTCACCTCTATATACATTTCCCCTCTGTCTCGCCCACAGGAGTACGGCGAGCTGATAGACGAGTTCATGGAGGCGTGCGTGCAAGCAGCGCTTCGGGTCGGACGTGCTTTCACTCAATTGACAACCCTTCCCTCTTACTCTCCCTCTCCGCTCCTCGTCCTCTCCCCTCTCCTTCCCCTCACCATCAGGAGTACGACGAGCTGATAGACGAGTTCATGGAGGCGTGCAAGCAGCGGTTTGGGTCGGACGTGCTGATTCAGTTTGAGGACTTTGCCAACCACAACGCCTTCCGCCTGCTCTTCCAGTACCGCGGCTCTCACCTCGTGTTCAACGACGATATCCAGGTGGGATTGTTGTCCCTGGATGTGTCGCGTGTGTGCTGTGTGTTAACACTCACTCGTGAGACACCTCACAGACCTGCTCTTCCAGTACCGCGGCTCTCACCTCGTGTTCAACGACGATATCCAGGAGTGTGTGTGTGTGTGTGTGTGTGTGTGTGTGTGTGTGTGTGTGTGTGTGTGTGTGTGTGTGTGTGTGTGTGTGTGTGTGCTTGGCTGCATCTGTTGTTGTAGCACTCACTTTCCGCGCCACCTCATAAACCTGCTCTTCCAGTACCGCGGCTCGGCTCCCACATGGCCTTCCTTCCGCCATGACGTTCAGGTGCACTTGTTGTGCGAGAGGGTGCCCAGGGCAACATCTCTCTCGTGGGTTTGCATCTAGTTTTGAAACCCAGGGCAACATCTCTCTCGTGGGTTTGCATCTAGTTTTGAAACCCAGGGCAACATCTCTCTCGTGCCCCGCCCGCACCATCGACCCACTATTCCACCCTTTCCCCCTTCCGCTCTTCCTTCCCTCCACCCACAATCTCCCTCCCACCAGGGCACAGCAGCTCTACCCCTGCTGGGCTCATCCCCGTCCAACCAGACCATCCTTTGCTCCCCCTTCCTCCATTCCCCTCCCTCACCCCATGGCCTCGCTCCCACCAGGGAACAGCATCAGTGGCCCTGGCGGGGCTGCTGGCGTCTCTACCCCTGCTGGGCTCATCCCTGTCCAACCAGACCATCCTTTGCTCCTCCTTCCTCCATTCCCCTCCCTCACCCCATGGCCTCGCTCCCACCAGGGAACAGCATCAGTGGCCCTGGCGGGGCTGCTGGCGTCTCTACCCCTGCTGGGCTCATCCCTGTCCAACCAGACCATCCTTTGCTCCTCCTTCCTCCATTCCCCTCCCTCACCCCATGGCCTCGCTCCCACCAGGGAATAGCATCAGTGGCCCTGGCAGGGCTGCTGGCGTCTCTACCCCTGCTGGGCTCATCCCTGTCCAACCAGACCATCCTTTGCTCCTCCTTCCTCCATTCCCCTCCCTCACCCCATGACCTCGCTCCCACCAGGGAACAGCATCAGTGGCCCTGGCAGGGCTGCTGGTGGCTCTACCCCTGCTGGGCTCATCCCTGTCCAACCAGACCATCCTTTGCTCCTCCTTCCTCCATTCCCCTCCCTCACCCCATGGCCTCGCTCCCACCAGGGAACAGCATCAGTGGCCCTGGCAGGGCTGCTGGCGTCTCTACCCCTGCTGGGCTCATCCCTGTCCAACCAGACCATCCTCTGCTCCTCCTTCCTCCATTCCCCTCCCTCACCCCATGGCCTCGCTCCCACCAGGGAACAGCATCAGTGGCCCTGGCAGGGCTGCTGGCGTCTCTACCCCTGCTGGGCTCATCCCTGTCCAACCAGACCATCCTCTTCTTCGGGGCGGGCGAGGCCGGCACAGGCATTGCCGAGCTGCTGGCGACCGCAATCAGCAGAGAGGCGAACATATCCCTGGCGGAGGCTAGAGGCCGCATTTGGCTCGTGGACTCCAAGGTGAGCCACTCAAAGTTGAAGCCCTTTGATCAGGTGATTTATGATCAGTGGACTCCAAGGTGAGACTTACAAGGTGAAGCCAGCACCGGCATTGCGGAGGTGCTGGCGACCGCAATCAGCAGATAGGCGAAGATATCCCTGGCAGAGGCTCCAGGGTGCATCTGGCTCGTGGGCTCCAAGGTGCATCTGGCTCGTGGGCTCCAAGGTGCGAGACCTTCGAATTTCAGCCCCTTAATCGGCACAAGTTCCCCACCGTCCTTCACTCCTCACCGTCCTTTGATCAGCTGATTCGGGGTGGTCATTTCCTAAGCAATTCCCTCCTTCCCTCCTTCCCTCCCTCCCTCCCTCCGTCCTCTCTCCCCCCCCCTCCCCCCCAACACTCCAGGGTCTGGTGGTGCGCAGCAGAGTGGACTCGTTGCAGCCTCACAAGGTTCCCTTCGCGCATGACCACCCCGAATCAGCTGATCTCGTGGAGACCATCCATGTGAGCGGGACGATCTGGGGTTGACGATGCAGACAGCTAGCACTGGGCTTACATTAGCCTGAGTGCATCGGCTGACCACTCACTCAACTCGCCTGTTGGGGTTGAGTTTTGTTCTCTATCCATGTCAATTTGTTTCACTCGATTTTTCTCAACACAGAGACCGCGTACAAGTCTTGATATTCTTTGATAACTGTTATGTGTCCCTCGCCCCGCTCTCTCGTTCTCCCTTCCCCAGGCCATACGGCCAACAGCGCTGATAGGGGTGTCAGGGCAGGCAGGGACGTTCACCCAGCCAGTGTGTGAAGCCATGGCTCAACTCAACGAGGTGAGTTCTGGGGATGCATTTAGGTTGGAGGGATGTGGGCAGCTGGAGAGCTGCATTGATAGGAGTGTCTCAGGGCAGGCAGGGACGTTGTTCACCCAGCCAGTGTGTGAAGCCAGTGTGCGAAGTGAAGCCATGGCCCAACTCAACGAGGTGAGCGCTGGGGATGTTTCTGAGGTGCCTGTTTCAATATATGCGATGAGGCGCCCGCAGTGAAGTGGTGCTGGTAGCAGTGCCAGGGCAGGCAGGCAGGGACGTTGTTCACCCAGCCGGTGTGCGAAGCCATGGAACAACTCAACGAGGTGAGTTCTGGGGTTGCTTTTAGGTGGAAAGGGTGTGGGCTGCTGCTGCTGCTGCTGCTGTGGTGTGGTTGCTGCTCGTGCTCAAGGGGTATCAGGGCAGGCAGGGACATTCACCCAGCCAGTGTGTGAAGCCATGGTCCAACTCAACGAGGTGAGGGCTGGAGAAGTGCTTTGGCTGGAAAGTCTTGGCCTTTCTGCTGCTGTTCTTGCTGCGCGCTGCTCCTGCTATTCCTGCCGTTCCTGCTGTTTCTGCTCCTCCTGTTCCTCCTGCTTCTCCTGCTTCTCTTGCTCCTCCTGCTCTCCTGCTCCTCCTGCTCCTCCTACTCCTCCGGCTGCTCCTGCTGCAACAGCTTCCCATCCAATTCGCTCTAAGATCCATTCCCCATATAAAAACCGCGTGAACTGAGACGATTTTTGAGGCGCCTAAAAAATGCTCCTCCGGCTGCTCCTGCTGCAACAGCTTCCCATTCACTTCGCTCTAAGATCCATCTAATCCGCTCTCCTTTCTCTTCCTTCAACCCCCTTGCCTCCACTCGTCCTATCCCCCACCAGCGACCCATCGTCTTCGCTCTCTCCAACCCCACGTCGCTCTCTGAGTGCACAGCAGAGGACGCGTACAAGTGGACTCAGGTGTGTGAATGGGTTGAGATGGGTGGATACCTGGGTTTGGTGGCTGAACGTGAATGGTTGTGCTTTTGTGAATGTTCGCTTCCACCTTTTCTCTTGCGATTGTCCTCGTGAGAATGTTCTAACCTGAATTTTTATCAGATGGGTAAGCGTTTCTGCCGTTCACTCAACCATCTCTGTTCTGCATCCGTCCCTCCACCCCACCAGGGTCGGGCCATCTTTGCCAGCGGCAGGCGGATGGATGGCCCGTTCGCCCCAGTGGAGATGGATGGCAGGCGGTTTGTCCCCGGGCAGGACAACAACGCGTATGAGTTCCATCAAGCCTACTTATCTTATCTTCTCCTCTCACTCTCCATCCCACCAGCGTCGGGCCATATTCGCCAGTGGCAGCCCGTTCGCCCCGGTGGAGATGGATGGGAGGTGGCTTGTCCTCGGGCTGGGCAACAATGCATGTGTGTTTCCTCAAGCCAACTTCTTCGCATCCCATTCTTCCACCCCACCAGCGTCGGGCCATATTCGCCAGTGGCAGCCCGTTCGCCCCGGTGGAGATGGATGGCAACCACTAAATCTTCCTGCACACCCACCCTCTCCACCCCTCCACACCCCATTCCACCGCTCCAGGGTCGGGCCATATTCGCCAGTGGCAGCCCGTTCGCCCCAGTAGAAATGGATGGGAGGCGGTTCGTGCCAGGGCAGGGAAACAATGCGTATGTGTTTCCGGGGATCGGCCTGGGCTGCCTCATGTGCGGGGCCACCAGGATGAGAGACGAGATGTTCCTCGCTGCTGCCGAGGCACTGGCTGCACAGGTGAGAATCAATCATTGCGGCACAGCGATATCGACATGTGTGGCACCACGCGCATGAGAGGCAAGATGTTCCTCGCTGCTGCTGAGGCACTCGCAGCACAGGTGAGGGCGATTGAGGCACTCGCGGCACAGGTGAGGGCGATTGAGGCACTGGCGGCACAGGTGAGGGCGATTGAGGCACTGGCGGCACAGGTGAGAATCAATCATTGCGGCATTGCGATACCGACATGTGTGGTGCCACGCGCATGAGAGACAAGATGTTTCTTGCTGTTGCGGAGGTGCCCGCAGCACAGGTGAGGGCCCTGTGGTTTCAGCCGAATCAAAGGCCACCACCAGGTGAGTTAGCTGTTGAGTCGATCGATTCAAAGTGTGGCTTTTAAGCGCCACCTTTCGTCACCTTTTTGTCCTGTGTTCCTCCCCTTGTCTTCGCTCCATCTCCCTCCCCTGTGTGCATCTCAGGTGAGCGACGATGACAGGGAGCAGCGGCATGTGTACCCACCCATCTGGGAGACCTTCTGAGTGTGTCCCGAGTCACTTATTTGTCCCCTGTTGTGTACTTACACCCCCATCACCTCTTTCGCCTCACCCCGAACCTGCAACCTACCTGCATGTGTGTATCTCAGGTGAGCGACGACGACAGGGAGCAGGGGCGCGTGTACCCACCCATCTGGAAGATTCGGCAGATCTCAGCCCACATCGCCAGGGCCGTTGCTGCTAAGGCGTATGACCTCGGTGAGTTGCGAGGAGAGCTGTAGGGGTGTGGGGAGGGCAGGGCAGGCAGGGGGCTATGTGGCCTCATTCTTAGCCACACTGAACGACCTCAGCACACATTGCGAGGGTCGTTGCCACGAAGGCGTATGGCATTGGTGAGTTGCAGTTGCAGAGCACCACCACATGAGGATGCTTACGGAATTTGTGGTCTGATTCAACGTAAAATACCATTGCACCAGGTGAGTGTGGGGGCTCCTTGATGCCCTGTGAGACAGCACATTGGCTAGGCTATCATGCCAGCACCTTTTCTTCCCCGTTTTTACCCTCAGCCTCCCCCGTGCATCACTCCCTCCCTCTGCTCCCCTCCCTCAGGAGTGGCGACCAACTTGCCCAGGCCACCAGATCTCCTGTCCTATGCCTTCAGCAAAATGTACAACCCTCAATACAGAAGCTTCCGATGATGCCAGCAGGAAGCTTCCTCTAAAAGATGATATGTTGTGGAGAACTGTACCTCTGCTGATCCCGTAGCAGTTATTCAGTAGGGTAGATACCAAGGAATTGTAGGGCATGGAGGGTAGAACGAAGGAACCCTTTTTCAGGATGCTGAATACTGGTGCTGTTAGAGGAACGGTTCACTGGCAAAGGGTTCACAGGGGAATCCGCCCCATCCATCACTTACAGAACCTTACAAAACTGACTTGCAAAATAAAGTAATGCTCCCCCAAACAAAGCTGATCACACAGAAACTCTGAAAACCACATGATATTTTGTAGATGTTTACAAGGTTTGTGATGCCAGTGACTTAATTGTCATTGCTGAAACAGAACACTAAAAAGAGAATCGGCAGCACACTACGAGAATCGGCAGCATGAAGATGGATTCTGTGGAAGGCAAATTATCAGCGGTAGTACCGGTAACCTTGGTTAACTTGCTTCGACGCACCACCTGCAAGCACTGCAATCAGAGAGCGAGGCATGAGTCTTACAGCAGGCAGGAGCAGCGCGTGAACAACGCGAAGGCGGTGTTTGGCAATGCAAAATGCGGTGAACAAAGCGTTGAATGTGAGTGGACATGGAGGCCAATGGAATGAGAAATGAGCATTCCATCGGTACTATGTGCCACGTGTCCCTCTCGGGAATTCCGCGAAACCAGCCTCCGCATTGGTGTAACCGGCAGCCTTGCCACGTCAGCCAACCACACCAGTCGCCGAAGCAGATCGTGAAACGACGTTCAACGATCAGCCGAAGCAAACCGTGAAACGACGTCCCACGACCAGCCGAAGCAGCTGGCAGGATTGGCTTAACGAGGCGAGCTGCGGGTTAAGCGGTGGCTGGAAAAGAGAGGAGTTCCCTTTGCAGGCAGTTGTGAGGAATAACAACAAAAAGAAATAAGTTCATTACCTGCAAGACGAAGGACCGATCGGCCGATCAAAAACAGGGATCACGAAGGATCTTGTGACCCCCCTACTGTCACAATTGATTGTGGCTAGAACGACAAAGCGGGGAAAACAGGTGTTTCAAAAGGAAGTACAGCAAAAACGAATGCAAGCGAGGACGACGGAAAAGCGCGGACAGCGGAAGGTCGGAGGGCGACGAAAAGGCGATGAAAAGAAACTGGGTAGAGATAAGTACAGAGCCAACAGGGAGAGTTGGTAGGGGGTGTGCAGGTGCGGTGAGCGCGAGAGCCCATACGTGAAGGAAATCAGGCCATGAATAACGAGAGATAACCATGATATGAGTTCAGGGTTTTGGCCTTTCAAGAGAGGTCGTGGGGAGGGGATTGGTGCGGGGATGAGCTGGGTGGATGGTTGGTGTGCGCGCGAGTCTCAGTTGCGGAATGGCGCTGTCCCCCTAGATTGCCGAGGGAGAAATGGTGTAGTCTGTAACAGCACGAGTTCAGATTTGCATGTGCATATACCTGAAGTGAGAAATTATGAATCAAAACTTCATCCATGGAGGAAGAGAGAGGTGACAGTTAAACCTCCATGTTTTCGTTTTTATCCGGTTAATATGTGGGATATTCACACTAATATGAGTGTGCGATGTGGAAGCGCGGTACTCGCTGCTCTGTCACGAAAATATAGATTATTTAAGATCTATGGATGACCAAACCACAGAAAGCGCTATGCATGACCAAAGTGGTGGATCTACACTGCACAGTGTTGGTGGCGGAGATCCTTGTCTGAGGTACTTCGGACGGCAGGCACCTGACTCCTGACAACCCACTACACGACTGCTTATCAGTCGTAAGCCATACGGTAACTCAAAAGTGGATTCTCTCAACATGTCAGTCTAAAACGAAGTTGTGTGCTGCAAATGAGTCATTCACCACCGCTCACTGCCACCACGCATCTCCCCTCACCGAATCTCACATACCCGTGTCAGAGTGACAAGATCGTGATTTCCTACTTGTGAGGCAAAATGTGTGCATGTTGCGGGAAAGGTTGGTAGTTCTTGAATCCCCTGATTTGACCCCACACTAACATTCGGAGTGATTCTGACACAACTGCGGCATTGCACGATAGGAGCTTCTCAGAATAGTGAGACGAAAGATGGTCCGACTCGTGTTCATCTACTAGCCCAACCTGTTGCTTGTTTCTTTGCTACGACAGTGAACCTTCAGGCAGTAGTTCTACCTGAGGCCTGTTTCCTTGCTCCTCTCGCCTGGTTTCCTTGCGCCGGTTCGCGCCGAAACGTAACAATGAGGACCTTTCTTCCCTCGAAGCTGCGTCACGCGGGCTCGCGTCAGCATGAGACGAGCAAGACAACAGCATCCGCATCCGCATCCGCATCCGCATCCGCATCCCCAGTGAACAACGGAGATAATGAAAAGGCGACGAGTTATCCTGGAGGAAATGCACGGGATGCTAGAGGGAATGCAGCTGCGAACAGCGCTGAAAGCGAGCATTCATGCAGCTCTCTGCTAATGCTACGACCTGGTACGGCAACTTTGCCTCTGCTGACACGTTTTCAAAATCCAATTTCAGACTCCAGATTTCTTCTTAGTAATGCCGTCCCGTACACTCAGTTTTTACTTTCTTGCTGAAATGCTACGAAATAAAACTTTCTTAAACTCCCCAACTGATGGATGAGGGTGCCTCTGAACCACCCCCCCTGTTTTCCCTCTTGATGTGCGTCTTTGAACCACCCGCTGCCCCCCAGTCCTCCCCCCCCCCCCCCCCCCCCTCCAACCCCCTTTTCTTCCCCTCGTCAGCCACTGCACCTTCAAGCGACAACCAGGACCGGTGCCAGCACACAGCAAGGCCCCCCTCTGTGTGGGATGATGAGTGCATTCCTTTGAACCATTTCCCTGTTAACTTCTCTCTACACCCCCTTTTCCCTCTCCCTCCCAGCCACTGCGCCATCAAGCGGCAGGCAGGGTCGGCGGCAGCACACAGCCAAGCCCCCCTCTGTTTGTGATGATGAGTGGGTGCTTCTGAACCATCTTTCACCTCTTCTTCCCCCTCTGCACCCCTCTGTCTGTGATGATGAGTGGCCCCCCTCCCCCCCCCCTTCCTACCAGCCACTGCGCCATCAAGCGGCAGGCAGGGCCGGCGGCAGCACACAGGCAAGCCCCCCTCTGGGACAGAAGCACACCACAGGAGCAACAGCCACGACAGTGCTGCCACCACTGGCACTGGTGCTGATTCTACTGGTGCTACCGGTGCTGCTGCTACTGGTGCTGCTGCTACTGGTGCTGCTGCTACCGGTGCTGCTGCTACTGATGCCGCTGCTGCTTCTGAACGCTGCGGCTGGCCTTTCAACGCGGATACCAGTCCTGACACTGCTGCAGCAGCAGGAGGAGCAGAAGGAACAGCAGTCGACGGTGCTGTAGTAAGAGGAGGAGAGGGTTCCTCTTCGCCACCTGACATGCTCGTGCTAGACTTGCACTCTGATGCTGTTCCTGTCACACATGCTGCTGCTGCTGCTGCTGCTGCTGCTGCTGGGGGTGACAGCGGCAGTGGTGGCGGTTTTGGTGATGGTGATGGTGGTGGTAGTTCGTTGGCGGAGTGTGATTCACAGCAGCATGAGCGTCAGCAGGAGCATCAGAGGAGGCAAAGCTTTGCGGGCCTGCCAGAGGACGTGTGGGTGAAGGTGCTGCAGATGCTCAAGCCGGCAGATCTGCCGGCTGTGAGGGGCACCTGCAGCTCGCTCTACCGGTTAGCCGGTACGTTGAGAGAGTGAATGGATGAGAGCATGTCGGTTTCCAGAGACATGGACACAACACAATGTGGGCTTCAGTGATTGATATTCGCTGAAGCCCATTTCCTCATTGTCTTTTGAGTCGACTCAAAAGTCAACAGAGACATGGACACAATGTGGGCTTCAGTGATTAATATTCGCTGAAGCCCATTTCCTCATTGTGTCAATCCAGATTGTCGAGTACTCATTCTTAATCTCTCCCACCCCAAATCGCCTCTCCGAATTCCCCTCCTTCCTCCTAAAAAATTCCCCATTTTTCCCCACTTCCCCTTCCTGCTTTCCAGTGCGCCCACCCATCAATCTCCATCCGCCAGACACCCAAGCGCCCATCCGACTTCCCCTGCTTCCTCGCCCGCGCCGGCCCTCATCCTTTTCTACCTCCCTAACCCCCGACCCCCGCCCCCCCTCTCCCCACCCCTTCCCCCCCCCCGTCTCCACGCAGTGCATGCCCGCCCATCAGTCTTCATCCACGTGCCCCCCAAGCGCCCATCCGACTTCCCCTCCTTCCTCGCCCGCGCCGGCCCCGCCCTCTCCGCGCTCACCATCCTCCCCACCGCACAGCTCCCTGCCACGTGTCTCGCCCTCATTGGCCCGCACTGCCCGGGGCTAGTTACCCTGAATCTGACAGACCAGAAGGGGGTGACAGATGCGGTGTTGGCAGGGGTGGGGGGAGGTTGTGTAGGGTTGAAGACTCTCAAGGTGAAGGTGCATCACGGGAAGCTGAGTCAAGGGCTGGAAGCGATCGCTGCCAACTGCAGAATGCTAGAGACGCTCTCTCTTCCCACTCAGGTGAGCTTTTCTGATCTGATCTGATCTGATCCACGTGTCGATTTTCCCTCTCTTGCTCTTGTATGTGTCCTGCTCTGAAGGCTCTCAAAGTGACGGTGCATCATGGGAAGCTGATTCAAGGGCTAGAAGCACTCCCTGCCAACTGCCGGATGCTAGAGATGCTCTCCCTCCCCACTCAGGTGAGCTTTTCTGATCCATATGTCGATCTCCTCTCTCTTGCTCTAGCATGTGTGCTGCGCTGAGGACTCTCAAGGTGAAGGTGCATCATGGGAGGCTGATTCAAGGGCCAGAAGCACTTCCTGCTAATTGCCGGATGCTAGAGACGCTCTCTCTCCCCACTCAGGTGAGCTTTTCTGATCCATATGTCGATCTCCTCTCTCGCTCTAGCCAAGCATACGTGCTGCGCTGAGGACGCTCAAGGTGAAGGTGCATCATGGGAAGCTGGACTGGAGGCCATTGCAGGCAACAGCAGAATGGTAGAGACGCTCTCTCTTCCCACTCAGGTGAGCTTTTCTGTTCTGAGTTTCCCTCTCTTGTCGATTTTCCCTCTCTTGTCGATTTTCCCTCTCTTGTCGATTTTCCCTCTCTTGTCGATTTTCCCTCTCTTGTCGATTTTCCCTCTCTTGTCGATTTTCCCTCTCTTGTCGATTTTCCCTCTCTTGTCGATTTTCCCTCTCTTGTCGATTTTCCCTCTCTTGTCGATTTTCCCTCTCTTGTCGTTTTTCCCTCTCTTGTCGAGTTTCCCTCTCATGTGTCGTTTTTCCCCCTCTTGCGCTAGCATGTGCGCTGCGCTGAGGACTCTCGTGTAATGAGTCGACTCAAAACTCGACTCTTGCTCTAGCATGTGCGCTGCGCTGAGGACTCTCGTGTAATGAGTCGACTCAAAACTCGACTCTTGCTCTAGCATGTGCGCTGCGCTGAGGACTCTCGTGTAATGAGTCGACTCAAAACTCGACTCTTGCGCTAGCATGTGCGCTGCGCTGAGGACTCTCGTGTAATGAGTCGACTCAAAACTCGACTCTTGCGCTAGCATGTGCGCTGCGCTGAGGACTCTCGTGTAATGAGTCGACTCAAAAACTCGACTCTTGCGCTAGCATGTGCGCTGCGCTGAGGACTCTCGTGTAATGAGTCGACTCAAAACTCGACTCTTGCGCTAGCATGTGCGCTGCGCTGAGGACTCTCGTGTAATGAGTCGACTCAAAACTCGACTCTTGCGCTAGCATGTGCGCTGCGCTGAGGACTCTCGTGTAATGAGTCGACTCAAAACTCGACTCTTGCGCTAGCATGTGCGCTGGGCTGAGGACTCTCGTGTAATGAGTCGACTCAAAACTCGACTCTTGCGCTAGCATGTGCGCTGCGCTGAGGACTCTCGTGTAATGAGTCGACTCAAAACTCGACTCTTGCGCTAGCATGTGCGCTGCGCTGAGGACTCTCGTGTAATGAGTCGACTCAAAACTCGACTCTTGCTCTAGCATGTGCGCTGCGCTGAGGACTCTCGTGTAATGAGTCGACTCAAAACTCGACTCTTGCGCTAGCATGTGCGCTGCGCTGAGGACTCTCGTGTAATGAGTCGACTCAAAACTCGACTCTTGCGCTAGCATGTGCGCTGCGCTGAGGACTCTCGTGTAATGAGTCGACTCAAAACTCGACTCTTGCGCTAGCATGTGCGCTGCGCTGAGGACTCTCGTGTAATGAGTCGACTCAAAACTCGACTCTTGCGCTAGCATGTGCGCTGCGCTGAGGACTCTCGTGTAATGAGTCGACTCAAAACTCGACTCTTGCGCTAGCATGTGCGCTGCGCTGAGGACTCTCGTGTAATGAGTCGACTCAAAACTCGACTCTTGCTCTAGCATGTGCGCTGCGCTGAGGACTCTCGTGTAATGAGTCGACTCAAAACTCGACTCTTGCGCTAGCATGTGCGCTGCGCTGAGGACTCTCGTGTAATGAGTCGACTCAAAACTCGACTCTTGCGCTAGCATGTGCGCTGCGCTGAGGACTCTCGTGTAATGAGTCGACTCAAAACTCGACTCTTGCTCTAGCATGTGCGCTGCGCTGAGGACTCTCGTGTAATGAGTCGACTCAAAACTCGACTCTTGCGCTAGCATGTGCGCTGCGCTGAGGACTCTCGTGTAATGAGTCGACTCAAAACTCGACTCTTGCGCTAGCATGTGTGCTGCGCTGAGGACTCTCGTGTAATGAGTCGACTCAAAACTCGACTCTTGCTCTAGCATGTGCGCTGCGCTGAGGACTCTCGTGTAATGAGTCGACTCAAAACTCGACTCTTGCTCTAGCATGTGCGCTGCGCTGAGGACTCTCAAGGTGAAGGTGCGTCATGGGTAGCTGAGCCAAGGGCTGGAGGCAATTGCTGCCAACTGCAGAATGCTAGAGAGGCTCTCTCTCCTCACTCATGTGAACTTTTCTGAACCACACAATTTGAACACTCACTTTCATACCTGCACACTCGCTTTCATACCTGCACACTCACTTTCCATAACTGCATACACTTTCCATACCTGCATGCACTTTCCATACCTGCATACACTTTCCAACTCTGCATACATTTTATTACCTGCATTGATTATCCGTACCTGTGTTCAGGTCCGGGAGTCCAGCCTCGGGCCGCTCCTCTCGTCCTTCTCGCACCTAACTCGTCTCGACCTGAGTTGGAGCACCAAGCTCGCAGACCCCGCCTTTGCCACCATCGCCTGCTGCTGCCCGCACCTCCACCATCTCGACGCTTCATTCTCCCAGGTGAGCATTCTTCGGAGGACGTGCACTCATGCAGTCCTTCCAAACATAAACAGGTACAAACACTCACTCACGCGTGCACCGCCCTGCCTTTGCCACCATCGCCTGCTGCTGCCCACGCCTCCAGCATCTCGGAGCCTCCTTCTCCCAGGTGAGGCTCTAAATGTGAATGGAAAAACACGAAACACCATCGCCTCCTGCTGCACATACGGCACGTTCACAGGCCTGCCTTTGCCACCATCGCCTCCTGCTGCCCTTGCCTCATGCACCTCGATGCCTCCTTCTCCCAGGTGACCATTTTGGTTTGTTCTCAATCCATGCTGTTTAAAGTAGTTTCTATCACCAACCTGCCTTTGCCACCATCGCCTCCTGCTGCCCTTGCCTCATGCACCTCGATGCCTCCTTATCCCAGGTGACCATTTTGGTTTGATTCTCATCTCAATCCATGCTGTTTAAAGTAGTTTCTATCACCAACCTGCCTTTGCCACCATCACCTCCTGCACCTCGGCGCCTCCTTCTCCTGGAAGGAGGAGGCATCGTGGTGCCCATTCTTCTAAGATGAGCACTTTTGAGGCGCCTCAAAAGGTGCCCGTTCTTCTAAGATGAGCACTTTTGAGGCGCCTCAAAAGGTGCCCGTTCTTCTAAGATGAGCACTTTTGAGGCGCCTCAAAAGGTGCCCGTTCTTCTAAGATGAGCACTTTTGAGGCGCCTCAAAAGGTGCCCGTTCTTCTAAGATGAGCACTTTTGAGGCGCCTCAAAAGGTGCCCGTTCTTCTAAGATGAGCACACATGCAGTCTTTTTCTTTCCCTCTGCTTCACTGCCTGCCCATTCACTCCACCTGCAATTCTCCTTGCTTTCATGTCTGTCTGTGCTCCCCCCCCACCCCACCCGACACAGATATTCCACGTAGGCCTCGCCTCCCTCGCCGCCCACTGCCCCACCCTCTCCTTCCTCCGCCTCAATGCCTGCCATGCCGTCTGCCGAACCCCCTGCCTTCCTGTTCTCGCCCTCCTCCCCTCCCTGCAATCCCATGATCCGGGCCAAAGCCCCCTGCTGCAACACTGGATTGAGGGGCTTATATCCGCTGCTGCTGCTGCTGCTGCTGCTGTGTGCTCACATAACTTTCTTCTTCTGTCTGTCTGTGTTACCATCCCCACCCCATACAGATCTCACATATAGGTCTTGCCTCCCTCGCCGCCCACTGCCCCGCCCTCTCCTCCCTCCGCCTCAACGCCTGCCATGCCGTCCGCCCACCCCACTGCCTCCCCATTCTCTCCCGCCTCCCCTCCCTGCAATCCCTCGACCTCGGCCAAAGCCCCCTTCTGGCTGACTGGGTGGAGGGGCTTTTATCGCAAAAGGAGGGGGTGTTTGGCGAGAAGGTAATGTCTGGTGCAGCTGCTGGGACTACTCCCCTTGCTGGTGTTCCTCGCTCTGCTTCTGCCCCTGTTATTGCTGCTGCAGCAGCAGCAGCTTCGCCGGTCCAGCTGCTGCCCACTCTCCGGACACTGACGGCATACTTCCAGGCGAATCAAATCATCCACGCAACGTGGATCGAAAGGTGAGCTCGCTTGTGTTTCTAGTGCTGCTGCTGCTTCTGCACATGCTATTGCTGCGGCAGCAGCAGCAGCAGCAGCAGCTTCGCCTGCCCAGCTACTGCCTACTCTTTGGACACTCACTTCGTACTTCCAGGCGAATCAAGTCATCCATGCCACGTGGATTGAAAGTTGAGTCAACTCAGAAGCACCTATTTGCACATGAAACCTCTTCGTGGGTCGACTCAAAAGCACCTATTTGCACATGAAACCTCTTTGTGGGTCGACTCAAAAGCACCTATTTGCACATGAAACCTCTTTGTGGGTCGACTCAAAAGCACCTATTTGCACATGAAACCTCTTTGTGGGTCGACTCAGAAGCACCTATTTGCACATGAAACCTCTTTGTGGGTCGACTCAGAAGCACCTATTTGCACATGAAACCTCTTTGTGGGTCGACTCAAAAACACCTATTTGCACATGAAACCTCTTTGTGGGTCGACTCAAAAGCACCTATTTGCACATGAAACCTCTTTGTGGGTCGACTCAGAAGCACCTATTTGCACATGAAACCTCTTTGTGGGTCGACTCAGAAGCACCTATTTGCACATGAAACCTCTTTGTGGGTCGACTCAAAAGCACCTATTTGCACATGAAACCTCTTTGTGGGTCGACTCAGAAGCACCTATTTGCACATGAAACCTCTTTGTGGGTCGACTCAGAAGCACCTATTTGCACATGAAACCTCTTTGTGGGTCGACTCAAAAGCACCTATTTGCACATGAAACCTCTTTGTGGGTCGACTCAAAAGCACCTATTTGCACATGAAACCTCTTTGTGGGTCGACTCAAAAGCACCTATTTGCACATGAAACCTCTTTGTGGGTCGACTCAAAAGCACCTATTTGCACATGAAACCTCTTTGTGGGTCGACTCAAAAGCACCTATTTGCACATGAAACCTCTTTGTGGGTCGACTCAAAAGCACCTATTTGCACATGAAACCTCTTTGTGGGTCTACTCAAAAGCACCTATTTGCACATGAAACCTCTTTGTGGGTCGACTCAAAAGCACCTATTTGCACATGAAACCTCTTTGTGGGTCGACTCAAAAGCACCTATCTGCACATGAAACCCCTTTGTGACTCAAAAGTCCCTATTTGCATGCATCCAGGCGAATCAAGTCATCCATGCCATGTGGTATCGAAGGGTGTGCACGTGCTACCATGGATCTTCTTGTCTTGGATACTCTTTGCATTGCAATCAGATTCCCAATCAATTAGGATCTAGCTAGACCCACTTGGATCAAATTAGGCAGGAGTAGATACACCACTCGGCCTCTCCTCTTCCCCTCCTTCCCCTCCCCCCCCCCCCTCCCTTTCTACACCTGCAGTCTCACTCTCGCCTGTCCCTCTCTCTGCCGCATCAACTTCGGCACCACATCACGCATCCTCCTCTCCCCCACTCCCTCCACCACCACCACCACCAGCAGCAGCAGCAGCGCTGTCAACGCCCTCCCTGGCCCTCCCACCACCACACCCACCTCTTCCTCCTCTCACAGACGCATCCTGACACCCAGAAGCCCAAGTATCTTCTCTCGTCTCGCTGCCCTTGCTTCTCCTCGCACCAAGCCGCTTGAAGGGTCGGCAGTGGCTGGAGGAGGAGGTCCCACTGGTGCTGGCATTGACAATGCCGGTGGCAGTGTTGGGGTTGGCATTGCCAAAACCAGCACTGGAGGAGGTCCCACTGGTGCTGGTGTTGGCAGTGCCGGTGGTATTGTTGCTGCTAGAAACGGTGCTGCTAATGGTGGTGCTAGTGATGCTGCTGCTGCTTCTGCGTTGGTCTTGTCAGCAGCTCCAACACCAGCCCAGGCAACATCAGCTCCTGCTCCCAGAGAAACTGCCACTGCTTCTCCTCCTCCTCCCACTGCCCCCACTGCTCTCCCTTCTGCCACCGCCGCCACCGCCTCTGCTCACACTCCTCCCAGAACCCCCCCCAACCACGCACCACCGCTCGAGTCCCTCGTGCTGCCCTGCTTCGGCATGTCAGACACAGTAATCTCCGCCATTGCTTCCGCCTGCCCCAGCCTCACGTCTCTCCGCTTCGACCCCGGTTCCAAGAAACGCTACGCGAAGATTCTCGGAATGTTCCAAGTCGCCGGAGCGCTGGATGTGAGTGGCTCTGCTTGCAGGTTTCTCGGAAGGTTCCAAGCTCGTGGGAGTTTGTCTGCCCCCCCCCCCCCCCCCCCCCCGCCCCCCCACATACACCTGCAGTCTGACAGTTTTTTCTCATGTTATTCTCCAGTCTGTCTTCGCTTTTCGCGTGTAGTGAGTCGATTTTTGAGTCGACTCAAAATTCGACTCACCTGCAGTCTGACAGTTTTTTCTCATGTTATTCTCCAGTCTTTCTTCCCGCTTCTCTTAATCCTTCAACAAGTTGCCATTTACTGTCATTCAACAACCATTTCCTCTGCAAAACCTCCCTCCCCTCCCCCTCACCTAACTTCCCCACATCTGCACTAATATTTTGTTCCCTTTGCCCTCCCTCCTCCACCCCCGTATTCCCCCGCACCTTAGATCGACTGCACCGTGACAGACGCATCCCTCCAATCGCTGGCCGCCAGCTGTCCGTCGCTCTCAGAGCTCCACCTCTTTTCAGACTACCTTCTGGGCACCGGTCTCGCCTCCCACTCCCCAGCTACACCTTCCTCCACTCCCCCCTCGCCCCCTCCTCCTCCGATCCCCAATTCGACATCTTCGTCTCCTCTTCCCAATCGTAGCCCACCCACCCCGTCCTCCCTATCCCCTCTTCGCAATAACAATTCCTCCCCATCCTCCTCCCCGTCGTCCTCCTCCCCTTCCTCCTCGCCTCTTCCCTCCAAGCCTCCCTACCGCTTCCTCTCCCTCAAGGCACTCTCTATCACCAGCTGCTCTCTCGCTGACCCGGGCGTTGCCTGCATAGTCACCGCCTGCCCCAACCTCCTCCGGCTGCTCCTGCGTGATTGCATACAGGTACATTGCATCAGCCTTACTGTTGGGCCTCGGGTAATCGTATCGTACCGCTTCCTCTCCCTCAAGGCACTCTCTATCTCAAGCTGTTCTCTCGCTGACCCGGGTGTTGCCTGCATAGCTGCCGCCTGCCCCAACCTCCTCCAACTTTTGCTGCGCGGTTGCATACAGGTACGCTGCCCTTTCACTGGCTACAGGTAAGTGCCACTTCCAACCTTCGGATAATTTCTCCATGGGTGTAACCATACCGCTTCCTCTCCCTCAAGGTCCTTTCCATCTCTAGCTGCTCTCTCCCTGTCCCATGCCTTTCCTGCATAGCCGCTGCCTGCCCCAACCTCCTGAAACTGTTGCTGCACGATTGCATACAGGTGAATCAGCAACTCTCTGCCTTTCTTTTTCTCCCTGACTCAGCCCTCTCTTCCCACTCTTTCTCACTCCTCACCTTTGCCCCTCTCTCCTCCTTGGCTCCCTGAATCTGCCCTAATTGTTACTGCGTCTCTGCCACTGGCAGGTTACTGAGGCAAGTGTAAGCAGTGCAGTCAAGGCATGCAAGAAGCTTCAATTGCTGGACGTGTCTGGCTGCACCAGAGTGAACCTAAAGCAGGCTGCTAAGGTCGTAGCAGCTAGACCACGGTTGGTGCTTGTAACGGTTAGAAAGGTTTCGGATCGGACTGAATAATACTCAGACTCTGATTAATACCGTAAACTGAATCACAGGCACTCTAACTGCAGCTTAGAAAGTGTCGCGTGCTCAAATTACTACTGGTATGTACCGTACACTCTGATTAATAACAAGTGAATTTGAATCCTAATATCAGATACCCTTCATGTTGGACGGGTGTGGCTGCACCATCAGAATGAACTCCAAGCAGGCTGCCATGCCAAGACAAGGCAGGTAGTACAGCAGCTGGGCTGTGGCTGGTGTTTGTTGTAAAAGTAACAGGTAGATGAAATTAGAATTGAATACCGAACACATCCAAGTCTAGATTCCACGTTTGGTTTGAATGACCGTACCATGATTTGAAAGAGTGTCGTCTCCTCCACATAGAAGCCACACCTTTGATTCATGAGCGCGCGAAATAGAATTCGACTATGTCGATACAACAGAAAGCGTAAGGTAAGGTCATCCAGATTCAAGGATAGAGAAAGAGCCAACAGTTGTACAATTTCACCAAGTGTAATGATGGGGCGCACCCATGGTAGTGCTGTACCATATCCATCCATTAAGCCAACCAGTCCCAGTCTCTACCTCCAAGTGACTAAGGAGAGTACCATATGTATCTAATCAACAACCCCAGGTTATCTAGATCGAGATCGCCAGGTCCTTCACCCAGGGATCAAGCGGCTTCCCAATCGAGTACACAATGAACCCAATCTTCCTGAGCGCCTCCACGTCCAAAACATTCCTCCCGTCGAAGATAAACGCGGGCTTTTGCATGCCGTCGTACAGCTTCTGGTAATCCAGAGTCTTGAACTCGTCCCACTCGGTGATCACTGCGATGCACGATGCGTCCTTGGCTGCTTCATAAGGAGATAAGTCCACGGTGACGCGTGAGGAGGCATCCATGGAAGTGGGCGACTGCATCGGAAGGGGATGGTCCCACTCGAACTTGCCTGTGCCCAGATCCCTCCGAATCTGCTCCTCACTGCAGTGGGGTTTGTGTGTGGGAGAGGGTTGGAAGGGGATGCGAGAAGTTAGCAAAGGATGGTGAGAAGGCCTCCATTAATGTTGGGAATGCATCCGGAGGGGATGGTCCCGCTCAAATGCCCATCCCCAGATCCCGCTGAATCTGCTACTTACTGTATCAGGGAGGTAATTGCGTGTAGGGAGAGGTAACCTCCGTCAATGCACCATAACTTACTGATAAACCCTGTCACGGAACCCTGCTAAACCCAGAACACTGAGGCCGGTGGCTGTTGACTGAGGGCGGTGGTTGTTGACTGAGGGCGGTCGCTGTTACCCGAGGGCGGTCGCTGTTACCCGAGGCCGGTGCCTGTTACCCGAGGCAGGTGCCTGTTACCCGAGGCCGGTGCCTGTTACCCGAGGCCGGTGCCTGTTACCCGAGGCCGGTGCCTGTTACCCGAGGCCGGTGCCTGTTACCCGAGGCCGGTGCCTGTTACCCGAGGCCGGTGCCTGTTACCCGAGGCCGGTGCCTGTTACCCGAGGCCGGTGCCTGTTACCCGAGGCCGGTGCCTGTTACCCGAGGCCGGTGCCTGTTATCCGAGGCCGGTGCCTGTTATCCGAGGCCGGTGCCTGTTACCCGAGGCCGGTGCCTGTTACCCGAGGCCGGTGCCTGTTACCCGAGGCCGGTGCCTGTTACCCGAGGCCGGTGCCTGTTACCCGAGGCCGGTGCCTGTTACCCGAGGCCGGTGCCTGTTGACTGAGAGCGGTGCCTGTTGACTGAGAGCGGTGCCTGTTGACTGAGAGCGGTGCCTGTTGACTGAGAGCGGCGCCTGTTGACTGAGAGCGGCGCCTGTTGACTGAGAGCGGCGCCTGTTGACTGAGAGCGGCGCCTGTTGACTGCGAGCGGCGCCTGTTGACTGCGAGCGGTGGCTCTTCACTGAGAGCGGTGGCTCTTCACTGAGAGCGGTGGCTCTTCACTGAGAGCGGTGGCTCTTGACTAAGGGGTGAAGGAGACGCTGGCTGAGGGGTGGAGGGGACGTTGAACGAGGTGAGGTTGGCGTTGACTGAGATGAGAGGGGGGCGTTGACTGAAACGAGAGGGGGGCGTTGACTGAAACGAGAGGGGGGCGTTGACTGAGATGAGTGGGGGGCGCTGACTGAGATGAGCGGGGGGCGTTGACTGAGATGAGTGGGGGGCACTGACTGAGATGAGAGGGGGGCGCTGACTGAGATGAGTGGGGGACGCTGACTGAGATGAGTGAGAGGCGCTGTCTGGGAGAGGGGCTGATTGGGGGAGGGGCTGATTGGGGGTGGGGCTGACCTGGGAGTGGTGGTGATGTTGACTCGGGGTGGGGGTGACATTGACTGGGGGTGGGGTGATGCTGCCCGATGGATGGGGTTGGTTCATTCAGAGGCTTACGCGACTCCGGCCCACCTAACAAATGCCTCTACAGCTCGGTATGAACATGACCGTCTGGCGTACGTGACACTGGCCCTCTAAACTCGGTACAGAAGTGACTTCAAGCATCCGTGACACCAGCCCTCCTATCAACTCGCTACGTACGTGACTTCGGGGTCGTAGATGTGGAGGTACGCGCGGTCGTTGAGCAGCCCGTGGCACACGTCGATGGCGGGCGTCTCGCGGGTGTCGCCAGTGTCCTTCTTGAACGCGAACCCGAAGATGGCGATCTTCTTGCCCGACACCGTGTTGAACATGGACGACACGATCCTCTGATTGGGATGGAGGAAAGGACAAAGGCGCCGATATAAGATCACTCCGTCTAGAATTCTAGGGCACCCTGTTGAACACATCTATCAGGGTAGTACGCAAGGTGTAGCAGAAAAAGAGCGCAAGCAAGGCCAATCTCCTGTTAGGGTCAATTTAATTCTTTGCATGTTGCAACGCACCTTCACAAAGCGGTTCTTCTGGTAGTCGTTGATGTCGATCACCTGCTGCCAGTACTTGGCGCACTCTGTGAGCCCATTGCACTCGCAAATGTACACCAGGTTCAGAATATCCTGAAACAGGGCAAAAAACAAAAAAAGGCACACACACACACAACGTTAGACACTTGGAGGGCAATAACACCACTGACTTGGCAGGCACAAGGATCATCGGTAAGTTAAAACTAGAGCACTCACCTTCTGAAAGCAAGAGCCACCGAAGCCAACGCTGGATTGGAGGAAGCGCTTCCCAATGCGAGTGTCCTTGCCGATGGCGAAGGCCACTTCGGACACGTTGGCACCCGTTGACTGCAGATAAGCAAACAGAATTGGAGGGAATTAAATACGAGAAAACCCCTGGAAAAGCATCTAAACACTAAGCAGCCGTGGTAGAAACAAAGCAACGGTACGATTGGCTGGAGCAGGAACAAATAACGAGCCACGCCAGGTTGTAGCGGTGCGTACCTCGCAAAGGGCAGAGATGGCGTTGATGGAGGAGATTCTTTGCGCCAAGAACGCATTGGCTGCGAGTTTCGACAGCTCCGCGGACCAGAGGTTGGTGGTGAGAATGTTTTCCTGAGGCACCCAGTTGGCATATACTGACGCCAGTGTAGCCATGGCCTTGCGACCAGACTCCGTCTCCTGACCACCTGTAGGAGAAAGGAAGCGAGTTGCGAAGTGATCAGCGCGTTTTTTTTCTCTAAAACTAATTTTCAGTTTTTATTTCTAGCCTTTATTGGCAATCTATAATTTGTTTCCTGAAGTGAGGGATAAGAAACTTGAGGGTTATAGTGCCATGAAACTAAAAGGAGCGGGAAGGTAGTGTTGCTTACCGATGAGGACGCGGTCGGGCTTCCGCAGATCGTCCATGGCGGTTCCTTCAGCAAGAAACTCTGGGTTTGACAGGATCTGCCCATTTCAACAACACATGGTCAGGCGGGATTCTCACATCAGAAACGAATCCCGCTGGCTCCTTAATCCACAGAAATTGAATAAAGAAAAGGAGCTTACATCAAATTGGACACCACTCTTGGTGTGTGTCAGAATTTTCTCAATGGCTTCTGCTGTCTTCACAGGCACTGTTGACTTCTCCACAACCTGAGATTCACGCGAGAAACATTCTCATATTTAACGAACCACTTTGTGCAGAATCTGTCATGACCAGGCCATGATAAGAACAGCCATTCATGTTTTTTCCCTCCCGATAACGTACAATCTTGGGAGAGTTTGAAACGTCTGCAATCATGCGGGCGGCGCTCTCCCAGTATGTCAAATCGGCGGCCTTTCCGGCTCCTAGACCCTGTAACCAACAACCACGTCCGTGAGAAAACGACAAATTTGCATTAACCTCACTGAAATAACGAGGAAAGCGGGGATCAAGAACCAGAACGAACGGTGAGACCCGTTGCACATACCCTGGTCTTTGTGGGAGTGTTGACGCTGACAAAAATAATATCGCACAGAGCCACATACTTCTGAACTTCCGTGCTGAAAAACAAATTCCTCCCGCGGCACTCCTTGACCTGCGATTCGGCATCGAGAATCGGTAAATCAACTGCCGATTGGACCAAGGCCCGATCACGCTAGGCACGACGCCAAACGTGAAGTTCAGCGGGTTGAACGGCACTGAGTAAGGACTTACAACTTCGTCAAGGCCTGGTTCGTAGATAGGGAGGCGATCGCTGTTCCAAGCGGCAATGCGAGGCTTGCTAATGTCGACGACGTACACCTGAGAAATTTATGACAGCCAGCAGGATCTCTCAGACAAACTTAATCACACTGCTGCTAACGGGCGATCGACACAGAAACAGCTGCAGAAGCAACAGCTAAAGGGTGATCGGCAATAGATCCTGCGTAACAACAAGTACTGCGAACGATCGTCGCACGTACCTCGATGTGGGGACACTTCAAGGCGATCATGGCCATGGTGGGACCGCCGACATAACCGGCACCAATACAGCAGATCTTCACCATCTTGGCGTGTGAGTCAATGAGAATGAAACAATGAGCGGAAGACGAGGAGGCTAACTCGACTCACAATGCCAAGCTAGTGTGACAATCAGGTCTCAAGCGAAAATGAAGAGCCTTGCCGGTATGGAAAGCTAGGCGACGAAATCTTGACTTGAGAATCAATCTAAAGTTTCAGCTGACATTTGATGATGCCTTCAATTCGGAGATTTCTGGGTGAAATTGGTTGGTGAGAGGGAGGGAGGGACGGAGGAAGGAAGGTGGAGGGGAGAGAGGTTTGGGGCCGGTATGGGCAGGTTCGGACGTCCTCGAAAACATCAGCAACCTAGCCCAATGGACGTCGGTCAGCCTTCTGCAGGCGTTTTTTGGGACACCCGAACCTGCCCATTGGGATCTCCTGAACTCCACCAACTCAGCACTCCAGTCGCAGGCGTGCATTGTTGGCGCATCGCAGCCTCATCTTTGCTCTCGCCAAGATCCGACGGCCATAAAAGCTTCGAGGGCTGTGTTGGCCGTTGGGGCTGCCCCAGGAACTCGGACACGTGAAACGTAACTGATGGGATCCCCAACCGCGCCTCGAGATTGGTGGCACCTGAACGAAACGCGGTGCGTTTGGCGACAGGAAAATGTCGTTACAGCCAATCGGACTCTTCGCGTTCAGGTTTCGTGGAGCCAAAGCAACCCGAGGCGAAAGGACAGCCACGGCCTTTTTTCACCGTCGGTTTCGCTGCTTGAAACAGCGAGACAAGCGTCAACAGTTCAAAGCAACCTTCCCAATAACCAATGCCATAAATAATGTGTACACCAAATCGAGGTGGCCTCCATGGACTTCTCTTTAGCGAGTACATGTGGATTTATCTGCAGTAATTTCACTTCCCCAGGCAGGTACGATTCTGACCTTGATTTCTGCACTGATTTCATGACCAGCTGACGAAAAGCACACTTCGCGGCGGCCGCATGTCGCCATGGCTGCGCGTAGAGCCGCGAATTCGACCATCGGCGCGCACCTTCGCTCCTCCTTCATCCGCCTCTCACGCACCTTCAACCCACCATGCGTTGCTGACGTGTCACCACATTGTCCATCATCCGCGATCCCGTCAACCGCCAATTTTTCGCAACGCACGGCGGGTCGCATTCAATCCCCACCGCTGTCGTCGGCGGCTCCGATCTCTGGTAAAAGCCGTTCTTGGATCGCATGTCTGGACACGTGGCAGCACGCGACCATCAGGCGGAACGCGCCTTTCCAGCCTTCAGGCGCTCATCAAATTCAGGACGTAGCCCTTCTGATCAACCACAGTATCGCAGCTGCTACAAACGAATCCCACAGATTAGGCTCTTGCGTCGACAAGGATTACTGTAGCCAGTTTAGCACTAGTGAAAGAAGTAGAACAGAGAGGAGCATTGACTCCATTGGTGGTAGAAATAGTAGTAGGAACAATCTATTAGGTTCAGAGAGCCTAGACAGAATAACGGTCGACAACAGCAGCAGCCTTAGCAGCAGAACTAGCAGCAGCAGTAGGAGTAGAAGCAGTGTCGGTAACAACATACGCAGGTTCAGTGGCGACGCTAGCAGCAATGCAAATGTCCCCAGCAGCAGCGGCACTACCAGCACTAGCAGCGCCGGCACTAGTAGCAGCAACACTAGCAGCAGCAGCAGCAGCGCGAGCGGTAGCAGTGGGAGGCTCGAAAAGCCCCCCATAGACCTGTCCGCCTTCCCGCCAGATCGGATCCGGAACTTCTCCATTGTCGCCCACGTGGACCACGGGAAATCCACGCTGGCAGACCGCCTGCTGGAGCTGACAGGCACGCTCACGCCCAGCGACACCAAGGGGCAGGCGCGCCCACAGTACCTGGACAAGCTGCAGGTGGGCTTTGAAGGGCTTTGAGCACCTGGACAAGCTGCAGGTGGGTGGAGTATTAGGTGTCTATTAGATGTCTTATACCTGAGTTTTGACCTATTAGATGTCTAATACCTGAGTTTTGACCTATTAGATGTCTAATACCTGAGTTTTGACCTATTAGATGTCTAATACCTGAGTTTTGACCTATTAGATGTCTAATACCTGAGTTTTGACCTATTAGATGTCTAATACCTGAGTTTTGACCTATTAGATGTCTTGTAGCCGAACGTGCCCACCTTCACTCCCTCTGCTCCCTCCCATGCCAGGTGGAGAGGGAGCGAGGCATCACAGTGAAGGCACAGCTACGAGGTGTCTCGTTCGCAGGCCACCACTCAGGGCGTGCTGATGCTGCTGGTGGTGCTGGTGCTGGTGGTGATGGGCGTCTTAACACTTGCATCACCTTCACTCCCCCATGCCTTCAGGTGGAGAGGGAGCGAGGCATCACAGTGAAGGCACAGACCGCCACCATGCTCTTTGACTTCCACCCATCGGCACCTACTGGAGGAGACCAGTCTGGTCCCGGTCCTCCTCCCGGGCGCTACCTGCTGAATCTGATTGACACGCCCGGCCACGTGGACTTCAGCTACGAGGTGTCTCGCTCGCTGGCCGCCACGCAGGGCGTGCTGCTGGTGGTGGACGCGCAGCAGGGCATCCAGGCACAGACCGTCGCGAACTTCTTTCTCGCTTTGGAAGGAGACTTGGCCATCGTACCCGTTGTGAACAAGATTGACAGGCCCGATGCCGATCCCCAAGGTGCATTGAGTTCTTATGTGTTTGCTGGCTTCGATGGGGGTTATGGTGCTGGTGTTGGTGGTGGTGGTGCTGGGGGTTCTGGTACTGCTGGTCGTTCTCTCTCGTTCCCCCCCTCTCAGCCATTCGCTCAAATCGTCTCCAACTTCCACCTGCCTCTCCCCTCCTGTTTCTCCACCTCAACTCTCCCTTTTCTAATCCTCCAATCCCCGCTTCCGACCCCTCTCCCACCTTCCATTCGGCCCCTCTCAGCCGTTGCTGCCCAAATCGCCTCCACCTTCGACCTACCTCGAGCCTCCTGCCTCTTCACCTCGGCCCGCACGGGAGCCGGCCTGCCCTCTCTCCTCTCACGCACGCACTGTTTCTGTCCCCATTTCACCCGCTCCTTGCCCCATCAGCTGTCGCGGCTCAGATCGCCTCCACCTTCGACCTGCCTCGCGCCTCCTGCCTCTTCACCTGATACGTGTAAAAAGAGTATTTGTGAGACGTCTCAAAAAAATACTCTTCCCCCCATCAGCTGTCGCGTCGCGGCTCAGATCGCCTCCACCTTCGACCTGCCTCGCGCCTCCTGCCTCTTCACCTCAGCCCGCACTCTCCCTTCCCTTGTCCCTCCACTCCCCCCATCCCCCCTCTCAGCTGTTGCTGCCCAAATCGCCTCCACCTTCGACCTGCCTCGCGCCTCCTGCCTCTTCACCTGATACGTGTAAAAAGAGTATTTGTGAGACGTCTCAAAAAAATACTCTTCCCCCCATCAGCTGTCGCGTCGCGGCTCAGATCGCCTCCACCTTCGACCTGCCTCGCGCCTCCTGCCTCTTCACCTGATATGTGTAAAAAGAGTATTTGTGAGACGTCTCAAAAAAATTCTCTTCCCCCCATCAGCTGTCGCGTCGCGGCTCAGATCGCCTCCACCTTCGACCTGCCTCGCGCCTCCTGCCTCTTCACCTCAGCCCGCACTCTCCCTTCCCTTGTCCCTCCACTCCCCCCATCCCCCCTCTCAGCTGTTGCTGCCCAAATCGCCTCCACCTTCGACCTGCCCCTCACCTCCTGCCTCTTCACCTCGGCCCGCACGGGAGCCGGCCTGCCCTCTCTCCTCTCCGCCATCGTGCGCCAGATACCACCTCCCCCAGGCGACCCTGCCGCGCCGCTGCGCGCGCTGCTATTGGACGCGCACTTTGACGAGTACAGGGGCGTGGTGTGTCACGTGGCAGTGGTTGATGGGGCAATCAGGGAGGGGGAGAAGGTGGCGGTGGCAGGCATGGGGATGAGCTACGACGTGGGGGAGGTGGGGGTGATGTACCCTGAGGCAACGCCCACAGGCTGTTTGCTTACTGGGCAGGTGTGTGCGTGGGTGAATGTGTGTGTGGGAGAGAGGGTGGCGGTGGCAGGCATGGGGATGAGCTATGATGTTGGGGAGGTGGGGGTGATGTACCCTGAAGCAACGCCCACTGGCTGTTTGCTTACTGGTCAAGTGAGTATGAGAATGCTTGTTTGAGTTCCGGTGCTGGCATGGGAGTGGGAGTGAGTGGCAGTGGCAGGCATGGGGATGAGCTATGACGTAGGGGAGATTGGAGTCATGTATCCGGAGTCTACGCCTACACGGTGTCTTCTTACTGGTCAGGTGGGCGAATGTGCAAGGGTGGGTGGGAGAGTGAGTGGCAGTGGCAGGCATGGGGATGAGCTATGGCGTGGGGGAGGTTGGAGTCATGTATCCGGAGTCTACGCCTACAGGCTGTCTGCATACTGGGCAAGTGAGTTTAAGTAGGCTTGTAAGAGTTCAGGTGCATGCATGGGAGAGCGGGCTTAGTGGGAAAATACGCTCAGAACTGTTTGCGTTTAGCGTATACACGCTAGCGTTTATACGCAATACGCAAAACGCTAGCGAATACGCTATACGCTAGCCAAATTTTTTTAGGGGCAGCCCGGCCAAAAAAATTCAACCTATACGGTTCGCTTCGGAATTGCACGACGAACACATTGGCGGGGTCAAATGTCACGTCCGCGCTGTGTGCTAGCGTGGACGTGGGTTGAAAGTTTGAGCCGCGAATGGAAAGTAACGTACGTCGAGTCGCGCTTGCACGTTCCCTCACATTTTGGTGGTCACAGTCAGTACCGCATTCAAAACCTTCACAACCAATTGCGATTCCAACTTCAGTTGCCCATCTTCCAACTCCCCCAATCTACTCGCTATTAAACACGCACACCCCCAACATCCAACTCATTAGGTCTTCTCCCGCTACCAGCAGAGCACTGGGCATTCCCTAGCGCCTGGTGCCTATGTCGACTACTACCACTTCTCCTCCCACGACACCGTCAGTTAACACCGTTGGCAGCTCGCAGACTCTTCTAACCGAGGCACGGGAGTATCTCCCCGACGTCGACCATGTCGTCTTCAAGCATTTCCGCATCGTCAAGCGGGTCGAGGGTAAAGCCCAGCAGTACGAGTGCAAGTTCTGCAGCAACCTCTACACCGGTGCTGCCATCCGATGCGCGCAACACTTCGCGTCGTGGAAGGGCATGAAATGCCGTGAAGTGGTGCTGTGCAAGGATGCGCCGCAAGATGTGCGTCGGGCCATGAAAGCGCATTACGAGGCAAAGACTGCTGCGGCCGACGAAAGGAGGCGGGCCGCTGCTGCCGCGGTTGCCGCAGTGACGGCTGACGGTGGGAAGCGCGCGCGAATCACCGATTACCTCGAGGGGGATACGGCTGCACGAAAGCGAGAAGCGGACGAGTCACTTGCGCTTGCTTGGGCCGCCCTCCACATCCCCGAGCGCCACATTGACCATCCTCTGATGGTCAACGCATTGAACAACGTCTCCCGCGCCGGGAAAGACTACGTCCCCCCCAAGCGGAAATACGTCGGCGGTGCTGGCCTTGTAGCGTGTCGCAACGGCATCGAGGCGGGTTTGGTGGGCGTCAAAACGAGCTGGAAGCGGACGGGCGTGACGGTGTCGTCCGACATGATGACGGACCGCAGGGGCAGGCCGCAGGCCAACATTCTTCTCGTCAATGATTCGGGCGCCGTCTTCTACGACTGTGTTGACTGCAACATGGAGAAGAAAACGGGTGGTTACGTGGCGGGGATTCTCAGGCCCGTGGTGGAGGAAGTGGGGCCAGAGAACGTTGTGGCGTTCTGCATGGATGGGGGATCGAACTACGCGGTGGCGGTGAAGCGACTGATTCAGGAGTGGCCGCACATTCAAGACGTGCCGTGCGCCACCCATGTGATGGATCTTCTCCTGGAAGACGTGGGGAAGATGGGGTGGGCTAAGCCGGTGGTCGACAAGGGAGGGGAGATTAGCAGCTTCGTCCGCAACCACCATTGGACCCGCGGGTACCTGCGCACGCCGGAATTGGTGGAGGGGAAGGTTCTGGAAGCGCTGAAGCCGGCTGGAACGAGGTTCGGGACGAACTACATCTCCATCTCCCGGCTGTGTGCGATGCGCGGCAGCCTCACCAACATGGTGACGAGCGAGGGGTGGAAGGAGTGGGCGGTAGGGGACCGGAAGAAATCATGCGACGCGTTTGCTGCGCTGATCCATGATGCCGCCTGGTGGAAGACGGCCGACTTCTTCACTGCCCTCCTGAAGCTGCCCTATAAGGCGATGAGGCAGACGGACGGGCATGCCGTGGGGATGATGGGGAGGATATACGATGTTATGCTTCAGTTGACTGAGGACGTGGGGGACTTACTCGATGCGGACGAGGAGCAGCTGAGCAACGCGGATAAGGACCAGATCCGCAAGATCCTCAGAGACCGCTGGGACGGCAGCCTCGCATGCGCCATGCATGTCGCTGGCCGCATCCTCAACCCCGCCAATCAGGAGGAAGATATCTTCGGCACTGATCTCGAGTGCACGAAGGTCTTCAAGGTGTTCATCAGCCAGTACGCCGAGTTCCTTGCGAGCCGCGGGGATGGGGGGGATGACGCTTGCAGCATCTTGCTTGAGCTGGGGGACGGGCTGAGGGCGTTTCTTGACATGAAGGGTTCTTTTGGGATGCCGGAAGCCGTGGCACAAAGGAAGCTGGTGAAAGAGGGGAAGTATAGCATGGTGAAGTGGTGGCAGTGGAATGGGACCGATGCTCCACGTGTGGCGGGGCTCGCGGTACGGGTGCTGTCTCAGCCCGTGTCCGCCTCACCTTGTGAGCGTGGATGGTCATCTTGGGATGTCGTCCACACCGCACGTCGGAACAGGCTCGGATCCGCCAAGTGCAGGGACTTGGTCTATGTTACGCACAACTGGAATGTTGTGCGCAACTGGCACACGCGCGCCGATGTCCTGCCACATGTGGTGGCCGGGATAGGAGCGGAGCTTCCAATCCCGGCGGGATACAATGGGCTGGAAGACGAGGCGAAGGGAGAGGATGAGGAGGAAAGCGACGACGACATCCTCGAAGACGAGTACGCTAAGTAGAGGGGGCATATGTGGCTTGCATTGCAGTGGGCGGCCAGGCCTAAGGAGTAGTACCTAGAGAGTCCAGGATATAAGTGATGGTCGTGATGGTGTAGTGTACCATTGTAGTGATGGTAGTGGTAAGAGAGTTAGAGAGTAGGGGAAAGTTATTTGCAGGTCTTGGTGTATGTGACTTAGTGGGAAAAAAATGTACTCTGAAATTTCAGACCCCAAACCCCTGCCCCATACCCCCTCCCCCCCCCCCCCTTCCCAGGGTTTTTTTGACCCTGCCCGGGAAGTTTTTTTTCTGCCCGGAAAAGCGTATTCCCAAACTCGGCCCGAAAGCGTTTAGCGTATATACAAGTGCGTATATAAGATAAGCTTATATACGCAATAAGCTTATATTCCCACTAAGAGAGCGGGAGGGTGGCGGTGGCAGAAACGGGGATGCGCTATGATTTGGGGGAGGTGAGGTGGGGATGATGTAACCCAAAGCAATGCCCATGGGTTGTTTGCTCAATGGAACTTGTCTTGCCTGTCCCAAGCTGAGACCTCTCCGCACCCCATCTCCCAAGCAGGTGGGGTATGTGATGCTGGGCATGTGGACAACGCAAGAAGCAAGGGTAGGTGATACCATTCACCACCATAAAGCCCAGATCTCGCCGCTCCCGGGCTTCAGGGCGGCGCAGCACATGGTGTTTGCAAGAGTGTCTCCCCCTTCCCCCTTTGCCTGTGGCAGGTGGGGTATGTGATGCTGGGCATGCGCACGACTCGAGAAGCAAGGGTAGGAGACACCATTCACCACCATAAAGCCCAAGTGTCGCCCCTCTCGGGCTTCAGGGCGGCGCAGCACATGGTGTTTGCGGGGGTGTTCCCTGCCAAGTCACATAGCCTCTCCTCCTTCCCCCTGTGCTTGTGACAGGTGGGATACGTGATGCTGGGCATGCGAACAACAAGGGAAGCAAGGGTAGGCGACACCATTCACCACCACAAGGCGCAGGTCTCGCCCCTGCCGGGCTTCAGGGCGGCACAGCACATGGTGTCTCCTCCCACCCATCACCACCCATGTCCCCCTCCCACATTTGGCAGGTGGGGTATGTGATGCTGGGCATGCGGACAACCCGAGAAGCAAGGGTGGGTGACACGATCCACCACCACAAGGCGCAGGTGTCGCCCCTCCCGGGCTTCAGGGCGGCGCAGCACATGGTGTTTGCAGGGGTGTTCCCGGCCAACTGACATAGCTCAAGTGTCTCCCCTTTCCCCCTGTGCCTGTGGCAGGTGGGGTATGTGATGCTGGGTATGCGCACGACTCGAGAAGCAAGGGTAGGCGACACCATTCACCACCATAAATCCCAAGTGTCGCCCCTACCGGGCTTCAGGGCGGCGCAGCACATGGTGTTTGCGGGGGTGTTCCCGGCCGATGGGTCTGACTTTGAGGCGCTGGCCAAGGCGGTGGACAAGCTGGTGTGCAACGATGCCAGCGTGGCCGTGACAAGATACAGCAGTGCTGCACTGGGGGCTGGATTCAGGTAAGGGGGAGAGGGAAGGGCGAGGGTGGCTGGGAGGGAGCGCAGCACATGGTGTTTGCGGGGGTGTTCCCGGTCGATGGGTCTGACTTTGAGGACTTGGCCAAAGCGGTGGACAAGCTGGTGTGCAACGATGCCAGCGTGACCGTCACCCGCTACAGCAGCGCTGCCTTAGGAGCCGGATTCAGGTGTGTGTTGGGATTGCAGCATGTGGTGTGGTGTGGTGCATGCATGCAGCGAAAAGGCGCTGGCTAAGGCGGTGAACAAGCTGGTGTGCAGCGATGCCAGCGTGGCCGTGACAAGATACAGCAGCGCTGCCCTGGGCGCGGGATTCAGGTGAGGAGGTGAGAGGGGCAAATGCAAGCAGGCACGAGTAAGCGAGCATTGGCATGTGAGTGTCTTTTCTCCCCTCAAGGCATTGACTAAGGCGGTGATCAAGCTCGTGTGCAACGATGCAAGCGTGGCTGTTACCAGATACAGCAGCGCTGCCCTGGAGGCCGGATTCAGGTGTGTGGTAGTGTTGGATATGGGAGTAGAGTGAGTGAATGAGTTATTGAGCGAGTGAATGAGTGAGGGAGTGAGTGGGGGAGTGAGTTAGTGATTGAGCGAGTGAGTGAGGTAGTGAGGTAGTGAGTGACTAATTGCTCCTCTTCTTTGTCATTGTCCTGGCAGGTGCGGCTTCCTGGGTTTGCTCCACATGGACGTGTTTCACCAGCGCCTGCAGCAGGAGTTTGGAGCCGAGGTCATCTCAACCGCTCCCTCCGTGCCTGCCATCTTTGAATACGCTGACGGCACGTGAGTGCGTGTACCATGCTGCCGATAGTACGTCAGTCAATTCTCCATGTCGACTCGCCAGCGCCTGCAGCAGGAGTTTGGTGGTGAAGTCATCTCAACCGCCCCCTCTGTGCCAGCTATCTTTGAATACGCTGACGGCACGTGAGTTGATGTGCCATGCCATGTCATGCAGTGCCAATACATGCACATGACACGTGAGTCGGTCGGTGTGCAGTGTTTGAGTTTTCCACCGCTCCCTCCGTGCCTGCCATCTTTGAATACGCTGACAGCACGTGAGTCACTTTACAGTGCCACATCATCCCATCCCATGCCATTCCATGTCAATTTCTGTGCCATGTAGTGGCTTCTGAGGCGCCTTCTCGGACCATCATCTACACTTGTTTCTCAGTTGTATCTACACATTCGAACAAGTCCAACAATCACACGTTCTCCCAAGTTTTGAAACACATGATTTCTCCCACCCCACCTCACATCCCACCTCACATCTACTCCCCTCACATCCCACCTCACATCTACTCCCCTCACATCCCACCTCACATCTACTCCCCTCACATCCCACCTCACATCCTCCCAAGCGAGCGAGGGAAGCAACAATCACTTCCTCTTTCCTCGCTTCCCACCTCACACCTACTCCCCTCTTTCCCTCGCCCTGACTCCCCTCTATCCAGTCGCATAGAAGCCCAGGGTCCATCCGACATCCCATCTGTACCGAAGCAGCAAGAGCTTCTCATATCTTTGTTCTTCCCACCTCCTCTCCCCACCCTCCGACCTCGCCCTCTCCCTCCTCCCTCCCATCCAGTCGCATAGAAGCCCAGGGTCCATCCGACATCCCATCTGTCCCGAAGCAGCAAGAGCTTCTCATATCTTTGTTCTTCCCACCTCCTCTCCCCACCCTCCGACCTCGCCCTCTCCCTCCTCCCTCCCATCCAGTCGCATAGAAGCCCAGGGTCCATCCGACATCCCATCTGTCCCGAAGCAGCGAGTGCTTCGCTGCACCGAGCCCTTCGTGCTCGCTACCATCGTGACTCCCTCCAAGTGAGTGCCCCTCCAAGTGAGTGCCCCTCCAAGTGAGTGCCCCTCCAAGTGAGTGCCCCTCCAAGTGAGTGCCCCTCCAAGTGAGTGCCCCTCCAAGTGAGTGCCCCTCCAAGTGAGTGCCCCTCCAATCATCCCCTCCCTCCATCCAAGTGAGCCCACAAGGCTTGGAACATGAGCTCCCTTCCCGCTGCACTGAGCCCTTCGTGCTCGCTACCATCATGACTCCCTGCAAGTGAGTAACAAATAGAAAGTAGTCAAAGGCTTTTGAGTCGACTCAAAAGCAGTCAAAGGCGCAAACATCCTGTTTGAAATACATTCAGATTGGTGAGGTCTTAGCACCGGGGCCCATTTTGGGATCCCAACAAAGAAACCTGCAATATGATCGTTTAGCACTGCAATAGTACCTTCTGTGTGGTGCCAAGCCCTCGCCTACAGGGTCAACATAATGACTCCCTTCCCGCCTTCCCCATCCCCCGTCCCTTCTTACCCAGTCCCTCCCTCCCCCACTTTCCCTGTCACGCTCCCTCTCCACCCCAGGTACGTGGGACCTATCATGGACCTCTGTGCGAGCAGGAGGGGCGAGCAGAAAGAGTACTCGTTTATTGATGGGTGAGTTCTGGTTTAGACTAGGCTGATGAGCACTGAGATGCTAGTGTGCGTGCCGCAGTGCGGGCGACGTGGGATGGTTCCTGACGGACCTTTTGAGTTGAATTAAAGGACTTTTGAGACGTCTCAAAAGTCATGGGTGGGTTCTGGTCTGGTCTAGGCCGATGAGCATTGAGATGCTAGTGCGCGGCAACATTGTATGGTACCTGACAGACCTTTTGAGTCGACTCAAAGGTCAAGCCAGGTCACATCACACTGAGATGGCAATGCAAGAGGTGGTAAGGGAGCGCTTGTTTGCTTGTTTACTGAGTTTTACAGCCTTTCACCTAGATTACTGCATTTTGTCCTCTTCCCCTGTATTTTGTATGCTGTTGCAGCGACCGGGCCATGCTGCGCTATGACATGCCGGTGAGGGAGGTGGTGATGGATTTCTACAGCCACCTCAAGAGCATCTCGTCAGGGTTCGCGACGTTTGACTACGAAGATGCCGGGTGAGTGAGTGTGTGTGTGTGAGTGAGTGAGGTGCAGCGTGAGGTGCAGGCAGGCACATGGCGGGACAGCCAAGAAAAGAGCAGGCTTCTTCTTTCTAGTCGACTCAAGATTGGTTTAGTCAAGAAAGAAGGGGGCTTGGGGGTGAGGAGGTGATGGATTTCTACAGCCACCTCAAGTGCATCTCGTCAGGGTTCACGGCGTTTGACTGGATCTGCAGGGTGAGACAATGGATCTGCAGGGTGAGACAATGGATCTGCAGGGTGAGACAATGGATCTGCAGGGTGAGACAATGGATCTGCAGGGTGAGACAATGGATCTGCAGGGTGAGACAATGGATCTGCAGGGTGAGACAATGGATCTGCAGGGTGAGACAATGGATCTGCAGGGTGAGACAATGGATCTGCAGGGTGAGACAATGGATCTGGTGATGGTGGGATCCGATCTGGCGAACTTGTAATCTAGGGAAACTGGGATCTGCTGCTGAACGATTTCGAAATTCGAAGTAATTTGAAAAGCTGCCTGCACCTTCACGCTTCTTTTTTTTTTGTTTTTTTTTTTTTGGTGAATGGGCATGCACTATATAATGCAATTACATTCGCAGTCGTAACTGACCTTCACGCTTCTGAAAAGGTTTCCCGTATCCCGAAATGCAACCCGCTTCCTCCCCCCCACCCTTTTTCTTGCACTTTTGCTGCCCTTTTTCCATGCACGCCAGTATGAGGGAGGCGGATCTGGTGAAGGTGGATGTGCTGTTGACCGAATTTCAAATCAACTGTTCCCTCCCTTTGCTACCCTTGTTCTGTTTGTCCCAGCATGAGGGAGGCGGATCTGGTGAAGGTGGATGTGCTGCTGAATGGCAAGCCAGTGGATGCGCTGGCAGCCATCGCCCACAGAGATGCGGCGCAGCGCATGGGCAGGAAGCTGGTGGAGCGCCTCAAAGGGGTGCTCGACAGGTGGGTTTGAAACGGTTTAGAGGGTTCCAGAAGGTGCTGAGAGGGTTTTGTTGTAGTGGCGAGTGGCAGCCATCACCCACAGAGACGCGGCGCAACGCATGGGGAGGAAACTGGTGGAGAGACTCAAAGGAATCCTTGACAGGTGGGTTTGAAGCGATTGAGAGGGTTTTCGAAGGTTGAAAAACTCATCATTTTTAAAAGGGTTTTGTAGTGGCAGTGGATGCATTGGCAGCCATCGCCCACAGAGACGCAGCGCAGGGCATGGGGAGGAAACTGGTGCAGCATTTGAAGGGGATTCTTGACAGGTGGGTCTGAAACGGTTGAGAGGGTTGTGAGAGGGTAGTGGATGTGGCAGAACGCGTGAGGAGGAAATTAGAGGAGCGACTCAAAGGAATCCTTGACAAGTGTGGTTGAGGGGTAACAAAGGCGCGACACATTGAAGCATTTGGCTGCTTCTGTTTCATCTGGATTGATTTCTCGCTTTATGCTTGTGGATGTAGGATTGCGGGTTTGTTTTCTGTTGCATCTGTTGGGTTTGCCTCAACGATTCGCCTCAACTGGACACATGTTTCAACTGAGTGTACATGCACCCATAAATGCGTGCCATTAAAATATGGGTGCATGCAGGCAAATGTTTGAGGTGGTTATCCAGGCTGCTATTGGCGCTAAAGTGATCGCAAGTGAAAAGTGAGTGGGAGTGCAGGTTTTACTGTACTGACTGTATGCTTTCTTGCAAGTTTCATCGGCACACCTTTGCTCAAGTGTGCACTTGTGTCCATATCCTTTTCTACGTACTGTACAATTCTTTGTTGATCCTACCAGCATATTGTGCAACATGGTACCTTCTTATCCATCGATTATTGAACAACTTGCAACATTTGTTTCTCTCCCCGAACAGGCTTTCAGCTATGCGTAAAAACGTGCTTGCTAAGTGTTACGGCGGGGATGTTTCGCGCAAGCGGAAGCTGTTGGAGAAGCAGAAGGAAGGGAAGAAGCGAATGAAACGAGTTGGTTCCGTCTCTCTTCCCCAAGAGGCGTTCCACGACTTGTTACGGACATCATAACAAGAAATTGCATTTTGTTTTTGCAATGCAAGTTAGCTATTTACTTCCTTACATGTACCGACAATCTCTTTCGTTCACAAAGGGTGCTCTGACCTACTAGAGGGAACGCTAAAGTTGCGTGCCGCGAGACATGGTCTGCACCGTACAACCGTACTACACAGTTTTTCACCAGGCTGTAAAGGAACTACAGCGGACACCTATTTTCTGGTGTCTGTCACACCTACTGCTCTCCATCGCTCCATTACCTCCCTAATCGCACACTCCATTACCCCTCGCCATCGCCTTCGCTACCCCTTATCTTCCTCTCCGCACCGTGTCGCGATCCGCACTCTTCCATCTCCATGTACTAAAACTCCCACGAGACATCCCAGCGGAACTACAACACGGATCAGCCCCTACATATTTCCCAGTCTGCCGTTTGCTCCTAAACGGGCTACGCTTCAGTAAAACTTTTAAAACCAACCGTCGCTGCGTCTCAAAAAGCGGGAGCATTACAGCCTTGAAATAACCTCGTCGGAGCACCTTATAACGAGGATTTAATACGCGCTAAGATATCAGATCGGATCGGAGCGGTCATGGGATCGCCGTCGGTGATGGATGAGGTGCGGAAGGTGATGGCGATGGTGACGGAGGGCAACGAGCAGCTGCAGCAGGCGCAGGAGCAGGCCTCCGCCGCCATTCGCGAGACCACCGCGGCCGCGCGGCAGCAAATGGCGGTCATGGAAGCTGCAGCGTCGGAGCAGCTGCTGGAAGCGAAGGTAGGCAGCTTATAGCGCGTATTGATACGCGGGGAGGAGGCTGGTGGGGCTCGAGCGTTTCAGCCACAGCAGATGGAGGCAAAGGGGGAGGTGCAGGCGCAGGTGCAGGCGCAGGTGTAAGCAATTCAGAGATTCCTGCAAAACGAGATCCTTTAATTTTGCCCTTTTCTCATCTTTGCTCGTTTCCCATCAACTTCCTTTTCCCAACTTCCATTCTTCCCCCTTTTCCCTTTCCTTTTCCATCTCTCTTTCTGTTTCCCATCCTTGCTCTGTTCTTGCAGGCGTCCCTTGAGGTGGCTCGTGAGGTGTACACACAATACGAGGACGTTTTCTTCCACCACCTCAAGAGTGAGTGAAGGAGTGAGGGAGGGGGTGAGTGAGTGAGTGAATGAGTGAGGTGTACACGCAATACGAGGACGTTTTCTTCCACCACCTCAAGAGTGAGTGATAGAGTGAGTGAGGCGTGTGCGCGTTACACTGGGAGTTACAAGTGTGCGAGGCGTGTACACGCACCATACCAGAGTTGTGCAAGATTTCTCAGAAGTGAGGTGTACACACAGTATGAGTATGGGTTGCTTCTTCTCTGCCCCTGGTTTGCCCGTCCAGCTCTTCTCAACTTGTTCTCTGTTTTCTTCATTTCTCCGCCCTCCCTCCTTTCTTTCTCCAGTGGGGGTTTATCTGGCCTCGGAGCATCGCGTTGCCTCGTCTACAGCGCTGCTCTCTGCCCTCGCTTTTATCCTTCCAGGTTAGTCGTTTCGCTCGGGCTTGTTAGTTGATGACCCAAAACGCTAGTTTCACGAAATAATAGTACAAACCAACCAGTCTGGGAGAGCTCCACCTTGGCCGAAAAAAAACCCATTTCTTGTTCTACTCTTTTCTGTTGCTTCCCGCCTTTCTTTCGGACTCTCCCTGCCTCTTCATTTGATTCTTGTGCGGAATCTCCCTGTCTCGTCCTGTGCAGGGCCACGCAAGATGCTGTATAGGGCAACATTTGGCCGGTTCCAAACTCCAGAGGTAAGCGAGTGTGCACAGATGCAAGACTGTATGATGCAAGGCTATTGTGTACTTGCTAGCTTGGCTGGATGATATTGAAAGCTTTCAGATGTCCCTTCCCTTTTCCCGTTCCCCTTCCCGGCCTCTGATGCAGGTGCTGGTGGAGTCAGCCGAGCTCAAGCTGGAAAGGTTTGAAGCAGTTAGTGGAGGTGAATGGAGGTTAACGCAAGTCAGAAAAAGTCAATGGAAGTCCATCCTGTTGATAATTTCCTTTTCCGATTCCCCTTTCCGGCCTTTGACGCAGGTGCTGGTGGAGTCAGCAGAGCGCAAGCTAGAGGGCTTGAAGCAGTCGGTGGAAGTCTTTAAGAACGACACCAAGAAGCTGCAGGTGAGATAAGAGCAGGCAAAGGTTTCGCAACTTCTTTTCGTGCCTCGCTTCCTTTCCCTCTCTTCTACCATCTGCAGAAGCTCCGTTCAAAGATAAAGCTTGACCTTGATAATGTCATATTCACTGAATGTGGACGTGCAGGAACGGGCTCAAATGGCCGAGTCAGAGTTCCTGTCAGGCCGAGACAAGCTGAAGTGAGCTCGCCAAACCCTTCACATTTGCTGATGACAGTTGCTGCACCTCCTGCTCATTGTGATGATATTGCATGCTACGATTGGTTTTTGACCTGCTTCACCACCATGCTCCATGTTTCACACGCTTTGCACCAAACCTCTTCTTGTCACCACACCACGTCTCCATTGACTTTCACTACGGCCGCAAGGCCTGAGATGCCATGCGATTTCTAAGTCAATTCAGAGTCACCTTGTTTCACCCCGTCCTTTTCATTCATCTCATGATTTTACCTTCCGACAACAGGGCTGCAGGGGCTGAGATGCAAAGGCTGGCAGGGACGGTACGAGCAGCAGAGAAGAAGTCACTGGGTGAGTTGCTGCTGTAGGCATCTGCCCCACACACAGTTTCTGTGGCATCTGCAATGAAACTCGCTTGCATGTCAATAATAATACTTCACCAGTTTGCTTACCAGTAACGGTGTGCTTCAAACCAAGCTTCCAAGTTGTCTGGCTTCCATCCTTGTTTGCTGTTTTCTCTTTCTCCTCTACCCTTCCCCAGGGCTTCGTGAGCTACTAAAAGACCTGCCTGCAAGAGACAGCGTTCGGCTGCGATCAGAGGTACGCCTTGTGGTAACTGGCTCCGACAGTGCTTGCCATGTGGTTACCATCCCTCGATGTGGTCTGTCTGTGCCATCAGCATGCCGCAGACTCTGAGCATCCTGTTCAGCACCCTGCTTCATTCATTCTTCTCCTCATTCTTTGCAGCACATTTGCTCCAAATTTGAACATTCTTTTCAGCCATTTTTGAAGCACTCGTAGTTCCAACATCCCCTCCCCACGTTGTCTGCTTCAGCTGGCCATGGCAACCCGAGAGGCTCAACGTCAATTGCATGCCATTAACAAGACAACTGTGCATATGGCTCGTCTCGGCATCCCTATCTAGTTGCTGCTTGCACGCGCAGCCACTGCTGACTATGTTCCAGCATCCTCATGCTTGGCATGGAATACCCATCTGGTAGTCAGCAATTATGCAGCCCCTCTTGTCAGCTGGTGCATCACAAGCTGGCAGGAGGATCACGATTTTCGCAAAGCTTCCTTCAGGAGTATTCATCATGATTCATGAGCTGAGACCACACATGTGCTCATTGAGTACATCTAAAACGATTTCTTACAGCCCTGCCAGTTGTAGTTCAGTAACAGCTACTTAATCGTATCTAAAGCAAGGTCTGTCCATTTGTTTGGATCCTCCTGAGGCACCTCATTGCCTGCATGAATAACAAACAGCAACAGGCATAACAAAAGCAAAAGAAGATGAGGGGGCAAGAGCAGGATGACTTGTTGCTTGTCTGCAGAGGCCACGAATTATGATGAATGCTCCCTGAAGCCTCCGTTAGGCACACTCATCATGATTCATAAATTCACGGCCTCTCCTTCATATCTCACAATGAAACGAGCACCTAAGTAAAGGAATGACACAGGATGGCCAAGGCAAAGGCGCCATGAATCATGATGTATGCTGGTGAGAAGAGTGCTTACCAAGGTCGTCGGCCTCTTCTGATGTAGGAGCAGGGCCGATAGGGAGCATCACATCTGATCATAAAGATACCCAAATCACAGGACGTGTAGACGAGAAGCAAGCAGACGAAGTGTTGGCGAAATCTAGAAAGCGCCAACGAGCAAAATGCACAATAGGTACCTCCCTACGGTACGGCTTCGGTGGGAAGTGACACACAATCCAAATCAATTTGAAGTCATCTACTTTAACTCTCACCATCGTCGGGAAGCGTCTCGCTCATCCATTCCTCATCGACGATGTCGACAAGGAGCCCGGGAAACAGCACTAGATTCGCCATGTCGCGGAATCAAGTCAAACGAAGTTTTTCACTCGTCGCTTTCAGGAAACTGAAGTGTGATTTGGGACTAACGACGTGCACGTGAGCTCAATCCATGCCTCCTGAACATTCATAACACGCGAACGCGGAAAAGACCGAGAATAAAAGCAGCTTTGGGACGGAAAGATTCAATCAAATATGAAGCACTACCCAAAGCTGAGTTGTTCTAGTGTTTTTAGTCCGAGATTCCTGCAAAAACACCTCCCGCAAAAATCGTTGAACATCTGGCCCAACCAGTGGCAAAAATTGGCCCAACCAGCGGCGAAGATTCGTGAATGTTGGTACTCGAATGTCGCAACAGTTCGCACTTGAGTGCCTGGGTCAGGCACTGAGTAAGGGAAGCACAGAGCACCCACCATTCCAAGCCCAATTCATGCGTTTCCTTCAGCGCTGACGTTTTCTTCTCATTCAACATCCCGAAACACATTCTGGTGCTTCGCGTCGCGATCATGAGGAGCACGACACTTCTTCATGTGCTCTGGGCTTTCGCTTTTCTGAGCTGTGCAGCGTCGACATTATTAGGTATGCTCATGAGCAGAAAAGTCTCCACTGACAGCATGACCGGCATGAGGCAACCGAGCTCCAGAAAGCTGAGCTCGACTACCATCCCTTTACCGTATCGTCTCCATTTTTTTCACAATAATATTCTCCTACATTCCCACTTCTTAATGCCATTCGCTGACTTTCGCAACCGCGGCTCGTGTGAGGTAGCAATCTTGGACCATATTCCAAGCACGAAATCCTCGTATTCTAATTTGTCAAATTCTACGTGTGCAGAAGGGAGAGATGACCTAACTCTCGCCATTCTGAAGCCCGACATTATGGGGAGCAACTTCTGGACGGGCTTGTCCAATGACATCCGAGCAGCCGGATTCCAGGTCGTGCATGAGAAGCACTTCTTCTTTGACGAGCCTTTAGCAGAGACATTCTATGCAGAGCACAAGGGAAAGAAGTTCTATCAGGGTCTGATCAACTTCATGTTAAGGTAAGACATTCTCTCCGTCTCTCTTCTCGTCCTCCCTTCTCCTCCTCCCTTACCATCCCTATTGTAACCACTTGCGTTCTTGCTCCATCAGTATTCTTTCAACTGCCCGTTATCCCAATCGCTTTCGTGAGTGTTGTCTGTAGTGCGCCAGTGACAGCATTGGTGCTCCAGCATGAGAATGCACCTTCAGTCTTTCGAGAGCTCATTGGCCCCACTGATCCCAAGACAGCCCGTGCGGCTCACCCTAACAGGTAAATTTCAGGCTTCCAAAACTTGCAAGCTGAGTTTCAAGTTACACCAGCCACAAAAGTCTGGTCTATAACTTTTTTCTCTCTTCAGTTTTGTTGAATCCACCGTACCATCTAATACCGTATCCCCCTTTGGTGCTTGCCCCTGTGCCAGCTTACGTGCGAAGTATGGCACGGATGTGCTACAAAACGCAGTGCATGGCTCTGCATCTGTTGCTGATGCTCTCCATGAAATAAACCTTCTGTTTCCAGACTGGAAGCCACCTCCAAGTAAGTCAATGGTGCATGTTGGCCTGCATTAACACATTTCTGCATCTTGTTCTTCTGTCAGGCTGTAGGACTGGATTTTGTTTTCTTGAAATTCAAATGTATCGTAAGGTTTCGTTTTGTGACAGGTCTTAAGACTCTTACCAACTTTGAAGATGCCAGCGAGCTCTGATGTGTGTACTGCTGCATGCTGGTGCTGTGTATCTTTCGCACAATCTAATTTCCGTGAGGCGCGGGTGGGACGGAGGGTACAGGATACAGGTAACCATTATGATTTGGCTCACAACCATCCATGGCAGATTTGGATCGTCAAAGACCCATTTCATTTGGAGACAAAAACTATGCAATCTCAAGGCAACAGTTATTTGTTGCTGGAGGGTTCTTCAAGCCGTGTTTTTTCTAATACCATTTTGCATCAATGGCTCCCTTCCAAAACAAACAAGGACTGGTGTTCAATTTCAAGGGAGGAGCTTCATGGGATCTGAAATACATTGAAGGGGAGTAGTGGTTATCTTACTACAGATAAGGCAATCTTACTCTGAGCATGTAATTTTTGACACTTCCAGACCAGCATGTTTAGCAGGACTCAAAGGTGGGGTGCATCAAATGGAGGAGCCCTACATTCCTTGGCCGTGTCCTGCACTTAGCAGAAGAACAAAAGATCACCGTTTTTCTGTACAGAGCGCCTGTGCAATTGGATAGCTGTACTCGTTATAGAGTTTTTGGTTCGGCTTTCACCTTGAAGTTTGAATGAGTGAAAGCGTCAGCAACGTTTCTCCAGTCTCGAGCAGACTTCGGAGCGTACCCATTATTACCGGACGAGGATCTTGTCAACGAGCATCGAGCATCACGGCAGCAGGTGATTTTACACAGATTGGCGATAGAGGCAGCTAGCGGTGACCGTGGCGTGAAGTCTAGAAATTCGCGGAACCAAGATAGGAGCTATTTCAGTGCGGAAACCCGACGCGGAAATGAAGGATGAGGTCGCTCAACAGGAGAAGACGCGCGACGTAGCGACGAAGGACGAAGAAATGGAAGATGTTGAGGAAACAGCTGCTGATGTGAAGGAAGTGAAAGCGGAGGAGGGTAAGGACAAGCGGGATGAGGAGGATGAGGAGGATGAGGATCAGGTTGAGACGATCGGGGACGGTGATGATCCCGAGGAGCTCGCGGTGATCGAGGCAGAGGAAGTGGAGGAGGGCGACGACGGCGAGCAAGCTGGCGACGACGAAATGAACGACGACGACGAGGAGGAGGTTGAGCAAGCGGACGAGGACGACCCTCATAAAGACGAGCCGCATTTCAACGAGGTAGCAATTGCGCGTTTATTTACAATAGGTCCTCCCGCTGGGTCTCGTCAAGAGAGTAGAGTCGCCGTTTGCCCTTTGCCCATGCCCCGTGCAGCTGCTGTCCTTCCTTCGCTGCTTGATTCAATGGCTCAATGGCATCACTCCTCTATGTGTTTCCTGCGGTCTGGTTGATTTGCAGCGCAAGGAGATAGCGAGGAAGGAGAGGGAGCGGCTGAGGGAGATGAAGCGGAACAAGAAGAAGGAGCTGGAGGAGCTCGTCAAGAGGCAGAACGAAGCCGTGCAGGCTGAAACGGTAAGAAAGAGATGTTGGAGGGGCTTCCTGCGGTTATCTTGAGAAAGAGGGGCAACCAGAGGGAGATGAGGCGGAACAAGAAGAGGGAGCTGGAAGAGTTCGTCAAGCGACAGAACGAAGCCGTGCAGGCCGAAACGGTAAGCAAGAGACGGCCGAGGGGCTTCGTACTCTTATTTTGAGGAGGGAGGGCAGCTTGAGGGAGATGAAGCGGAACATGAAGAGGGAGCTGGAGGAGCTTATCAAGAAGCAGAACGACGCCGTGCAGGCTGAAACGGTAAGCACGGGACTCTGGAGGCGCTCCATCCGTACGACTAGCATTCAACTGAAAAGGATAAGCTGAGGTAGCTGAAGAGGAGCACGAAGCTCCTTACTCGGTTCCCTATTTCCTCCGTTCCTGAGCAGGCTGACAGCGCTAGGGGAGGCTCAAGCTCCTGTCGCAGCAGGCTCTAAGATTGACATTGAACAAAAGCAAACGGTATGCCACCTGTATGTATGCCTCTGTTCCTCACCTGCTTCCCTATCCCCTCCGTTCATGGGCAGGCCGACAATGCTAAAGGGAGGCTCAAGTTCCTGCTGCAGCAGACGGAGATTTTCCAGCACTTTGCACAGCAGCACGACTCGCCTGTGAAGCCCAAGGGCAAGGGCCGAGGCAAGGGGCGGGGTCGAGGGAGCTCGAAGCTGACAGAGGAGGAGGAGGACGAGGAGTATTTGAAGGAGGAGGAAGAGGCGCTGGGGGACGGAGGCAGCACCACCAGGCTGCTTGTGCAACCCTCTTGTAAGTCTCTTTAGGTGCCTCAAAGATATCCCAGCACGTTGCGTGGGTCGAGGTCGAGGGAGCTCGAAGCTCACAGAGGAGGAGGACGAGGAGTATTTGAAGGAGGAGGAAGAGACGCTGGGGGATGGAGGCAGCACCACCAGACTGCTCGTGCAGCCCTCTTGTAAGGCCTAACTTGTTCCTAAGCTTCTTGTACCTTTCTCTGTTTTGATGGTTTGAAAGGCATCATCTGACTGACTGCGAGTGCAACGTTTTGTGAGATCGCGGCCGTTACGATCTTGACCGTTGTGCTTGCTTGCTTAAAGGTCATTGCTGGTTTGCTGCGAGTTTTACTGTACTTCTTTCTTGCTCTGTCTGTACCTCTTACACAGTACATTGCCTTTGAGACGCCTCAGAAGAAGTCTGTCTGTTCCTCTTACACATCACATTGCTCACGTCAGAAAGATTCTGCTCCCCCGCCCCGCCTCATCTTGCACTCCCCAGGCATCCAGGGCAAGATGAGAGACTACCAGCTGGCGGGACTCAATTGGATGATTCGGCTCTATGAGAATGGCATCAACGGGATTCTGGCCGATGAAATGGTGAGACAATATGCAAACAAAACAGTGCAGAGAGTCAAGGAATTTGACTCCCGATAATTTTCTTGCCTGACAGCAGGAACAGAAGATTTTACACTTCTCAGAATGCATGTGATTGGAGGAGAGCGTGCTAGCCTTTGTTCGTTCCCCTCCCAGTCCGATGTCAGCCCTCCTATCATCTCCTTTGTCCCCTAACCTCCCCTCCTTCTCGCCAAACCTTACAGCCAATCCCCGCTTGGGCTTCCTTCTCTAAGTTAATATTGGCATATCCGCCCCCCCCACACACACAGTAGTGGCTTGTTGGCTCTTAAGCTGATCCCTTTCTTCCCCGTCCCACTCCTACTCCTCCCCCCAACCTTCATATCTCCCAGGGCCTGGGCAAGACCCTGCAGAGCATATCGCTGCTGGGGTACCTGCACGAGTTCAAGGGCATATCAGGGCCGCACATGGTGGTGGCACTCAACTACACTACCTATCGCAACCACTTACTTCCCTGTCCCCTTCCCCCTCTTCCTCTCCCTCCCACACCACAAACCCTTCACCTTTCCCGGGGCCTGGGCAAGACCCTGCAGAGCATATCGCTGCTGGGGTACCTGCACGAGTTCAAGGGCATATCAGGGCCGCACATGGTGGTGGCGCCCAAGTCCACTGCCCTCTCCCAATCACTTACTCACTTCCCTGTCCCTGTTCCCCTTTTTCCTCCCCCTCCCACACCCCCGTGCCCTCGGTTCCAGGGCCTGGGAAAGACCCTGCAGAGCATATCGTTGCTGGGGTACCTGCACGAGTTCAAGGGCATATCAGGGCCGCACATGGTGGTGGCGCCCAAGTCCACGCTGGGCAACTGGATCAAGGAGCTGCACCGCTTCTGCCCCGCCCTGCGCGCCTTCAAGTTCCATGGCAACCAGGAGGAGCGCACCCACCAGCGCACTCACATGCTGCAGCCGGGGAAGTTTGACGTGGTGGTGACGAGCTATGAGATGGTGATCAAGGAGAAGTCGGCGTTCCGCCGGCTGTCGTGGCGGTACATTATTATCGATGAAGCGCATCGCATCAAGAACGAGAATTCCATCCTTTCGAAGACCATGCGCCTCTTCTCCTCCAACTACCGCCTCCTCATCACCGGGACTCCCCTGCAGGTATGTTGTGGTTTGGGTTGGCTGCACCCCGGCCCCACCAGCGCACCAACCTGCTGCAGCCGGGGAAGTTTGACGTGGTGGTGACGAGCTATGAGATGGTGATCAAGGAGAAGTCGGCGTTCCGCCGGCTGTCGTGGCGGTACATTATCATAGACGAGGCCCACCGCATCAAGAACGAGAACTCCATTCTGTCAAAGACGATGCGCCTCTTCTCCTCGAATTACCGCCTGCTCATCACCGGGACTCCCCTGCAGGTATGCTGTAGGCTGTAGGTCTGCTGGACTCCCTCTTCCCATTGGCCCTTTCCTCCCTCCCCCCTTCCCGGCCCTCACCACCACCCACCATGCGCCTCTTCTCCTCGAAAGGAGGCTGTCGTGGCGGTATATCATCATTGATGGGGTGCACCGCATTAAGAATGAAAATTCGATTCTTTCCAAGACCATGCGCCTCTTTTCATCTAACTACCGCCTCCTCATCACCGGGACTCCGCCTCAGGTATGCTGTAGGCTGGCTGGCTGGACCCTCCCCCCCTCCCCCGCCGCCCCTCCCCCCACCCGCCACCACCGACCATGTGCCTCTTCTTCTCGAATTACTGCCTGTTCATCACCGGGACTCCACTGCAGGTTTGCTGTAGGCGCTGGACCCCCTGCGTCCACATATCTGGATCGTGCATTCGCTCCTCCCTCCCCTCCCTCTCCCTCTCCTCTTTCCGTCTTTTCTCTGCAGAACAATCTTCACGAGCTCTGGGCACTTCTGAACTTTCTTCTGCCCGAAATCTTCAGCTCAGCAGAGGCGTTTGACGAGTGGTTCCAGCTGTCGGACGGGGAGGACCAGCAGGAGGTGGTGCAGCAGCTGCACAAGGTGCTCCGCCCTTTCCTGCTCAGACGGCTCAAGTCAGACGTGGAGAGAGGGCTCCCTCCCAAGAAAGAGACCATTCTGAAGGTAAACCATGTGGGAACTGACTGATCTGTGAGTCGACTCAAAAGTCAGACGGGGAGGACCAGCAGGAGGTGGTGCAGCAGCTGCACAAGGTGCTCCGCCCCTTCCTGCTCCGGAGGCTTAAATCGGACGTCGAGAGAGGTCTCCCTCCCAAGAAAGGTGAGTTTATATGAGAACTTCCTATCACCACCGAGCGCTGCTGTAGAAGGACATGGAGGTCTAGCTCTTGGCAATCAGCCTCTCTAACACCCTTTACTCCAGACTCTCTCTGCAACGCACCACCAACCACCAATACTCCCACCACTCCTCCCCCACCCTCAGCGCAACTGCTACCAGGCTTTCGCTGCTGGAAAAGGGTCATCGAGATCTAGTTCTCTCCATTCTGCCTCTCTAACACCCTTAAATCCCGACTCTCTCTGCAACCCACCATCAACCACCAATCCTCCCTCCCCCACCCTCTGCAACTGCTACCAGGCGTTCACTGCTGGAGGACATTAAAATATAGTTATCTCCTATCTGCCCTTTTAACAGCTTTCTCTTCCCACTCTCAATGGCATCAGGTGGGCATGAGTGAGGTGCAGCGCAACTACTACCGGGCGCTGCTGCAGAAGGACATAGAGGTCTTCTCTTTCCAATGAGCCTCTCTAACAGCTTTCTCTCTCAACTCTCTCTGCCACCCACCTCCTGCCACCCACCTCCTGCCACCCACCTCCTGCCACCCACCTCCTGCCACCCACCTCCCCACCCAACCTATGACCCCAGGTGGGCATGAGTGAGGTGCAGCGCAACTACTACCGGGCGCTTCTGCAGAAGGACATAGAGGTGCTCAACAGCGGGGGGGAGAGGTCTCGCCTGCTCAACATTGCCATGCAGCTGCGCAAGTGCTGCAACCACCCCTACCTCTTCCAGGTACTGCAGCTCCCATCCTCTTTTCTTTTGCGCCTTTTTCTCTCTCGCCCCCCCCCCCCCCCCCCCTTTTTTAACACTTACATTGGCGCCGGTTCTAGATCGAAAGTACCCAGAAAGATCTGGGTTTGCTCAAGGACCGCTTGAACTTCACCTTGGCAAATAGCACAGCATTCTGTGCTTTGAGAATTCATAGATCCTTCAGCTCATAGCACATCATTCTGTGTTTTGAGAATTCTCAAAAACCAGCTCATAGCACAGCATTCTGCGCTTTGAGAATTCTCAAAAACCAGCTCATAGCACAGCATTCTGCGCTTTGTGAATTCTCAAAAACCAGCTCATAGCACAGCATTCTGTGCTTTGAGAATTCTCAAAAACCAGCTCATAGCACAGCATTCTGTGCTTTGAGAATTCTCAAAAACCAGCTCATAGCACAGCATTCTGTGCTTTGAGAATTCTCAAAAACCAGCTCATAGCACAGCATTCTGTGCTTTGAGAATTCTCAAAAACCAGCTCATAGCACAGCATTCTGTGCTTTGAGAATTCTCAAAAACCAGCTCATAGCACAGCATTCTGTGCTTTGAGAATTCTCAAAAACCAGCTCATAGCACAGCATTCTGTGTTTTGAGAATTCTCAAAAACCAGCTCATAGCACAGCATTCTGTGTTTTGAGAATTCTCAAAAACCAGCTCATAGCACAGCATTCTGTGCTTTGAGAATTCTCAAAAACCAGCTCATAGCACAGCATTCTGTGTTTTGAGAATTCTCAAAAACCAGCTCATAGCACAGCATTCTGTGTTTTGAGAATTCTCAAAAACCAGCTCATAGCACAGCATTCTGTGTTTTGAGAATTCTCAAAAACCAGCTCATAGCACAGCATTCTGTGTTTTGAGAATTCTCAAAAACCAGCTCATAGCACATCATTCTGTGTTTTGAGAATTCTCAAAAACCAGCTCAGAGCACAGCATTCTGTGTTTTGAGAAGTCTCAAAAACCAGCTCATAGCACAGCATTCTGTGCTTTGAGAATTCTCAAAAACCAGCTCATAGCACAGCATTCTGTGCTTTGAGAATTCTCAAAAACCAGCTCATAGCACAGCATTCTGTGCTTTGAGAATTCTCAAAAACCAGCTCATAGCACAGCATTCTGTGCTTTGAGAATTCTCAAAAACCAGCTCATAGCACAGCATTCTGTGCTTTGAGAATTCTCAAAAACCAGCTCATAGCACAGCATTCTGTGCTTTGAGAATTCTCAAAAACCAGCTCATAGCACAGCATTCTGTGTTTTGAGAATTCTCAAAAACCAGCTCATAGCACAGCATTCTGTGTTTTGAGAATTCTCAAAAACCAGCTCATAGCACAGCATTCTGTGCTTTGAGAATTCTCAAAAACCAGCTCATAGCACAGCATTCTGTGTTTTGAGAATTCTCAAAAACCAGCTCATAGCACAGCATTCTGTGTTTTGAGAATTCTCAAAAACCAGCTCATAGCACAGCATTCTGTGTTTTGAGAATTCTCAAAAACCAGCTCATAGCACAGCATTCTGTGTTTTGAGAATTCTCAAAAACCAGCTCATAGCACATCATTCTGTGTTTTGAGAATTCTCAAAAACCAGCTCAGAGCACAGCATTCTGTGTTTTGAGAAGTCTCAAAAACCAGCTCATAGCACAGCATTCTGTGTTTTGAGAATTCTCAAAAACCAGCTCAGAGCACAGCATTCTGTGTTTTGAGAAGTCTCAAAAACCAGCTCATAGCACAGCATTCTGTGTTTTGAGAATTCTCAAAAACCAGCTCAGAGCACAGCATTCTGTGTTTTGAGAATTCTCAAAAACCAGCTCATAGCACAGCATTCTGTGCACTTCAGTGTCCTGTGCTTCCCATTCCCTCCACCTTCAAAGACCCTTCGCAGGGCGCTGAGCCCGGGTTTGGGTCGACTAAAAAATCTGGCTTTCTCCCTGCACCTCGTAATACCCTTCCAGGGTGCCGAGCCCGGCCCGCCCTTCATCACAGACGAGCATCTGATAGAAGCTTCCGGGAAGATGGTGCTGCTGGACCGACTGCTGCCAAAGCTGAAGGCGCGGGACTCACGGGTGCTCATTTTCTCCCAGATGACGCGCCTTCTGGACATCCTAGAAGACTACTGCATGTTCCGCGGGCACCAGTACTGCCGGATCGACGGCAACACGGGGGGTGACGAGAGGGAGGCGGCGATCGAGGAGTTTAATAAAGAAGGAAGTGAGACGTTCATCTTTCTGCTGTCTACTCGGGCGGGCGGGCTGGGGATTAACCTCGCGACGGCTGACATCGTGATTATCTACGACTCTGACTGGTGAGTCGAGAGCTGCTCCTCTGCTGGGTGTTTTTTAGAGAATTCTCAAAACGCCCTTTTCTTCAGTCACTCCCTTCTTCAGGAATTCCCAAGCAAATATTCAGGCCATGCACAGAGCGAGCTCATCTCCCCACGTGCCATCTCCCCACGTGCCGTCTCCCTACGTGCCGTCACCCTACGTGCCATCTCCCCACGTGCCATCTCCCCACATGCCATCTCCCTACGTGCCATCTCCCCATGTGCCATCTCCCCACGTGCCATCTCCCCACATCCGATACTTTCTTGCCCTCGGCGTCGCAGGAACCCCCAAGCGGATCTGCAGGCCATGGACAGAGCGCATCGCATCGGGCAGAAGAAGGAAGTGCAGGTCTTCCGATTCTGCACTGAGGTGAGCTGTCTGTGCCCATCCCCCTTCCCTTCCATCACACGCGGTTTTCAGTCAACTCACAGAGCGCATCGCATCGGGCAGGCAGAAGAAGGAAGTGCAGGTCTTGCGATTCTGCACTGAGGTGGGCTTTCCTACCCATCCCTCCTGCTGGCCCAACTTCTCTCCTGCCCTCCATCCCTCTCACCCACTCCATCCCTCTCTCACCCACTCCCTCCCTCTCTCACCCACTCCCTCTTTCCCCCAGTCTGCTCTGAGATGAGCTCCCCGTGGTGATCCCTCTTGCCCCCCCAACTTCCCGTCCTCCTTCCCTCCCCGCCTCCCCCCCTCCCCTCCCTCTCCTCCGCTCCTCTCCTTTCCCCTCCCCCTGCATAACTTTCTGGTTCCATAGACGTGACAAAAGTGAATTTGATTTTTGAGTCGACTCTGGAGTCGATTTTTGAGTCGACTAAAAAATCTCCTCCACTCCTCTCCTTTCCTCTCCCCTCCTCTCCTTTCCCCTCCCCCTGCATAACTTTTCTGGTTCCATAGACGTGACAAAAGTAAATCTGCAACTCTGCACCACAGTTTTGCCACTTTGAGTCAACTCTCTTCCGCTGTCCTCCGCCCTCCTCCCCCCTTTTCCACCTGCCAGCACACGATAGAAGAGAAGGTGATAGAGCGCGCGTACAAGAAGCTGGCTCTGTTGTTTCGCAAGGGTTCATAACACTTCTCATACCCCTTTCCCTCCTTTCTGCATCCCCCTCCACCCACCCCCCCTCCAATACTCCGCGGCAGCACACGATAGAGGAGAAGGTGATAGAGCGCGCGTACAAGAAGCTGGCTCTGGACGCTCTGATCATCCAGCAGGGCAGGCTTGCAGAGCAGCGAGGTATGCCAATAAGGGCCATGTGTGTTGTGTGGGCGTGTAGGTTGCAAGGAGTGCTGAGCCCGCATGAGCGTGTGGGCTGCCAGGTGTGATAGAGCGCGCGTACAAGAAGTTGGCTCTGGACGCTCTGATCATCCAGCAGGGCAGGCTGGCGGAGCAGCGAGGTATGCCGATAAGGGGGATGTTTGTTGAGTGAGCGGGTTGCAGGATGTGCTGAGCTGATCCCTTGTGGGCATTGGGTTCGCAAGGTGTGATTGAGCGAGCATACAAGAAGCTGGCTCTGCTCTGGATGCGCTCATCATTCAGCAGGAGCGAGCTGGCAGAGCAGCGAGGTACGCCGAGAAGGGGGGTGTTTGTTGGGTGAGCGGGTTGCAAGGTGTGCTGAGCCCGTGTGGGCGTTGGGGAACTTGGGGTTGCTAGGTGTGAGGGAGCGGGCGTACCAGAAGCTGGCTCTGGATGCGCTCATCATTCAGCAGGGCAGGCTGGCAGAGCAGCTGCACCAACTTTTCCTTTCCTTATTCACAGTTGGTGCAGCTGGAATAAGGAAAGGAAAAGTTCCTTCAATTGGTGCAGTTTGGAGGCAAAAAGGTCTTTACCTCTGCCAACACAAGCATCACCGCCTTTCCCTGTTTTCCCTCCACAACCCTCCCAGCTGTGAACAAGAACGAGTTCCTTCAATTGGTGCAGTTTGGAGCCAAGAAGGTCTTTACCTCTGCCAACACAAGCATCACCGATGTTGATTTGCTGCTGTTTCGCCTTCCCCTCCCCACATAGCCTCTTTTTCCATTTCGGCATTCCTCCCAGCAGTGAACAAGGACGAGCCTGCTTCAAATGGTACGGTTCGGAGCCGAGAAAGTCTTCACATCCGCCAACACGACACGACCATCACTGATGCTGACTAGCGAACTTCCCTCCCTTCTCCTCCCCTCCACACCTCTCCCCAATTTCCCTCATCAACCCTCTCAGCTGTGAACAAGGTCGAGTTGCTGCAGACCGTGCGGTTCGGAGCCGAGAAGGCCTTCACATCCGCCAACACAACAACCACCACTCTCCCCCCTTTTCCTCCACGTCGCCCCTACTTGTGCTCCCCCTCCCAGCTGTGAACAAGGACGAGCTCCTTCAAATGGTGCGGTTCGGAGCAGAAAAAGTATTTACCTCCGCCAACACGACCATCACTGATGCTGACGTGGACAGGATCATCGCCAAGGGGGAGGAGGCGACCGCTGAGCTGGACGCCAAGATGAGAAAGTTCACGGAAGATGCAATAAAGTTCAAAATGGACGACACGGCGCTGTACAGTTTGGGCGAGGGCGAGAAGGAGGAGGAGAGGCCTGATCTCAAGAAGCTGGTCACTGAGAACTGGGTCGAGCCGTCACGGAGAGAGAGGAAGAAGAAGTGAGTGTAACTATGCTGGTAGTATCAGTTCAGCCTTTCTGTACTCCTATGCTGGTAGTATCAGAGCAGGTGTGTGCGGGTAAGGAGGAGGAGAGGCCGGACCTCAAGAAGCTGGTCACTGAGAACTGGGTGGAGCCGTCAAGGAGAGAGCGAAAGAAGAAGTGAGTTCAGGATCTTTTTTGTTCTTCTGCGCTAGTATTCTCAGAGCATGCGAATCGGCTTGTTGTACCAACCGCTCAGTTGGTCCAACTGGACTAAATGGACCATCAAGCTAGTGGTCCAACCGGCTAGTTGGTCCAACCGATCGGCTGGTCAATAAGCCAGTTGGCTGTAGCAACCGATCAGTTGGTTCATCCAGCTTGTTGGACCAAGGAGGAGAAATCCGACCTCAAGAAGGTGTCACTGCGAACTGGGCCGAGCCGTCAAGGAGAGAACGGAAGAAAAAGTGAGTGCGCATGTGTGAATGTGTGTCCGGATGTGTGTGCGGTGTATGCATGCAAGTTGATTGGTACACCCTTCTTCCACCTTCGCCTCTTTCAACCACTCCCCACCCCCCCACCCGCACCATCCCCTCCTCCCGCCATCAGCTATTCTGAAGCAGAGTATTACCGCCAGGCCATGCGCATGGGCCCTCCCTCTCAGCCCAAGTCGAAGGAGGCCCGCCTGCCAAAAATGCCCGTGCTGTGAGTCAATGGTTGGGCGAGAGAAAGAGGGGGGAGGAGTGAGGGAAGAGGGGAAAATGAGGGGGGAGAAATGGAAAAAAAAGCCCAGCTGGCCATGCTGCTGTGAGTCAGTGGGCAAAGAGAACAGGGGCAGGATGCTTGAAGCAGGAGAGGGGGGGATGGGAAGAGATGTCCTGAAACTCAACACTTGAAAAGCTTAATCTCGAACATTTCATAACAGCAGTCGCGCTGTTTGTCCTCTTTCACCCCTTTCACCACCATCCCCTTCCACCATCCCCTTCCACCACCCCCTCCGACCTCCCTCTACCACCATGGCCACTCCCTCCTGGGCACAAGCTTTTCGAGAATCTTGAAATCTGCCCTTCACCGGTTCTACCCTTTCCTGCCACCGCCCGTCCTACCCCCCCACTACCCACTCCCAGGCACGACTTGCAGTTCTTCAACACGGCTCGCCTCTCAGAGTCCTCTTAAGTCGACTGGAAACTCACCTCACACCACCCACCCCTCCCTCCCACCACCCCCGCCCCCACCCCTGCTACCCCCTCCCAGGCACGACTTCCAGTTCTTCAACACGGCTCGCCTTTCAGAGCTCTTTTGAGTCGACTCGCAAGTCACTTCCCAACCCCTCCCACCGACCCTCCCACCCACTCCCGCCCCCGCCCTTGCACCCCTTCCTTCCACCACCCTGACACCCCCTCCCAGACACGACTTCCAGTTCTTCAACACGGCGCGCCTCTCGGAGCTCTTCGACAAGGAGGCCAAGGCCAAGCTGGTGAGTGACCGACGGTGATTATAGCGAGTTGGTTGGCGTGACTATAGTGCCTGTATTTGAGTGTGCTACATGGGGGGTTTGTCACTGGTGTGTCTCTCAGAGCTCTTTGACAAGGAGGCCAAGGCCAAGCTGGTGAGTTGTGTGATGAAAGGATGTTGTCAGTATAGGGTTTTGTTGTCACTGGTGTGTCTCTCAGACCTCTTCAACAAGCAGGCCAATGCTAAGCTGGTCTGTGAATGGGTGTTTGACTGTGATTGTAGCATGTTGTTATTATAGCACATTGTTGTGACGTAGTGGCTGTTGAGGCTGAGGTGCTTCTCAGAGCTCTTTGTCCATGAGGCTCGGTTCATGGGCGTGTGCTGGCAGAAGTCAAGGCAGAAATGGAAAGCATGCTACAAGGTTTAGAAGAGGAGCAAGCATATTGTCTATGCTTGACTGACTCGCTCCTGCGCAAGATCTGTCGCGGGTCGTCCTGGTTCTCGGGCGTGTGCTGGCAGAAGTCAAGGCAGAAATGGAAAGCATACTACAAGGTTAAGTAGGAGCATGTATATTGGTTATTGCCCGATGACTGGCATATTGGCTATTGGCCGATGATTGGCATATTGACTGGCATCGGGCAATAGCCCATGTGCTTGCTCCTCTTCTTAACCTTGTAATATGCTTCAGATTTCTGTCTTGACTTCTCCCAACATACACCTTTGAACCGGGACGACCTGCAAGCGATCTTGCGGAGGAGCATGTTTTTCGGGTGACTAGGCTACTGTTATAGCGTGTTGTGATTATGTCATGTTGTTGTGAGTGACTATAGTGGTTGTAGGCCGGTGGAGGGAGTGTGATTGGGTCTGGACTCTGGAGTGCCTTAATTGAGATCTTCGACAACGACGGCAAGGTCAAGGTGGTCTCTCACTGTATGACCTGGCTGTCATCATAGGGTTGCTGTGACTATGGTGGCTGTAGGCGGGTGATGTAGAGAGACTTTTGAGAATTCTCAAAGTCACTCCAACATAGCTGTGACTATGGTGGCTGTAGGCGGGTGATGTAGAGGGAGTGTGATTGGTGTGCCTCTCGGAGCTCTTTGACAAGGAGACCAAGGCCAAGCTGGTGAGACAGTGGTTGACTTGACTGTCATTATAGCAGGTGTCCCACATAAGGGTGTGTGTCTTGTTTGTCTCTCGGAGCTCTTTGACAAGGAGACCAAGGCCAAGCTGGTCAGTGCTGCTGCCGCCACCGCCACTGCCGATGCCGCTGCTGAGATTGCCTCTCATGCACTTGTTTGTTTCTCGTATCCCTCCTCCTCCTCCCTCCTGGTGTGGTTGGCAGCAAGCCTTGGAGCGGCAGGCAGCAAAGAAAGAAGCCAAGGAAGGGGGCGAACCGTTTGAGGAGGAGGGTGAGTGGGTGTGGAGTGATGGAGAGGGATGTAGAGGGATGGAAGGACAGAGATGGAGATTGGGGGATGATGTGATGAGTACCGAATCTACATCTCTTATTGTTCTTTAGCCTTACAACAAGGTGTCTTACAACGAAATTCATACATGTGCTTCTCTGTGCGCCTGTGTGTCTGTGATGGTCTGGTCTGAATGCGCCCACGTCCGTCCATCCATGTCCCCCTTCCCTTGTACCAGACGAGGTGACTTTTGAGTCGACTCAAAAGTCTGGTGTGAATGTTCCCACGTCCGTCCATCCATGTCCCCCTTCCTTTTGTACGACTCAAAAGTCAACTCGCCTGTGTGTCTGTGATGGTCTGGTGTGAATGCGACCACGTCCATCATCCATGCCCCCCTTCCCTTGTACCAGACGAGCAACCAATTCTGACGCTAACAGACGAGGAGCAAGAGGAGAAACTGACTCTTCTTAATCAGGTCAGCAAGAGGAGAATCTGACCCTGATTAAATTAGAATAACTCCAACCAGTTGTGGTTGAAATTGAAAAAGCAACAAGGTTGTGATCGCTCTAGCATCTTTTGATCTATTTATGTCTCCCCCTTGCACTGACTCTCCTCTTCTCTCCCTTTTTCTCTCCTCCTTCAGGGCTTTAAGTCATGGACGCGCAAGGACTTCAACCAGTTCCTGCGGCTGTGTGAGAAGTACGGGCGAGCGGACGTGGCGAGCATTGCAGCCGAGATGGAGGGGAAAACGGAGGCAGAGGTTCGAGAGTATGCGGCAGTGTTCTGGGAGCGATGCACTGAGTTAAATGGTGAGTAAAGGCTTGCGGAAAGTCGAGTGATGTGCAGAGAATGAAATGGTGAGAAATGCTTGTGGATACATGGAGGGGAAGACAGAGGCGGAGGTTCGGGAGTATGCAGCAGTGTTCTGGGAGCGATGCACTGAGCTGAATGGTGAGAATTGCTGTAGAAAGGATCGGTTACTGGGGCACGATTCTGTACAAATTAGACTTTGATCCCCCAAGAACTGCCTGCCACTTCAATAATAGAAGCGGCTAATCAGCAAATTTCGCCGTTTTCCACCCTTTCTTTATTTTCCACCCTTTCCCCATTCCCGCCCCCTCTTTCTCTCGCGCGCACAGATTGGGACAAGATTCTGCGCAACATAGAGAAGGGCGAGGCGCGCATCGTGCGTCGGGAGGAGATAATGCAGTCGGTGCGGCGCAAGATGGAGCGGTACAGCAACCCCTGGGTGGAGCTGCGGATCCAGTACGGCACCAACAAGGGCAAATACTACACGGAGGAGAGCGACCGGTTTATGGTGCGTGTTCCTGTGGGTGGGGTGCGTGCGGAGGGTGTTGATGCATGATGGGTGACAGCCGATTGCCTTCTCATGGTGTCTGTGAGTCAAAGATGGGGTAGGCAGGCTCAAGTTTGTGGTGTGAGGGATGATAAGATGGGAGGAGATGATGCAGTCGGTGCGGCGCAAGATGGAGCGGTACAGCAACCCCTGGGTGGAGCTGCGCATCCAGTACGGCACCAACAAGGGCAAATACTACACGGAGGAGAGCGACCGCTTCATGGTGGGTGCTGAGGGGTGTAGTGTGGTATGGATGCTTGGTGTGTGGTCTAGTAAAGTTCATGGTGTGAGTGAGGGGGGTGCATCATTCATTCAGCTGCGCATCCAGTACGGCACCAACAAGGGCAAATACTACACCAAGGAGAGCGACCGCTTCATGGTGCGCACTGAGGGTGGATGGGAGTTTTGTTGTATAATGGGGAACTTTGGTGAGTGTTGAGGGTACGGCGGATTCTTAGTGCGTTTGGGGGAGGGGGTGGGTTGGTGCATTGCATTGCTACTGTTTCCATTGCACCTTGGTGGCTTTGCATTGCTCTCACTGTTACTCTTGCACCAGCTTACCTCTCTGGTGCACTGCTGCTTGTTGCGCCCCGTCATAGGGATTCTGGCTCCATTGTCTGTCTCCTGACACCAACCTGCGCCTTCTATTACCCATCCCCCATCTCCGTTCTCTTTTCATCTCTTGTTTTCATTCCCTCCCATTCTTAAATTGAGTCCGTCAGATCTGCATGATCCAACAGCTGGGATATGGCAACTGGGACGAGCTCCGGGCAGCAGTGCGTCAGTCCCACCTGTTCAAATTCGATTGGTTCCTGAAATCAAGGCAGCCGCCTGAGCTGGCGCGGCGGTGCGACACTCTCATCCGATTGGTGGAGAAGGAGAATCAGGAACTGGAGGAGAAGGAGCGGCAGGCGAAGCGGGACAAGAAGAACAGCGCCAAGGTAAAGCGACGGTTCTGTGTGAATTTTCCTTTCACATGGCTTTGTTTTGAGAGGTCTCGAAGGGGGACGAAAAGAGCAGCGGCAAGGTAACGCTGCGGTTCTCTTTCTCTCACTAAGCTCAAAGCATCAGCTTCTGTGCATCACTCATGCTGCTTTTGTTTTTGTTTTTCTTTGCCACTTCTTCCCTGACTTAACCACAGGCATCTGGAACAAGCAGAGGAGGAGGCCAGGCAGCAGCAGCAGCTGAAACTGTTGGCAGCGGAAGCAGGAAAAGAAAGCAGTCCACTCTTGAGGCCTTCGTGGTGAGATCCTATTCGTGTACCTCTTCACTTCGACCACATGTTCCTCTTTCTCCCTCCTGCACCTGTGCATGCGCTTTCTTAGTACGATCCCCCAGCCTTGTGTCGATGATCAGTTAATGTTCATCCTGTGCTTCGTGTGTGTTGCCAATCTTGCAGAAAAAAAGGTAGCATTGCAGAATGGAGCATTCGCTATGGTGGACTCAGGACTGCCATATGATTACCACTACAAGAATTGTCGTGATTCATGGTGGTAGAATGAGTTGTGCTGCTACAGCAGATTCTTTCCCCTTGACATATTCGGTTGGAGCACCAAATGTGCTTCAGCACAAATTAGTGGCATCGCCTAGAAGTCGGTTCACTAGTGCCGAATCACACCCCCAAACACATTCAACTGTACAAGACTGACAACACAACACATGGCAGATTGAAAGATGCACAATGTGTACCCATGGCTGCATGGTCAGCAAGTTGGTAGCAGTGCAGCAGAACAAGCACTAGTGACTGCAACCCTCCACAAACAGTTAGTGAACTGGAGTAAGCTGGTACCAGTAACCAGCCCTGACAAGCCCATTAGCCATCGCCACAGAAGCATCCATTCTGAAAAGGTCTTCAGCGGAATCAAGCTCTTCAAGAACTCTGTTTGAGCATCTCAGTGGAACAAGCAAGTGGGGATTTGGGGTTTAGGGAGGGGAGCAGAGGAATGGCCAACTGAAACGGACGACTTGCACATGCCGACACATAATGGCCATGCCAGATTCCAAGAAAAATATAACAAATGCAAAAAAAAGGAGGTGCAGCAAAGTAGTGCACCAGTTAAAGAATGTGGGGAAAAATCCTAGCCAGGCTGCCACGACTTTGGCAGCCCGGCGGCTAAGACGCCCCTTCCAGTCAAAAGTCAGGAAAGACAAACAACAGAGAATTGCTGTGCGCCAATCGCATCGCGAGGATGCGCCACGTATTTGACACGCCAGTGGCATGCCATACCTTGTCTCGTGGAATACCACGCTGCCCAGGTGCCTGGATGGGCTGGCGCTCGGCCTATGGCGCTTTGAGACACATGCTTGCCATGCCAACCCAGTATTGACTGACTGGATTGAAAGACAAAGACTTGAGAGAATTGAATGCACGAAAGAAATGAATCCACGAAATAGCATCAGTGTCAACATCAAGTCCTCCCTCCCCTGCTCCCATCCATCCCATCCCTTTCCAACCCTCCTGCCCCATTCTGCACTGCACCACATCCCTCCCTCATCCTCACAAACCCTTTCTCTGATCCCACAAACCCTGCCAACCCCATCCCATATTCCTCACCTCAACCAGGTTAATCGGGCAGCGCAGTACCCCGCTCCAAATTATTCTTAATCTCCACCGTGTATTTCCCAAACGCGCGCTCAATCTTCCGGTTGAAGTGCTCATTCCGGTCGTTAATACTATCAATGTCCTTCTCATCATGGTGCCGTCTTCTTCGGCTGAACTCCTTGCGGCTCTTGGCTCTGTCTGTCAGCTCCGCCACCATTCTGTCAACGTTCTCCTCGGGAATCTCCGGAGCTTGCCCGTACTGCAGGCTCGCATCGTCGCGGTAAAAGTCAGGGTCTTTCTCCTTGGCCTTAAGGTAGTCTTCCTCTGTGTAGGGGATGTTGCCCGTGCGCTTCTTGTATGCGTTGTACAATGCCTGCTGGTTGAACGCTGGAAGGCAGGAGCGGCGGAGAATCCAGGAAAAAAAAGGAGATGAGGACAGGGGGGGAAGGGGGGGATGGAAAAAAAATCATAATCAGAACTAAAAAATTCAAAGAGTATGATAGGCCATGCTGACTCAGAAGCTACAGAAAGTCGTGGCAGGCAACACGTACCCATCATAAGCATTCCAACAAATCTCAATCTTTCCTTCATTCCACCTTTCCCCCAAAACACTTCTCATCCTTTCCCAATTACCACCTTCCTGTCTTCCCCCAACCTAACCCCCCACACATCCCCTGCACGCACCAACCCAGCCAAACTGCGCTTCTTGCTTCTCCCACTTCTTATACTTGCTCCCCGCCGCCTCCTGCCTCTCCAGCATGTACGCCTAGCCCTCCTTTTCCCCCACCCCCTCCCCCAAACTCCCCCCCTCCCCTCCCCCCTTTCCCGTTCCTATCACGCACCATCCCAGCCAAACGGCGCTTCTTTCTTCTCCCACTTCTTGTATTTGCTCTCCGCGGCCTCCTGCGTCTCCAGCATGTACGCCTTGGTGATATCCAGCCCTCCCTTCTCCCATACCTTTTTCCCAAGACCCCCCCCTTCCCCCCCTTTCCCCCACCCACGTGAACGCCGCCCCTCGCCCCCCCTCCCCCCACCCACACCCCCGTCCCTAACACTCACCATCCCAGCCAAACGGCGCTTCTTTCTTCTCCCACTTCTTGTATTTGCTCTCCGCGGCCTCCTGCGTCTCCAGCATGTACGCCTTGGTGATATCCAGCCCGGCCGCGTCCAGCTGTTTGCTCATCTTGCGCTTCTTCTCCTCGAACCACGCCGCCTTGCTCACTCCGCGCGACTCCTCCTCCTCCGGCTTCTCTTCTCGCCGCTTCTCCGCCACCACCGCCGTCTGATTCGCCTTCCGCGCCTGGTTCTGCGGGGGGAGAAGGGGGAAAAGGGGGAAGGGGGACCGGAGGCCCGCGGGGGCGCGGGGATGCAGGGAAAAAGGGAAGGAGAGGGGTGGGGGAGGCAAGGGAAAGGACGTTAAGACATGACGGGGAAACACCTTGGTGATATGCAGCCCGGCCGCGTCGAGCTGTTTGCTCATCTTGCGCTTCTTCTCCTCGAACCACGCCGCCTTGCTCACTCCGCGCGACTCCTCCTCCGGCTTCTCTTCTCGCCGCTTCTCCGCCACCACCGCCGTCTGATTCGCCAGCCGCGCTTGGTTCTGCAGTGGAGGGGGGAAGGAGAAATGGGTTACGGCAGGAGGGGGGGCGAGGGTGGCAGGGCCGGGAAAAAATGGGGGGGTGGGGAAATAAGGGCGGGATTAAGGGGGTAGGAGAGGGGGGGAAAGAGGGAGGGGAGGGCGAAGGGGAAGGAGGGAGGGGGGAGGGGAGCGGGAAGAGACAAATGGTTCAGAAAGATAATGAAGGCCTCGCTTGAGTCGTACAGTCGTATCGTCTCAAGATTTGGAAGTATTCAACCAAACACTCCAATACTGCTCCAGTCGAGCTTACTAGCTTGAAAACCATACCAGCCGGGGCTAACGTAGCAGCTTTTGAGTCGACTCAAAAGTCACCTCTGCTCCAGTCGAGCTTACTAGCCTGGAAATCATACCAGCCGGGGCGAACGTAGCAGCTTCAGCAAACGTACCAGCTTGAGGCGAATTTCGAAGAGCTTCTTTTGCCGGGCGTCCATCCCTTCATAGCTCGGCACATCCACCACGTCCGCCTGTCCGTCATTCTCAGCCGTCCGATCTGGCGAATCTCGACGCTGAGCTTGTCGGCCTCGGGATTGCCGAGTGCTCTGCGCTGCGACCACGGATAGGTCCTCCTCTCCCGGCCCGACTGCCGCTTTCCGTGCGTCAATGACAACCTCGTCGTACTTCCGTTTGACTTTCTCTTGTCTGCCGAAGGAGGTAGGGAGCTGCGACGGTGCTGAGTGACGACAAACAGAATCGCAGAATCACAGAGAAACAGTCACAAATCAAGTACGCATCAACAGAACCAATCAGCACAAGGTTTCGACGAAAGAACAACCTTGTGAATCGACGCGAGAAAATATATAACTAAAATTAGAAACGCACGCAGCATCAACAAGTCGTACCCTCGCTTTAGTAATAGCAGAACAGAGGCACAGTAATCAACGAGTCGTACCCTCGCCTTTCGCAGGTGCTGTCGCTACAGGCCTGCCTTTCCGCTCGGCGATTTTTCGAAAGCAGTAGTCCGTGCACTCGTGGTAGGGGTTGCTCGCGTTTATGCAATCGGGATGCACGTGCTGCACCATTGTACTCGATTCACGGCGACGACAAACACGCGAGGACTAACAGGCACAACCCGCAGAAAATCGCATGAAGCTGGTTACGCACTAAGGGTCCAAATTACCGCGAACCTTCGACGATTAGGGAAAACTACTGCATCCGTCAAGAGTTCTAGTCAAAGACGGAAACCTTCTGAGACTGAAAGGGTTTCAAAAGTCGAATAAACGAGATCCATGTTAGAAGAACCACCAACCTAGTAACATCCCTCCAGCATCCCAAGTAGGGACCAAAGAGGAGAATCAAAGATTCAAGCCAGCCAGAAATAAAGGGACTCTACCTCGTGAAATCCCTTTAGATTCACACCGAAACGCATAGAACCGATGAGAACCGCAGATCACAGCATTTCCCGGTATCCCTGGGGAGAGGCTTGGGGATGGTATGGGAATGAGAAGCGCTCCGAGCAGGGCTGTCGCTTGCAGGGCGTTTGCCCTGCTGGACCTTGAATTCCAGGGCTGGGTTTCCCTTGAAAACTGAAATTGATGGGTTGGAAATATTCTGGCCCTGATTCTTTACAGGCTTGGTGTGTAAAGAGCAGATTTTAGGCGAGCCCTGGAACAAAATCTCTCGAGACCCCCCTTCCACTCCCCTCCCCCCCCCAACACTCCTCCCTCTCCTCCCCCTTCGTTTCTAACCTGATTGCATCCAACAAGGCAATTTCGAGTTGCTTGGTTGGGCCACAAATTCAACTCAGCCTAGAACTTGTGCTTAAACCAATCACAGCTCGCTCTCTGTGGAGTGGGTGACGGTTAAGGTTGGGTAGAAGCGCACAAGAACTACCCTGAAGGTTGGGTAGTAAAGATGTGCAGACGATCATCGGTTCTGCAAAGGCTAGGAAGCCTGCAAAGCGTGCGTAGTGATATGACGCTAACTATTTCTCTTCTTGTCGTGTTTGCTTGCTTGTCGTTGATCTCAAACGTAGTTGTAAGCTTGGTAGTTGAAATGAGGCTCCTGATTTTTTCGCGCCAAACCTGAATCAAGGGAGGAAAATTTTCTAGCCCTGAAGCCTAAAGGGCTGAGATTCGCCCCAGCCCTGCTAAATACAGGGTCATACATGCCGGGCCCCCTGATTTGTCCGGGGGGCCCAAAACGAAACAACAGGCCTGGCTCCGAGGATTGCCTTGGGTGGTGTCTTGTGTGGACGAGAGAGAACGGAGTGGTTTGGTTTGGTTGTTCGGTAAACACAACCTCGATTGTACCAGAACGCAATTCTTGTGTGTTACGATCTAACTCACTGAAAGCTCTGCTGGCTTGACATATTTACTTGCTCAAGAATGGCCTTTAATACATGTACAGTTTCAATGATGAAGTCCAATGAATGGGTACCTTATTAAAACGACAAGAAATCAACGGCTTATTCAAACATCCCCATTGTGATTTTTACATCAGCACTCTCACTTCTGTGTTGGCAATGCCTGCTGTGCTGCTGTGAGCTGCTGAAGCATCTGTGGATTCGGCTGGTAGTGCTTCACACCAGGTTGCACACTGTACTGCTGCTGCTGTCCCGCCACCTGTCCACCAACGGTTGGTTGCTGCTGCTGCTGATACTGACCCATGCCTTGCATCTGCACTTGTGGTTGCGGTTGTGACTGTATCGAAGCCTGCATTTGCCCTTGTGCAAAACCCTGCATCACTCCCATACCCTGCTGCTGGCCCATCTGAAAGCTCATTTGTTGGCTCGTCTGCTGGCTCATTTGCTGGCCTCCTAATTGGCCCATTGGCCCCACAGCACCCTGCATCTGCACGGGCTGAGGCAGTCTTTGAGAAGGTAGGGGGGCTTGAGGGGCTTGGCGTTGGGGTGCTGGTTGCGCCACCCCACTGCCTTGCTGCTGCACCTGCCCCTGTACCTTCAGCCCTTGCATCTGCTGCTGCACCTGCTGCAACTGCTGCTGCCCTTGAATTTGCTGGTACACTTGCTGCTGCTGTGGCAACGGCACCTGCCCCTGCTGCTGCTGCCCTTGCTGACCTTGTCCCTGCTGCCGCCCCTGCTGCTGTGGTTGCTGCTGTGGCGTCCCCTGCTGGCCCTGCCCTGCTTTCGCCCCTCGGCGCATGGGCGGTTGAGCCAGCACCACATTCCTGCCTCTCGACAGACCAGCAGTCGGCATCTGCAGCACCATCCCAGCCACCGGCACTTGCGGTGCTGCCCTCTGCGGCTCACCTTGCCCTGCCGCCCCCGCTACTGCTGCTTGGCCTTGCTGCCCCTGCCCCTGCCCCTGGCCCTGCACCTGCTGAGATTGCTGTCTCTGCTGCACTTGTGCATTCTGAGACCCAGCTACCCTCCCCTGCTGCTGCTGCTGCTGCTGCTGCTGCTGCTTCTGCCCCCCTTGCCCTGTCCCCTGCCCAGCTCCCGGCCCTGGCCTCACCCCTTGCCCTCCCTGCGCACCCCCCTGGTTCGGGTGCAGCTGCGGCGGCAACCGAGGCTGCTGCGGAGGCTGGGCAGGCTGGGGCGGCAGCAGCTGCTTCAGGTCCGTCCACTTAGGATCCCCCACCAGAAGCTGACAAAACGGATGCTCCAGCAACTCAGCCGCACTCTTCCTCTTTTTCGGCTCCTTCTGCAGACAGCATCTAATAAAATCCTGAAACTCAGGCGAGCAGCTGCCCGGAGCCTCGGGCGGCTCGTTGAAAACAATCGCGCCGAAAAGTGTCATCCAATCGGCCGACTGCCCGGCCTGCACGTACGGGAACCGGCCAATCACGAGCTCGAGGAGCGAGAGGCCCATGGACCAGACGTCTGAGAGGTAGCCGTCGTAGCCCTCGCCTGGCGGCGGGTTGATGCGCTCCGGGGAGAGGTAGGCGGAGGTGCCCACATACGAGTTGCACTGGGCTAGCGTGGACGCTAGCTCCTTGCTCACCCCGAAATCAGCAATCTTCACCTGCGATAGAGGGGGAGGAATAACGGAAGCAGAGGAGAAAGGGTCAATCACGAACAGGAGGAGTGAGAGGAGAGAGGAGAGCTCGAGGAGCGAGAGGCCCATGGACCAGACGTCTGAGAGGTAGCCGTTGTAGCCTTCGCCTGGCGGCGGGTTGATGCGCTCGGGGGAGAGGTAGGCGGAGGTGTCCACATATGAGTTGCACTGGGCTAGCGTGGACGCTAACTCCTTGCTCACCCCGAAATCAGCAATCTTCACCTGCGATAGAGGGGGGGGAATAACGGGAAGCAGAGGAGAAAGGGTCAATCACGAACAGGAGGAGTGAGAGGAGAGAGGAGAGCTCGAGAAGCGAGAGGCCCATGGACCAGACGTCTGAGAGGTAGCCGTCGTAGCCTTCGCCTGGCGGCGGGTTGGTGCGCTCGGGGGAGAGGTAGGCGGAGGTGCCCACATACGAGTTGCACTGGGCGAGGGTAGATGCTAACTCCTTGCTCACCCCGAAATCAGCGATTTTCACCTGCGAGAGGCCGGAAATCCAGGGGGGACGCAGGGTTTGGGGAGGGAGGAGGGGGAAATGGGAGGAGGGGGAAAAGGGAGGAGGAGGAGTCAATCACAAGCTCGGGAAGATTGAGGACGGAGAGGAGGATGATTAGAGCTCCAGGAGAGAGAGGCCCATGAACCAGACGTCTGAGAGGTAACCGTCGTAGCCCTCGCCTGGCAGAGGGTTGTTTCGCTCAATGGTTGCCCGCCCTGCACGTACGGGAAGTGGAGGAGAAGAATATAACCACGAGGATGGAGAGGGGATTGAGAAGGTAGCGGTGGTGGGAAAGGAGGGAGGGAGAGAGGAGGGAAAGAAAAAAAGAAACCAGCAATCCTTACTTTAGGACACATGAAAAGAGGAGGGTTTGGAAATGAGGGAGAGAGGGAAAAAAACGTTGACTGGCGTTGACCTGCGTTGACTGGCGTTGACTGGCGGGGCTGACTGACCTGGCCTTGCCGGTTGAAGAGCAGGTTGGAGGGCTTGATGTCACGATGCACCACGTGCTGCCGGTGCAGGTACAGCAGCCCCTGCAGGCACTGCTTTACTGGCGTTGACTGGCGTTGACCTGGGTTGACTGGCGTTGACTGACTGACCTGGCCCTGGCGGTTGAAGAGCAGGTTGGAGGGCTTGATGTCTCGATGCACCACGTGCTGCCGGTGCAGGTACAGCAGCCCCTGCAGGCACTGCCGCATCACCTCCGCCCCTCACTCACTCACTTCTTGACTGGCGTTGACCTGCGTTGACTGGCGTTGACCAGCAAGACTGACTGACCTGGCCCTGGCGGTTGAAGAGCAGGTTGGAGGGCTTGATGTCGCGGTGAACCACGTGCTGCCGGTGCAGGTACAGCAGCCCCTGCAGGCACTGCCGTGTCACCTCCGGCATAAACGACTCCGGAATCTTGCCCTGCTTTCGGGCAGAAACATGGAAAAGAAGAAGAAGAAAAACACGAGGTGAACGAAAAGGCGTGCATAGTTATGGCACAGGCTTTATAACACACTCTTGAGTACTTGAGAAATTTCGGCAGGGCGAACATGCACTTTATTTCGGATACTTGTAGAGTGTTTATGCGCATCACAGGCACATTTATTTGCACGGCGCACACTATTCCAGTGACAAAGACACTCTGTTTTCTATACGAGCTATGGCTAACCCAGCGATCAAGGGAATGGAAAATCTTGGCCTTAATCTCATCGGGGAAATTCTCATCTCATCTATTTCCTTTCAAACTTCCCTTCGTTTGACTCACCCTCTTCTTAGTCACATCCGCCAGAGTGCCACCATCCATGAGCTCCAGGACGAATGAGATCTCCCCCAGGTGGTCAAAGATGCCGTAACACTCCACCACCTGGCGAGATGGAAAGAAGGGGGGAAGGTACACAGCAGCGCAATGAGGTTATGGACAGGGCATGCAAAGGTGGATGAAAAATGTCGCAGCTTTCCAGGACCTGAGAGGCGTTTTTTTCTTTTAAACGACCTGACGTCATGGAGACGCATGCCATGACGACGTGGGCTCGTGCGAATGATTTTTTTGTCGACTAAAAAAAATGACAGAATCGAGAAGCACGTTATGACAACGTGGGGCCCCCATAGAGACGCGGATGAAAAGACATGGCATGGGAGTATGGGATTGAGGGTGATGCCAATGACGGTGCATACAACACCAAGATGTTGTTTAAGGGCGGATTCGATCGCAGCAAGCCAACTGAGGTCTCTCGTGTCTAGATCTAAATGGATCTAACCAGATTCAACTAGGAGAGAAGAAAGCGAGTAGAAGAAAGACTTAGTAAGTCAATCAGTAAGACAAAACATCGCCTGGGATGTGCGTGCGTACGCGTTTCGGCAAAAAAGCCTTCATCAGCGCAGTGACAAGGCATGGGAGTATGGATGGGAGTATGGGAGTATGGGATTGAGGGTGATGCCAATGACGGTGCATACAGTACCAAGATGTCTGAATGCGATGTGTGGGTTATGAATGTGATCACATGACAGCAAAATCATGCCCAACTGTTAGAAAAGCTAGGTGGTGGAGCATCGGTGCTACTACCAGCACTTACATGCTGAAATGGCTACAGGAGACGACGTACTACTCAATCACACATCCTAGCGTTGTCAGGCATAGGATTGTGCAGTGAACTCGCAAATTAGAATTTCAATGTGAGAGACATTCAGCAATCAAGCACGCCATGATTCAAGAAATAGCCATCACCTCCCCTCCTCCTCCCACGCCACCCTCCCCTCCCCATGCCCCAATGAATGATCTGCTCACATGGTCGGATCGTGCGCGCCGTGGGATCTGCATCTCCTGGATGATCTGCTTTCGCACTCCACATGCAACCCAAGGTTGCTATCCTTGGTTGCTACATCATCGCACTTTATCCTGGCAACTTCAACCAAACCCAAACAGCAGTCAGCACACTCACATGGTCGGATCGTGCGCGCCGTAGGATCTGCATCTCCTGGATGATCTGCTTCCGCACTTCCGCACCTCCCCATGCAGCCCTTGGTTGCTACATCATCTCACCTTCACGCACCTTCAACCCAACCCTGGAAGCAGCCAGCGCACTCACATGGTCGGATCGTGCTCGCCGTAGGATCTGCATCTCCTGGATGATCTGCTTCCGCACCTCCTCGTCGTACTTCTCCTGAATCACCTTCAGCGCGTATTCCTGTCATCCATTACAGCCAACAAAGCCAAAAATACAAACACAATTAATGACCTGTTTCATAGTTTGTCTGCTCGCTCGACTCCCATGATTCGCCATAGGATCAGCGTTGTCTGTTCGCTCGACTCCCATGATTCGCCATAGGATCAGCGTTGTCTGTTTGCTCGACTCACATGATTCGCCATAGGATCAGCGTTGTCTGTTTGCTCGACTCACATGATTCGCCGTAGGATCAGCGTCTCAGGCGTGAGTGAAACGGGGAATGAATCAGAAAAAAACGGAAAGACCTTATCTTGAAAACAAATATTAATCACCTTGCCGGTTTTCTTATGCCGAACGCGGTACACGCGACCCCCGCTTCCAAACCCTAACGGCGGCAAAATCCTCTCCAGATCTTCCAGAGCCACATCTTCCCGCGGCGTGAACACCATCATCGGCGCTTTCACAGCGTTTCCCGCTCCCGCGACGCCCAACGCGGTTCCACCAGCAGCACCAGAACCAGTTCCCGATGCGCCGCCTGCTCCGCTGCCTGCTCCGCCGTTAATTGCGGCGACGGGGAGGGGTTGGACGCTGGTGGGTGCGCCTTTCGCGGCGGCTGCTGCTGCGGCGGCTGCGCCGGCTGGAGGCATGGGGAGGGCTTGCGGAACGGGGAGAGGCAGAGGCTGGGGTCGAGCCGCGTTGGCGGTCCGAGATGGCACGCCGATTCGGAGACCGAGTCCTCGGCCCCTTCCTCCTCGTGTGGCCATGATGGTAAAAAAAATGGATTTACGGAAAGAAGATAAATACCGGCGCTACTGGAGTGTGTTCAGTAAAGCGTGGTCTGTGGAGCGTTGTACGATGGAGCGGTGTTCGGGGGAGCGGTGTACGGCGGAGTGGTGTTATGTGGGGTGGAAATCAATGTTGGATGCGACTGGAGCTATGCGAAGGATAGAAGGAAGAGGGGATTGTTACTGACGCGCCTCGTAGAGTATATAACTGAAATGAGTCAGTGCAACGTGATCGCGCGGGGTGGAAGAGGAATGGAGTCGGGAGCAGGAAATAACAAGGCAGGATCACTTCGTGCTTCACGCGACGGATGGGCGGGAAAAAGGGAATCTCGCAGTCGAAAGTCGGATATTGTTCGCTAGCACAGACTAAACTCGAGTTGATATGGCCGAATGAGCTCAGAAACTAGGCGAACGCTGGCTGCAGAAACCTCGTCGGAAATTAGTTCGACTAACAGCAGCAACGGGGAGTAATATGCACAAATGCTAAGAGGCCAGACCTGAATATGCGTGGAAAACACACACACAACCGTCCCTTCTATGAAGTCCACGACTCTTTCAACAAGGCTTGTCATTTGATATATTCTCAAGGTCCCCTAGATGTAATGTATTCCTTCCTCCACCCTAAGATCGTGTCCGTAGTTTTGACATGTCACGTTTATGCGTGTCAACTCGAATCGCTCTCTGTTTTGCGTGTCAAACACTGTAGCTGCAGTGTCAAATCGAGTCGCGAGCACGAAAATTTGTGACGCACTCTCATTGGTTGGACACGAAGTTTCAAGAATCAAGACAGGCAGCTGCTCAGGTGGTGTGGCGTGATGGAGCTTTCTGGGTGATGAAAAACCTGCCCGTTGTGCGAATAGTGGAGACGGCACGAGTTGTACATGTACACGTATCAACATCTTTTGCGGTACAGTATTCTGAGTACATACGGATTCGTTTTGTAAGTGGGGATAACATAACAAAGGTGAGCGGTTTATTGCATTATCATTATGTCTGGTTTGGAGATGTGCGATTGGGCAAATGGCCCACTGGCACCGTTACCACCAGGGGTCTTGATTCGTTTTGGGCCACCCTGTCAAATCAGAGTTTCAGGTCTAAGTCACACTGCCACTGCAGTGTTGCTGCCGCGTCGTACCCTAGAAATGGCAAGGTGCTGAAAATTTTTGGGTCTGGTATGGCAGGGTGAAAATCTAAACTAGGCTGCAGCAGTCCAATCTGTGTGAGTGTCTCTCTGGAAAGCCAGTTTTCGAGCACATCCGATGCTTGTTCTGGTGTGAGTATGAGTGTCTCCCGGCAAGGACTTCGCCAGTTCTCAAATGGCTGAGGGAAAAAAAACTCAGCCAGAGTGCTGCCCCTACCAAACTCGGCCAAGGCACTGTACTACAAGAACCAGCAACTGCAAAACGGGGTCAAAATTTCACGAGGCCTGATCGTGATAGGGTGGTAACCTTTGAAACCTGTATTTACAGTGCGGTTTTCAAACAAAACTCTGAAAAAACAAGCTAATCAGGATAAAACGCCCTGCAATCCTGAGGCCTGGTTACCACGCCCTTCAGGCCCCCACTCCCGTTTCGCGTCATAACCGAAAGGCAATTTTCGCGGATTCCCTTCCATCCCTGCCCAGAAAGCTTTGCCTCGCCACCAACCTTAAACACACAAGGCAGAACAACCCCCCCTCCCGCACACGGACTGGCAAATCAGTTCTGCAACTAAACCAAGCATCCAGCTCTACTGTAGTGGTGGCGGGCGTGCTGTTGCAATTCTGGTGGCTTGGACGAACCCAGGGAAGATAATGTGAGTGGATGCCCTTGTCGTTTTGTATCGGGAAAGTGTTGCACGCTAATACGCTCTACAAAGAGCAGCATTACAATACAAGCTGAGTACAGCTCCAATGACGCTGTGCTGTGTATCTGTTTTAATTGCTGCTGCATAGATAACCATACCATGGAATTTCAGGTATTATTTAATTTTATATATCATATTCTTTTTGTAGTTCTGTTATTAAATGACTACGCTTTGCATGAAAGTTGATTGAGAAAGGAAATGAAGAAAGAAAGGGAGAAGGAAAGTGAAACTGCTAAAAAGAACCTAAATGCAACACGCATAAAACCCCCCCTCCAAATACCCAATCAAAATGCCCGGTCGAGACACCCCATTAAGACATCCCATCCCACACCCCATGAGCCTCGCCTTCCACATTGACATTGCCCTTCTCCCGGTCCACCAAATCTACGTTAAAGCCAGCAGCTAAAATAGTGACCCCCCCCCCCCCCCCCCCCCCCACCTTCTAGTTGGGTCCACGTGAAAACAGAAGTTTTTTTGGAACGCTTCGTAAAGTTGGAAGTGCTGTGCTTTTATATTTTTTCAATAGAGACGAGTCTCGGTGTGAACAAGAACATTTGGAGCAGGTGTACAATTCTGATTGGAAGCGAAACTCACACACAACTTACACATGCTTGTATGCAGTTTTGGCGCAAGGCTGCAATGCTTGTATGCACCCTGAGCAGTGATCGTAACTTCACCAAAACATCACATCAATCAAACACCAGGCAAAATCCAGCGCGCACACACATGCAGGAGATGAGAGTGGAGGTGGGCCGATTACTTGGCAGATCTGCGAGAAAAGGCGTTTCCCTGTATTTGAGAGGCTGAAAGAGGTTATAAAATAGTTGTCAAACTCATATGCTATAGTCTGTGTAGGCTCTAGTGGGGTAGACAATATGGGGTACAACACTTTTAGGTTTTCCTACTTGTACCCACCTACTTGCTAGTTCATTCATCCTCGTTCTCTCACATGGTATAGAGCAGGTTCCCTAGTGGGAACGTTTCCTAGGGCCCACCGAATATCGATTTTTTTTTCCTGCCCGGAGCGCGCTTCGCCCCTGCCCGAGTCGCCCCCCGTGTGCCTACTCTCCCGTTGCATCCCCTGCCCTTAGTGGCCTGTTGCGCTCCCCTACGGCCCCTTCAGGCCCCTCGTGGCCCCTTCGCGGCCTCCCTTCGCGGCCCCTCTCACAGCCCTTCGCGGCCCCTTCAGGCCCCTCGTGGCCCCTTCGCAACCTCCCTTCGCGGCCCCCTTCGTGGCACCTTCGTGGCCCCTTCACGGCCCCTTCACGGCCCCTTCGCAGCCCCTTCGCGCCCCTTCGTGGCACCTTCGTTGCCCCTTTACGACCCCTTCGCGGCCCCTTCACGGCCCGTTCACGGCCCCCTCGCGGCCCCTTTGCGGCCCTTTCACGGCCCCTTCACGGCCCCCTCGCGGCCTGTCAAACATTATATATGTTGTTGTAGTTGTTTAGGCTACAGTGGGTTAGCCTATAGGGGGTACACATTCCTAGGTTTTGATACTTGTACTCATTTCACTCTTAGTTCAATCCATTCTTGTTCAACATGGTATCAGAGCAGGTCCTTCTTAGGACCGATTTTTTTTAGGGCCCACCACTACCTACCAACCTACCTGCGCCCTAGGGCGCCTTGGCTTTCACGCCCCTAGAGGCCCCGTCGGCCCCGCGCTCTCGCACCTAGAGGCCTCGGTAGGCCCCGCGCTCGTCCTTACCGGCCCCGATCGGCCCCGCGCTCGTCCCTCACGGCCCCGATAGGCCCCGCGCTTGCCCTTAGAGGCCCAGGATGCGGGTGTTCACCAGTTCACCCCTGCCTACGAGCGTGTCACACACTGCACGTGTGCCCGTACAGGCCGCCACTTGGCTACCTTCACCCGGCAGCCAGGGTTGGATCTGTACACACTGACTACTGCCCCCCCTCAGGTCGCTGCGTCTGCGTCTGCGTCCGCATCAGGTCAGCTGTCCGCCCCCTGCTCGTGTCGCTCTCTAGCGCACGAGACTGTCCTCTGGCACCACTGACTGGGCCACCCGCCTGTGCAGCGCCTTCGTGCCATGCACTCCTGGTACCTTGTCTCTGGTCTTCCCAGGGTCCTCCCTCCCCTCCCACCCTCGCCTGCTCCTCCCTGTCTTCCCTGTGTCGAGGGGCGGCAGCGCGCCGCTCCTCACTCCTCCTCGTTTCCCCTGACGAGTGCTCCTTTGCAGACGCTCCACATGGACGTGTGGGGCCCAGCCCGCGTCCGTGGTCAGGGTCAGGAGAGGTACTTCCTGATCGTTGTTGACGACTACTCGCGCTACACCACGGTCTTCCCCTTGCGAGCCAAGGGTGAGGTCCCTAATGTTTTGATCCCTTGGATCCGCAGAGCTCGTCTCCAGCTCAGCGAGCGTTTCTGCTCGGACTTTCCTGTACTGCGCTTGCACTCTGACAGAGGTGGTGAGTTCTCCTCCGACCTCTTGGCAGCCTACTGTGCTGAGCACGGCATTGAGCAGTCGTTCACGCTTCCGGCCTCTCCACAGCAGAATGGGGGTGAGGTCCCTGATGTTTTGATCCCTTGGATCCGCAGAGCTCGTCTCCAGCTCAGCGAGCATTTTCGCTCGGACTTTCCTGTCCTGCGCTTGCACTCTGACAGAGGTGGTGAGTTCTCCTTCGACCTCTTGGCAGCCTACTGTGCTGAGCACGGCATTGAGCAGTCGTTCACGCTTCCGGCCTCTCCACAGCAGAATGGGGTTGCGGAGCGCCGCATTGGCCTGGTCATGGAGGTCGCTCGTACCTCCTTGATCCATGCGGCTGCCCCCCACTTTCTGTGGCCGTTTGCGGTCCGGTACGCTGCGCATCAGCTCAACCTCTGGCCCCGTGTCTCCTTGCCGGAGACCTCGCCCACACTGCTGTGGACGGGGGGAGGTTGGCGATGCGTCACGTTTCCGGGTCTGGGGATCTCGAGCTTTTGTCCGCGATTCGTCTGCGGACAAGCTCTCCTCTCGTGCTATTCCCTGCGTCTTCCTCGGCTTTGTTCCGGACGCGCCTGGTTG